AATCCAGCACGGCGGTACAGTAGAGTACGGCGAGGGGGCAGCACAGGCAGCTGCTGAGGCCTCTTTAGTGCCTCAGCAATCCAAGAAGGCTCAGGTTGAGGATAGTCACCAGACGTCGCAGCTAGGTGTACGGCGCTGTGGGAACTGCGGCAGGACTGGGCACAACGCACGAACATGCAAGAAGGATACAGAGGTGTCTTCTAAGTTAGATGGAAGTACAGTATACCAAGGTTCTCTCTTTAATAGCGAATAATATGGTATTCTATATAATGAGTTGGTTATGCCAAGAGATTCTGCGACACTCGGTGGTGTGCGACACTCGGTGGTGGAATACGTTATGTAGAAACGTAGAAACCCTCGGCAGCGCTCTGATTGATAACAAACCATTGCTATATCCGAAAAATCCTCGAACGGGAGCTGCTTTCCGCCGAATACCCAGCCCATGTCCTCTTTCAACTCGGAGATCTTGATGCCAAACCCTTTAGCAGAGTCTCGGGCTTCTTGTCCCATCTGAGGGGTGCAAACTCTGCTTGGAGCCCCGAATGCCTTGTCCTCTTCTTTTTGTTGCTCCCATCGCCGAAACCATCCACGACTTCCGATGAACGCCTCTTTGATGCAGCTGCAGTGAGGGCTGCGCGGTGGCGTTCCGTGTGGAACACAATGGTGGACTGTGCACTAGGATGTTCGTCGGCACAGTGCGACAGAGTTCCTCCGGTGTTGGCTCCACTGACAGAGCTTGATTCGCTGATCGAATTCGGGCTGCTGCTGAAAGAGGTGGGTTCGCTGATGGTGTTGGAATCTTCTTCCTCTTCGTCATGCCCCTGTGTTGTTTTTGAACCATTCACATTTGCGCCAATGGTTTCTTTCCGAGAGGTCCATGATATAGTTGTCTTCGATGTGATCACAACGCCAGATAACTTTCTCATCGTTGTCTTGGTCCTAAGATCCAATGGCTTGGTGGTAGTGTGCACACCCATGACCTCCGAACTCCCTTGTTGCTCGAGAAAATCCGGTTTGACTTTGCCATATTCAGCGGTCAAGCGTAAAGCGGCCCTAGGCCCATTCACTTCATGAGTCTTCTCCACAGCCTGTCGCAGCGCCAAACCCAGTGCAAAAGACACATTGCGGTCTACTCCGTTGCCGATTATTCTCCACTGGTCGCGTGGAGCTCCTAGAATAACTTCGTCGTCGGGAATCCCCTGCGCACGCCTTGCTTCCATGACCGTGGTGGGGCGCGGTTGCTCCCAATGAATGATGTCTCCCGTGCGGTTGTCTTGCGGCGAAATTTGTGTCATTATCGTAGGTATGGGCCCGGTAGGCGGAATGCGCCTGAAAGCTTTTCCTGGAACCTTCTTGTTTGCCTTTATGAGGCTCCCACTCAACAAACCGAGAGACAACGCCTCCTTGTAGCCCATTGCAACGGGCGTGACTGGAATTCGTTTCATCAGCTCGCGGTCCCGCTGATTCATCCGGCCGCTTAACCTGTGGTCAGGATATTCTACGCATATTTGTTGGAACCCGGAGCCGATATTTGGAAGATCGCCAATGGCCTGCTCGGCGGTAGTGCATGTAAACGGAGTGGGATAATATTCCTGGCAACCAAAAGGCTGGCCTGTCGGGAGCTTGCCAAGACTTCGTCCCTTAAACCAGTCTGGATGGGAATGCGTGTGAGGAGGGGGTTGAATTAGTTCCAGTCCGGGGGCAGCAATCGAAATAAAAAGTCGCCTTCTGGACTGACAGCTTGAATAATTCCAGGCGTCCATTATGTAGTAGTTAGCTTGGTAGCCTAAAGCGACTAGGCAGGCCACAAGCTGAGAGAAGACCTTTTCGTCTTCATGACCCTTTCGGATGTTTGTCATGGAGACTACGTTCTCTAGGATACCATATAGTGGCCTATATAGGTCGACAAAGGAACAGAAGGTCGTGATATGAGAAGCGTTGCGGAGGGACTGTTCGCTATATGGGTCCTTCTGCATTGTCGAAAAACCAGGACACGGGCTTCCAGCTGCTATGAATTGTATGTCGCCAATACGTGCTAGAGGCACAACGTCCTTGCCTTCCAAGACTAACTTCAGGTAGTTGTCAACAGATCCAAAATAGATCTGGAGATTTTTCCCTTTGCTGTTCGCCAGTTGTGTATGAACCGCTTCTCGAGAGATATCGACTGCTTGTGTGAAGGTAACTGCTCCACCTTCCTCAAGGCCTCTGTCAAGATTTCCACCACCTGAAAAGATGCTGAGGCCTTTCAAGGGCTGAGAAGACTTTAGATTGATTGGGCCTTCTTTCATTGGCGTCGGAGCTCGGTTCAGGGATTCCAGATATGGTTGGTTGTCAACCACGGTGAGATGGGAAGTAATGAACCAGTAATCGCCATTTCCTCGACGGTTGTATGGCATAGCCACTTCATGATCCAGTACTTTTCGGATTGAAAAGTATCTTATGTGGCATTTACGTTGTATACTCGAGGGTGAAACTTCGACAACTCTGTTAGTCCATACAAGTTCGTTAGGGGCGTGAATCCCCGGACGGCGCGTATTCAAATAATCGCGAGCCAACCCCTGAATTCCTGTCACCTCCTGCAGCCTGACTAACTGGCGAACATAAACGCGATTTTGGTCGTTATCCCAGTGGTCAACCACTACCGGTTCCAGTCTCCCATTCCTCGTTTGCTGGATATATACAGTTTCGCCAGGCGCAGCCTTGCATCGAGAGACTGGGGGAGTGGCTGCTTGTTTACAACGGCATAGAAAATCCTCCTCATTCAAGCTCACGAACGAGCAATCTGTCGTTACGTATTTGCGAGTGACAAATATGTTCGCATTTGCATCCTTCGACTCTGGCGCTGACATCCAGTTAACCGAGTACTTGCGGATTACTACCGATGAAAGAAACCCTCTTTTTTGGCAGTTGCAATGATCGCTCAGAAACATTTCGTCCTGGAAAGGGTATCTCATATCCAGCATGATGGTATCTTCAGGCCGGTATAGCCAGAGGACGAACAGCCGTTGTACTCCAGAAGCAAGGGTGTCGATCCTTTGAACATACGCCAGGTATTCTTTGGTGGTGTTTCCCCAAGACCCACCCTCATCTGGAGGAATTCCTACCACATCCCCAACTTTAAAAAGTCTACTCCCAGCCGGGAGCACGGGAGGGAGCCGAAGATTTTGACCAGTGAATCGGTTCGGCTGCTGGAATCCCAGCGTCTTCTTTCGGTGCTCCTGTTCTTTGTTCACGCTGGCCTCAGGTGACATCTCCTTTAGATGACTGCCAAAGTACATGTGGGAGAAGCACTCGTATACAAGTGGAGTACAGACGGTGTACGGCAGCGGCTGGGGCTGCTCTTTTATTGCCGTCTTCCCTCCTATCAAGAACTCTCCCCAAATGGGGTGACAGAAGATACTTTTCGCATTCGGGAGGTTGTAGGCTTGGCTGTACAGAAAGTCTCCGTAAGCGTTGAAATCCCCAAGATAACAATTCGTCTTGCGTTTCTGCGCCCATGCTTCAAATTGCTCATTTCCCTTGAACCGTGCCGCCGCCCAGGGAAGGAACTCTTCTCTGAAATGCGATAGGTGGACGGCTCTGCCAGATCGAGAATCAATGAAGTCAATGGCGTGTTTGCCGAATTGGGAAATCCATTGGAACGATCGATACAACGAGGCATAATCCATTGAAGGCTTCTTCAACTGGTACCATATGTCGTAATCGACGTGCTTTGCGGCAATTCTTGATTTGAGGTATACTTCCGTGCCTGGATGTTCATCGTCGTTGTAACCTTCAATGGATATGTCCTCGATCAAGACATTCTCCACGTAGAATTCCGACTTGAGCAGGGGCGAGGACACAACCCCGTTGAAGCACAGGTTCGATGCTCTTGAGTTGAAACGGTGAAGCGAGCTGAATTGATATGCGGCTTTTCCCGATGGAGCTCCGTAAATCTCGAAGTCGTTGACTTCTACAATAATCAATCGGGTTCCACTAGGTTCGTCGCTACTGCTTCTGTTTCTGACAAGCTGTTTATGTGTCAATTTAGAATCCTTAAGGCTACAGATAATCTTTGCCATTTCGCAACTCACTTCGAACAACAAACTTCGATCCTCGGTCTTGGAACTCGGCGGCAGCGGGGTTCGAGCATTCTCATACGCACTTCTCGAGTATTCGACTGGGTGCGGTCGGACTTGTTCTCCACGCTTGGGAATGGGACCCTTCCCGATTTGCTCCGATTCCTCGGAGCAGCTTTCCGGCATCTCTCGAGGGTTACGACTGCATGCAAAGCGCAGCTACTGAACGAAGACACGAGCAGGTAGTAGAGCGCGTATGCGAATCCCGAGACAAGGGTGTGCCGAACTGGTACAGATCTCGGAAATCGTAGGACACGTTGTCAATCTCGACTTGTGATGCCGCGGTAGAACTCTTAAAACGAGAGCAACGGAAGTTGTCAATACCGGAGAGACAACAGGTGTGGAATCCAGCAGCTTATATCCTACTGCGGCGGTGCCACTCAAACGGCAAGCAAGTCGGTCCCAAAGATACCCAACCTTCACCGCTGCCTACTCACATACTGTCGGTGAAGTGAGAGAGCGGGCTTCGAGAGGGTCAAATTCCGCCTTCACCTTCCGTCTCTCAACTCGCGGTGATATGGGTGGCTGGGAGCACCGACGTTTGGTGACTCGGCAATACAAACAATGTGAAGGAGACAATTAATAACAAAGTGCAAGGCGTTGCATGCGTCATGGCCGTCCCATCTGTCTCATGGTGAAGTGAAGGTCCATTTCTCCGCAGAGGTGAGCGTGAAGGTGACGCGGTCTGTCCAAGTTGGGGGCCGACACGTAGACGCGACGGGGGAAGACGCGCTAGCCGGATTGAGTAACAGTCTGGAGTGGCATACTGTAAAATGGACAAGAATTCTTTGAGGATTCGTAGAGCCGGGACAATAGGAGTCGGATAGAGGGAGTGCTGAAGACTGAGAAAATGAGGATTGTGAGCGGAGAGCGAAGGTGTTTATATGCTGACTAACTAGGACTGTGAGGAAGGTATTACCCCAGCATGGCTCTACCCATGCAGGCACAAAAACCTTACTGGGATAAGCGCTGGTAGGAGAAGAGATGGAGAATGATAAGAACTTTTGGGAGTATAAAGGGAGTTGGTGTCTTACTCTTACTCTATTGCTGGCTTGAATGTTTTGTGCATACTGATCCAGCAATCCCCAGAATATACAAAGACATGGCGACATTATGACGTTCCCCATAACCACACTTTCCAACCTCTCACATCCTAATCCTGCGGCGGGCCCTTGGACTTGCCCGGCAAATACTCCTCGATCCCCTCACTATCCCAACTCTCCGTCTCCTCCTTCCTCATCTTCTCATCCTTCCCCCTCTCCAAAGCCTCATTCCTTAACTTATCCATCGTCACATCCATCTCGCCAATCTTCGTCCGTAACTCCTTCATCCTCGCCCTGTCCTTCTCACTCCACTCGGGCAGCGGTTTATTCTCCTTCCTTGCCTTCTCCTCTTTCTCAAGGTAATTGTTGCGCAGCTCCTCATTCAGCTTATTCCTTTCATTCTGCATATTGAAGAAGTCGGCGAACTTGGCCCGGCCGCCAAAACAAAAGCCATACCCGTCACAGTAGCACGTATTCATCGCCGGACAATAAACCTCGTGTCCCGTAAAGATGTAATGCCAGATATACTCAAACACCCTGCCGGACCACTGATCATCCATACTCGTCTTCAGCAGCCAATTCCGATAGTGGTGGAAGCGTTCGATGGGGACCTGGCGGATACGGTCGCGGGACACGGCGAACTGGGCGCAGCAGATTCCGGATAGCGAGGACGGGATGGGTGCGCCCGGGTGCAGTTGCTCCCAGATGTGGCGGCGCATGTAGATTTCTTCGGGCTTGAGGAAGAAGTCGAGGTCGCCGCCGGGGCGGTCCAGGTGGATCCAGTCCGGACAGCCGGGCTCGTGGTGGCAGCGAACGTTCATGTAGCCGTTGCGGTGGACGCGGTCGTGGTTGAGGCGTTTGATCATCTGGGCGGCGTCGAGGCCCATGAGCATGTTGTTGTGCCATGCGTGCTGGTGGCGGGAGGTTAGCTGGCGAGGTTGAGTAGAGCGTGGAGAAGGTGGTACCTTGTGGGAATGCATGAAGATGATAGTGTCGGGTAGCTTGTTATAGTTGTCAATCAGATATGTGAGGTAGACCTATGCGCTTGTTAGTCCTCATCCCTTGCATGCCTCGTTCTGATCTATCTTTCGAAACGCAACGTCCTCCCCTAGGCACAACCGCAAACTTCAACCTCAGCAAGGAACACTCAACATACCATAGCTTCCCTCCCCTTATTCTTCGGAATCTTCCTCTGCGCCTTGGGATTATCCACCTCATACACCACCACGTCCACGCCCGGCAAATCCGCCTCCATCCACCTCAGCTCCTCGTCCTTCATCTTCCCCACGACGACCACATAGCTATAGTTCTCCCCCTTTGGTTTCGCGACCCCTTCAGTGAATCGCAGCGGTATGCTAAAATCGAGCGGGTCGCGGTTTTTTGTTGTCGAACTTGAGGGATATTGTGCGGACGGGTGATCGAAGCCGGGGATATGCGAGTTTGAGGGCGAGGAAGATGTAACGCGGAAGTACCACGCGCCGAGGGCTACGAGAGCTACGACGGAAACGAAGGACAGCAGGCGGGGCGGTCCGGCGAGCATGTTGCCGCAGGTGGATGTTTATTTCAGAGGACGCGCATGCGACGAGCCGAGACGGGGCAGCTGCTGATAATTGGTGTCCACGAATTATGGTTTGGGGGAATTGCAGAGCTCCACAAGCGGGACGAGAGTAGGATTGCGCCTTCTATGGGGACGACAAGACGAGGATATTACGAAGGATCGGTCGTCGCTGGCATTGGAGACCCGTCGTGCGCAGCCGGCGCTGGTGATTTCGAAAAGAGTGAATGGCCATTGGAGATGGATGGCGGTGGTTTGGCGGCTGTGAGATCGGGGCGGCGAATTTGGTGCAAACAAAGCCCGGGATTCGCTGGGTGCAAGATCGCCAACCGCTTGAGGACCACTTTGTGTTTCAGGGAGAGGACCTTTCGCTGATAATATGGATGGCTGCTAGTGACGGGTATAGTGGTACTTGCGCGATCGAAGATATGCGGGTGGTATATGCTGAATCGGAATGGCTATTTGGTGGCTATTGGTTAAATTCAATACATATCTCCAGACGGACCAAGCGACTGGAGTAACGTCCATATATAATTAGAAATAGCACACCAGATACAGCAGTTCCCCATGATATTAGGTGAGTGAGGCCAAGAGAAAACAACTCCACACGCGACCGTGAATGAATGCATCACGTGATATTTCCATTCCTATGAAGCTAAGGTGAAATTGACCACCTGCATGTGCCCAAGGTTTTCAACAGGGTAGTTCACGCTTGGGCGAAATTCCCTCTCGTCTACTCACCTAACCAGTCCACTAGGTCTCCACTTGCCAGTGAGTAGTATGGCAAGAGACTCCTCATAGTCTATGAAATCCTGACTTTGCCTCACTTCAATACTTTGGCAGCGGCGGACACTGTAATACACTCAGCTTACGCTCATGAGATGCGTCCCAAGCGTATACACCACTGACCACTTAAGCCGGTGTTGTCAGGCTCGACATGAGCTTCCTTGACAACACCATCCTCGACGACGAGGGCGTAACGCTTGCTCCTGGGACCTCCAAAGATGGCCGTGCCGTCGAAGGCGAGGTCAAGGGCATTGGTGAATTCCAGCTTGGGGTCGGCGAGGAAGCGAATCTGTTTTGTTTTGAAGTTTAGAAGCGAGGACATGGCAATTGGAAGAAGAAGACATACGCCGCTGGATCCAGAGGGGTCTAGAGACTTGGCCCAGGCTTTCGTACTAGTCCCATGTCAGCTACTGTGAGGTGGGTGTTGTGGTAAGAGACAAGCTAACATACACGAAAGCGTCATTGACAGCTACAACAAAGACTTTGCCTGCATCCTTGAGCGTGGCCGAATCAATGTAGCCGGGGATGTGGCTCTCGGAGCAACTGGGGGAGAAGGCGGCGGGAACGCCTGGACGAAAACGGTCAGGCCCAACTGGGGACTACAAGCAGATATCGTCATTCTGTTTGTGCAGGCTCACCAATGATGAGGCTCTTGCCCTTGCTGAGCTCGTCGGCAATGCGTACTTTGTTGCCGGGCGAGTTCTCCATGAGCTCTACATTGGGGATGCGGTCGCCCACGCTGACGAAGACGGGCGCCGAGGAGTGGAAGGCAGCTGGGCATGAGGAGGGAGATGCAAGCAGACGGCGAGCTGCAGACTGGGGCTTTGCCCTTGCGAGGCTGCGAGCAACGAACATGGCCGCTGTCTGTGTGAAGATTCTTTGTTGTAAATAGCGTAAGTGACCAGTTTGGTTGACTACAGTACTGTGTACTTGTAAGAGCAAAGTGAGGTCAATGGTGTTGCACGGTTGACGAGGTGCTCAAGCTGCGATTGGCCGAAGCGGATCTGAAAGCATGGGCCAGCTTGGCAATCTTTGCAGGCTTGGCAGTCGTGGAGATCTGCAAGTCCGTGCGAGCGGGGGACTTGGTTGCAATTGGAAAGACGAAAGTGGCACTTCCACTGCCGGGGAATCTGATCCTCAACTGGGACCTATTCCTGGGACTGGTTCAACAAAGTGGTTGCATCATCGCCCTGCCCTCGCTCCTTTTCTCGTATCCATCTGCAATGATAATAGTAGACTACCATGATACTGTCACAGCACATACAAGTACACAGTAGTAATGAATCCCATGTTAGCTGCATCTCTTTATTGCCAATGTACTGTGGTAGATTGTCCTGTGCCTTGCGGGCGCAGGTTCCCGGTGTCCCTTACCAGCCGGAGGACTGCTCCATCACTGCAAAAGTACTGCATCTTCATGGCAAGCCTAACTCGGTCCTGTGTAGCCTACTGTGTAGAAGAGTGACCAGGGCATGCCCACCCCATGGCCATTGTTCCCGGTACCGAAAAAGGTACGGAGTTAGACGGCCACCCATATGGCCATGTCCGAGTAACCTTTGCAAAGATACGCTGTCAGCCGGCGCATCAGATGCCCTTTGTCCACCCAACAATTCAGACCCAGCCTGGGAGAAAGGGAGATACCGATAGCCGTCCCGCATCTCGTTGTGCTGTCCCCTGCCGTCTCCCTGCTGTGCCCTGCCGTGCCCTGCCGCCGGCATACCCACGATTCAGCCAGAGAGAGAGAGAGGGCCAGCGCCATCTGCCAGGGTTCACCGAGTTAGCCATCAAAAAGCGTCGCCTAATCATAAGTACCCTTTCGCCTGCGGGTATTGTAAAACCGGCGCTGGTCCCAGTGCTCCAGTGGTGGTCCCCTCAAATCCTGGCCGACCAACACGTTGCCCCAAGGCTCCTGTTATTCCCTCTGCTTCTTCTGCACCCTGCCTCTATCCCCCTTCTCCCCCTCCCCAGGGCCTCCCTCGCTGCTTTGCGACCGCATCCGCCCAGTCGAGGCGTTACCCAGAATCCGCATTCCCGTTGCGCCACACCTTCTATCCGCCGGCTTCCTCCGTCGGTGACATTCCCACCACCTTGGGTCAGCCTCGACTTCCTCGCAATCCACCTCTCCGCGCATCATTGCAGCCCACGCCCGTCGCATCGCCTGTCCACCCCCAGCCCTATCCACCGAGAGCCCCGGAGACTGCTCCTGCGGGCGGCGACACTGTAGCTTGACCCATTATTGCTTGGGGGGCGGCGGGGGGCTTTTGACTTCTTCCTGCCCGAGTCCGCCTTTGCCAGCAACATGGAGTCCAATCAAGGTGGCGGAGGGGGTTCCAGCAACTCCAGCGACTTTGTACGTTTCCCTCGCTGCTTCCAATGCTCTGAACTACCATTCTGACCCGTCCACAGGTTCGCAAGTTGTACAAGTACGTTCCCCGATCCAACCAGACGCTGTCCCGTCGTGCTCCCGTGCTAATGCTCACCCAGGATGCTCGAGAACGGCTCGGATGAGAGCGTTGTGCGTTGGGGAGATAATGGCGACAGCTTCGTCGTGCTCGAGGTGCGCTGAAACGCCTGACCCTGGCAATACGGCCCGTTTATGCTAACCATGACGCAGAACGAGAAGTTTACGAAACACATTCTACCCAAACACTTCAAGCATAGCAACTTTGCCAGTTTCGTTCGCCAGCTCAACAAATACGACTTCCACAAGGTGCGCCACAACAACGAGGAGAACGGACAGTCGCCGTACGGTGCCGGGGTAAGTTGCGCGTCGTCGCTCCTGCTGTCACTGCTCCAGCTCCGCCCTTGATGTTGACCCGTCTTCCAGGCTTGGGAGTTCAAGCACCCCGACTTCAAGGCAAACAACAAGGATGCTCTCGACAACATTCGTCGCAAGGCGCCGGCACCGCGGAAGCCTGCTGCCACAGTCGAAGACGTAAACTTTTCATCCCAGCAGCTGGACCTCATGAACTCCCAATTGGTGGCCACTCAAACCCAACTGCAGCAGCTTCAGGACCGCTACAACGAGCTGACCATCCACCATTCCATGATGATTCAAGAGGTCATTGGCATGCAGAAGACGATTGTCAATCACGAGCACGTTATGCAGAGCGTCATGCAGTTCTTGCACAACCTCGACGCCCAGCGCCGGCGCGACAGCAGGATGGGCCACCCCTTTGGCGGCCAAGCACAGAATGGCAACGTCGATGCCCAGAACGCCCAGGTCACCCCAGAGGACGATGTCCCGGCGTCGCCTCTGCAGCACGCTGCCAAGCTGTTGAGTGAGACGAATGCCGATGTCATGCTGAACCCGAGAAATCTGGAACACATGAACGAAATCACGATGAGGATGAACGGAACCCTGACGACGCCCCCTCCCGAGTTTCTCCGGGCAAGACCTGCGAGCCGTACGGGAGGACCAGGATCAGCAGGATCCAGCGCGTCTGTGCGCATGGGCGACCTCGACAACCTCGTATACCCCGTGGGCCAGACCCAAGGCATCGATCCCATGTACAGCGAACACATCAACAACATCCCGTATGCCCTTCCTAGCAAGCCAAACGAGCCCATCGTTCCGGATGCGCGAAAGAAGAGCGCTCATGTGGATCCCGGATGGATCCGGCCACCTCAGATTCTCCTAGTCGAAGATGATCCGACCTGCAGAAGGATTGGCGGAAAGTTCCTCTACGCCTTCCATTGTTCTATAGACAGCGCTGTAAGTATTCAATCAGAGCTTGGGATCGCAGCGAGCTGACGGATGTAGCTTGATGGGCTTGAAGCTGTCAACAAGATGAATGCAGGTTCAAAGTACGATCTGATTCTCATGGACATCATTATGCCGAACCTTGATGGTGTATCCGCATGCCATCTGATCCGCCAATTCGACAACACGCCTATCATTGCCATGACCTCTAACATCCGGAGCGATGATATAGCAATGTACTTTCAGCATGGTGGGTGGATCCGATCCTGTTCATGTTCGTGAAACTCATTCTTGTAGGGATGAACGACGTCTTGCCCAAACCCTTTACAAAAGAGGGACTTCTCCTGATACTGGACAAGCACCTCGCACATTTGAAGAAGCCTGTTGCCGACGGCATGGGGGCGCCTCAACCACTGGCGGCTGCCAGGCAGGTCCTAAAAGAAGAAGACTCGCCCGCAAAGTCTCCCGCAACAGCAAGCAACTGGAACTCTCCCAATAACATGCCGGGCGTCTCCCCAGTTGGCACCAACATGACCGAGGAACAATACATCCAGGCAGTCCAGGCAAGCCAGGCCGGCCACCCCAATGCCTACGCGATGAACCATATGCAGGCGAATATGCAATACGGAACCTCCCCGCAGATGCAACTCCAGGCCAGACAACAGCAGCAAGCCGCGCATGCTGCCCAGGCTGCTCAAGCAGCCCAAGCAGCCCAAGCAGCGCAGGCCCAGGCCGCCCAGGCCGCCCAAGTGGCCGGACACAGACGACAGGCGTCTGACATCTCTGGTGGGGACGACATGAACAATGCTGCGAAGCGCCAACAGATGTACGGCGCGCCGCAGCTACAACCACAAGGCATGAACCCGATGCAACGACCGCGGTAGATTCAAAGAGTTTTTCTGCACCCGTGTTTTTGGCGTTCGGCATGGTTATCTCATTGTGTAGGTGGGAGGCTAATGTGTTTAACCCGTTTACGACCTGTTTGCGCCATTTAACAAGCTGCTATCCATGACAACACAGCACAGAATGATCGTGAGCGAATAAGTCGGGACTGTACTTTTGTGTACTTGGGATGGATATGGCATGGAAAATGGAAGAAGGGAACCAGAAAGCATACCCCTGGCCGTAGGCTGTACGGATATAGACGAAAGTTGAGGAGGATTTAATCGCCCAGCATCCATAGCGAATCCGTTCCTTCTTTAAAATCCTAGACCCTCTACCGTGTACCAAAGGTGACTAATCCCCCTTTTCGAATCTTGACCAGTATTCGTAGTTTGTGGCTTTCAAGGTTTCTACCCATCTGGGCAGTGATTGCACGCCAGCCAATCCACCCCTCTACCATCCCGCGTTCGGGAGACCGCTACAGATGACAAAACGAGGTACATTTGCTACCTCCCAGGAAAGGAAGACATGTCGTTGCAATAAGCTCGGGATCCGTGCCACGATGACGGGGTCTGTCGCGTTCTGGATTTGCGGCTGTTGACAAGCCCATGGCCAGAAGGGCGGGAATCGGGATCCATGGATGCGAGATGCGAGATGCCTGCGCCACATCTGAGCACGGGCCCAGGAAAATGCCGTCAAGCCACATCCGCCGCGGGGCAAGCAAGATTCCTGGGTCTTTCTGACGCTGGGCGGTTCCTGGGCTGGCCTGAGTCATCACCGCTTTTGGGGAAAGTTAGCTCCGAGCTCATTCGGGCTCTGTGAAGACCATTCATGGAGAACACGACGCGAAACACGAATTTACGGACCCCAGTCGCTTAGTCTCGACCCTCACGGCCGCCTTCATATACGCAGATATTCTTGTTGTGGTCTTTTCACACCAACGACTCACAGCCACTGACACTTCGGCCAACCGTCGTCTCCCTCACTCGCCTGCTGCATAGTTCCAAAACCGAAAACCACCACGATGCCTCCGAAAGGCAAGAGGCCGCAAGCCGCCGACAAGGGAAAACGAGGGGAGGAAGAACGGGAATCACCTCTCCAGGCCGTCATTCTTGCCGATCCCTTCGAAACGAGATTCCGCCCTTTCACCTTGGAGAAACCGCGATGTCTGCTCCCCCTGGCGAACATACCGCTTATCGAGTACACGTTCGAGTTCCTGCAGAATGCTGGCGTAGAAGAGGTATTCGTCTACTGTGGGGCGCACAAGGATCAAGTGGAGGATTACATCAAGGCATCGAAGTGGAATCCTCCTTCGTACGCCTTCTCCAAGTTGGAGCTGCTACAATCCACGTCTAACTCAATTGGCGATGCCATGCGCGACTTGGACTCTCGGGGCATTCTTGTAGGCGACTTCCTCTTGGTGTACGGCGATGTCGTCAGCATGGCCCCATTAGCGCCCGCTCTGGCAGAGCATCGGGCAAGACGCGCAAAAGACAAGGACGCTATCATGACCATGGTTCTCCGGGAAGCTGGAGCAAGGCACCGCACGCTGGCGCAGGACGTGAAGCCAATCTTCATAATCGAACCATCAACAGACCGCTGTCTGCATTTCGAGCAGATGCCGAACCCCGCCGGAACGCACCACTACTCCATCGACCCCGACATTCTCTCCAACTTTGCGGAATTCGAGCAACGAGCCGACCTTATCGACTGTGGTATCGATATCTGCACGCCAGATGTTCTAGCCTTGTGGAGCGATAACTTCGATTTCCAAGCGCCTAGAAAACACTTTCTGCACAGTGTGCTGAAGGACTACGAACTAAATGGGAAGAAGATATATACACACATCCTCACAAACGGTTATGCGGCTCGAGTAAGGAATCTGAAGGCTTACGACTCCGTGAGCAAGGATATCGTGTCGCGCTGGGCGTATCCTCTCTGCCCTGACACCAACCTGCTCCCATCGCAAAACTATCGTCGACAGGGAGACAACATATACAAAGAAGATAGCGTTACTCTAGCGCGGGACTGTATCATCAAACCAAGAACGGTGATCGGTCGAGGGACGGAGGTGGGTGAGCGCAGCGTAATCTCAAACAGCGTCATCGGACGACACTGTCAAATCGGTCGGGACGTCACCATTTCGGGGACGTACATATGGGATAATTCGATAATAGGTGATGGGTGCACCGTGCGTGAGTGCATCATTGCTAGCGACGCGTCCTTGGGAGAGCGGTGTAAAGTCGAGCCTGGTGCTCTGATATCATATGGTGTTAAAATCGCTGATGACATGACGATACGCGGAGATCACAGAATCACGAAAGCGAGACGGAAGCGGGACGTTGGCGAAGAGGTTGAGGAAGGAGAGTCCAATCCTGCAGTCGTCGGGAAGGGTGGGAAAGGCTTCGAATTCTATGACGAGGACGAGGAGGACGAGGAAGAGATGGTGCAGGGCCTTGTATCAAATTGTAAGTGGTTCCTTTTGTGGATTACTTTGGGCATCAGTCACTGACAGATGAAGTCTACAACCTACACAATCTATCTGCAGAATCCATATCCACGCTAGGCCTAGGTTCTGAAGACGAATATGAAGCCGCGCGCAATCAGGGCCGTGCAGCAGCGGATAGCTTCGTGTCTATAGGTTCGCAAGACAGTTGCGCGAGCCAACACGCAGCCAACTTCGATCATGACGCCACAGCCAGCATCTACGATTCCCTTGTTGAGAGTCACGAATCGGCAAACATACAATTAGAACTCACGGCTCTACGCATGAGCACGAATGCTTCAGACCATCAAGTCCGACGTGCGATCGTCGTCGCATTCGCCAAACGCACTACCCAGCTAATTAAGAGTGGTTCGAGCATTCGAGACGCTGTAGCACAGGTCTTTGGCCACTACAAGGACCTCGTCGATCGCAGTATATTCGACAAGGCACAGGCCAACAAAGTCGACCAGGTGGACTTTATGTTGCTCCTGCAGAACGAGCTTTTGCACAGGGAGAGCGGAGATGTCATTCTTCTCACCGCGGCGACGAAGTTGATAGAACTGGATTCGATTCAGGAAGAGGGGATGCAGCAGTGGTGGGAGGATGAGAGATCTACGGAAACAGAGGAACTGAGGAGAGTCAGAGAGAGGACGAGACAGTTGATTGATTACTTGAATGAGTCGAGCGAGGAAGAGAGCAGTGAGGAGGATAGCAGTGATGATGAGGAGTCGGAGTAGATGACTACTGGGTGGTAAAAAAACAGTATCCCCAGCGTTAAATAAAATGCATGAGAAGTACGGAGTACATTCTTACGTTCAATATAGCGCAAGGCAGCAACGTTTCCATCCACCTTCCGTTGTGCTGAACTCATGCTGGATCCAGCACTCTACGTGAAGCTGCCTGAAGCCTGAGGAAACAGCTAGACCGTGTTTGGCAATCTCGCACGTTCCAGCCTCATTCACCAAGCCCAACGGGTGGCGGTGCTCGGCCGATTCAGGGAAAGCACAGCGCGACCAACCTTGCCAGTGGCACGCCGCAGCTCACAACCCTGCCCTGACACCTCCGACCCGCAGCGCTTCCCCTGCTGAGCAACCCCAACGCCTCCATTATTGCGAATCGGCAACAGCTGACTTTCTCTCTTCCACGCCTGGATTTGCTTTCTCCCAACCTGCTGCCTATACAAAGCCTTCACCCTCATTTTTCTGCGGGAATTCTTTGCTCAGGAGCCTTTCATCATCTCTGTTGACCCCTCTGTCTCCCGCCTGGTCTCGTCATCTGGCGAGGCTCGGCTCCTACAACCCCCACCACGCCTCCTCGCGCTGCAAAGCGAAAGGCATCGGTGCTGAGCGATAGCTGTCCTGCTCCAGTCTCTCCTTGCAAGAGAAAGACGCCTGCTGCTGCTGCCTCTGCCGTAGCCGAAGCCGACGACGCTGCTCCTGGATTGCCTGCTTCGCCTGCGTTGTCGACCGCCTGTGAAGTTATGGATTCTGAGGACGAGTTCAATAGCTCCCAGGTGAGCGAGGATGAGTTTATGATGGACGCGGATAGTGATGCGGAAGACGGTAAGCTTGCCATTCCCCTACCATTCAACCGCAAAAGCGGAAGCCTTAGAAAGCGGTTACTGATTGAACCCCAGACTCAGATTACGGCGTCGACCACGACGACGTGGGCTTTGAGTCCCAACACACCGACATCAAGCCTGCCAAGCACGCCTACGAAGTCGACTTCAAAGTATGCAGCCCCGAGGATATAGAGGCACAGCAGGCGAGACAGGTGGCGGATACATCGAGCCTCCTGGAGCAGCCGCCCGAGGCGACCGCCATCCTCTTCCGGCACTTCCGCTGGAACAAGGAGCGTCTGATTGACAAGTACATGGATAATCGGGACGCAGTGTTGGAGGCGGCGGGGCTGAGCGAAGAGGCAGCGTCGAGCCCACCGCGGATAGAGAAGGTGCCGGGGTTCGTGTGCGATATCTGCTGCGACGAGGATCCCGAGGAGACGTTCGCTATGAAGTGTGGGCATAGGTTCTGCGTGGATTGTTATAAGCAGTATTTGAGGACGAAGATCAAGGATGAGGGCGAGGCGGCGAGGATACGGTGTCCCGGGGATGGGTGCAACAAGATTGTTGATTCGAAGTCGCTGAATCTGTTGATAACGGGAGATCTCAAAGAAAGGTATGCACACAATTTGGAACTCTGGGATGACTGGATACTGACGAGGACAGGTATGACGAGCTGCTGACCCGGACCTACGTCGACGATAAAGAGAACCTCAAATGGTGTCCCGCGCCCGAATGCGTCTACGCAATCGACTGCAAGGTTAGAGATAAGGAGCTGATGCGGGTCGTGCCCACCGTGCATTGCGACTGCGGCCACGACTTCTGCTTCGGCTGCACACTAGACGATCACCAACCCGCGCCCTGCGCCCTCGTTAAGAAGTGGCTCAAGAAATGCGCCGACGACTCCGAGACCGCCAACTGGATATCCGCACACACAAAGGAGTGCCCCAAGTGCCACTCCACCATCGAGAAGAACGGGGGCTGCAACCACATGACGTGTAGGAAGTGTCGGCACGAATTCTGCTGGATGTGCATGGGCATCTGGTCCGAGCACGGCACGAGCTGGTACAACTGCAACCGGTACGAGGAGAAGAGCGGGCATGAGGCGCGGGATGCCCAAGCGAAGAGTCGCCAGGCCCTCGAACGCTATCTACACTACTACCAGCGCTACGCCAACCACGAACAATCCGCTAAACTAGACAAGGACATCTACCTCAAGACGGAGAAGAAGATGCAGCAGCTGCAAAACACGACGGGCATGTCGTGGATCGAGGTGCAGTTCCTGGACAGCGCGTCGCAAGCGCTGCAGCAGTGCCGGCGCACGCTCAAGTGGACGTACGCCTTTGCGTACTATCTCGCGCGAAACAACCTCACGCAGATCTTTGAGGACAATCAAAAGGATCTGGAGATGGCGGTGGAGAATCTGAGCGAGATGTTTGAGAAGCCTGTGGATCAGTTGCAGGGGTTGAAGGTGGAGATGATGGACAAGACGGCGTATTGTACAAAGAGGAGGATCATCTTGTTGGATGATACGGCGGTGAATTTGAGAGAGGGTATGTTGGATCTCGATGTCATTCACGAGAGGGAGTGCTAACTGGCGACAGGCAATTGGCAGTTCAATGTAGAGTTCCCCTGAGTCCCCCGAGTTGGGCCCGGAAATCCCACAGATGTGCTCAGCTTCCCTTGCTGGGGCAGAGAGGGTAAAGACGCGGTAGTTCCACCGGCCCCGACCGGAACCGAGTTGCTGGCTACTCTAACTGATCTCGCGGTGTATGTCGGAAGGATTGCCTCGTCGCAACCCGTTCGCTGCTTGGAGAGCCTCTCGTGCTGGGTTGGGTCGCACGGCGTGTTGATAGAATGACTCTTAGACTGTGCCATACCCCTCTCTCTGTCCACCCCTTCCTTGCTTTCCCTTCTCCTTCTTTCTGTTACCCTTGTCTTTTTGCTTGTAGGTGTTTTGGCGTGGCATGCATGGCTCCTGTTCCTCTGTTTTTAGGCCTTTTTTTCCTTTTTTTCCTTTTTTGGTCATAGCGGTAGCGGTAGCCGTAGCGGTAGCGGGCATTTTGAGTTTTGGGGGTAATGTTGGTGATATATTTTTGTGTCTTTTTTTTATTTTTTGGAGGGGTGGTTTCGGCTTTGGTTTTTGGGGAGAGAGGTTGTGGTGGTGAGGGTTAGGGGAGATGGGGTTAGATGGGTAGATGTAGCATAACAGGATGAGATGCGAGATGTGAGAAATAGACTGGGTACGGGTATTTCGAGTGCTTGCTTGCTTACTTGGTAGCTTCTTTGGGGCTTACGATTTTTGGTCTCCTGATATCAGTCAGAGTTTGAATGATGGACTAGGGCTGCGAGGTTCCAAGAGATCGTTGTGGGTGGATTGTAGAGTAGGTTGGTGTTTGTGTAGAGCATCTATGTGCAGAGGGATGTAGATCTATTCACTTTTTGAGGACCCCAGAACTACGCATGTACATCGCCAGTCGAACCAGACGCCTAGTCTACTCCCAGCCGCAGTTATCCAGCTTCTCCAGACCTTTTCACCCACCCCTAGACCAGACGATGGAAACGACAAACTGCTTCGTCAAAAGCTGCCCGCTTGATGAACTTCGCCCAACGAAAAGGCAAGCTCAGTGTCGAATCCATCGGTATGAGAGACCGCAACTTCAGCTTATATCCATTCCCGTTTATCCTGGGAGTACTTTGATACTGCAAGCTGTTGGCGTCGAGCTGAGGATGCGGGTTATGGCCCAGAGCATGGAGTTCCAACATGGTATCGTTTCATGACGGCTTCCACCGTCGCCGTCGGATAGGCATGCTGTATGCCATGGCGTTCCGATCGGGCCAACGAGTTTTGTAAACCCGACTTGATCCATGGGGTCCTGGATGCTTCATCTTGCTATTATAGCTGCCCCGAGATCCAACTCTCTCACCCAGTACCCTCGGCATCCCTCATTTCGACGTCTGATGCTGTTCCAGGGACCGTCTCACTGACATTATTGGACTCTTGCTCACTCCGCAAACGAGTTCCGAATCGCGTCTCGGATACTGCCAGCCGAGACTTCTCGCCCCGTTTCGCTTTGAGATCGTTCAATCTCGACAAAAAGCTACTGGCAACCGGAGCGCCCCGTGGCTCTTCCGTGAGCTCAGAGCCAGTTTGAGCGTTCCCACGTGCAGCCGCAGTTCTGGCCGTAGTCGTCTCCCCATCCACCGACATATTCTCGTAAACCTCATCTCGAGGTCGTAGGCGTGCTTCCGTCGCCACCAACTTCGTCGAGCTCAGCCCCAGGAGATCAACAGATGGTAGCGAACGCAGCGGTCGGTCTGCGCCCGAAGAATCAGGTCCGGGCTTCACGAACAGCATATCCGTCCCAACCGTCGATGCCCACGTGCAGCTAAGCAATTTATCTCGGTACTTGACGAGGGGGTTGCGTGTGTGAAGCCCGGTGATTTGGATGGATTCCACGGGAGGAGCTGGCTCCGCACCACCATCCGTTGTGCTGGCGTTTGCAACATTCGCATACATTTTCTGATTGAGGGCCCTCAGTCTGCTCTGCAGTAGGAGCGGATGACCGCTCAGCGAAGGCTGGATTGGGCGCCCGGACACGGGTGCGTCTCCCCCCTTCTCTTGCACATTCGATAGGTCCAAGGTGATGTAGAAGTCCTCGGTTTCGGTGTCGTCGTATTCGTACTCCCATTCATCTTCGTCGTCTGACTGGGCCATTGATGCCATGGTTTTCCCTTGCCCTCGAGTCAGGAAGGTCGCTAGCTTTGTATGAGCTTGAGATTACTAATGAGCTGTCGTTGAATGCCAAGAATAGCGCTGACGCACGCCAAGCTTTGGGCGGGTCCAATGCTTGTTTTGCGGGTCCTGGGTGATGTGAACGTCAACGTCGCACCACTCTTTACGGCCGGCCCGCTCGCTCATGCCTCGATATCGCGCAAGGGAACTAGCACAGCTTCGAAGGGGGCGACCGCTTCAGTCGTCTGTTGTCTGGAACTGAATGTCTACCCGAAAATAGTAAAATAGTAAGTTCACCACCGTTATTCGAATTTCTAGATCGAGCGCCGGTGTACTTTCTGTCGGTTCGTTCCCACTGGCACGTATACTATTCGGTCAATCGATTGGGTTCCGCGATTGCTACTTGTATATTGGATTGAACGGCTCCTCTTTGTCAGCTTCTACGAATCAGGAGACTCTAAGTTTCATAGACTCACCAAGTCCGGAGTATGCGCTGACGTCGGGCTCCTCTTCGGAATGGTGTTTGTCAGCTTCCGGATCGTGGATTGCAAATGTCTCCATCTCGGAATTCCCTCATTGTTAGTTTAGTCACGGGCTAACAACCAATCGATGCAGTGCCTATCATTACTGCTGTGCAGAATGGAGGCGGCCAGGCGCCGCTTCAGGGATTAATGCCCTCAATGCCACCCGCTTCGCCCGTATCTCCGGTCCTTCCCACATACCGTCCGGTTGAGCTGTACTCATGCCCCTCCTCTCAATATCCTCCCATTCCCGCGTCGGACGCATCCTGCGACCCTCCTGCTATTGCTATCCCATCCACATCATGCCATTCGCATGAAGAGCCGCCAGTTATCCGTATTTCATCGTCGCTCGCTGCTGCCCACAATAAGTCGGTTGATCCCGATACTCAAATGAAGGGGCGGACTCCAGCAGTCGCTGCTGTGAGTGCGTTCCTGAGCCTCTTTGGGATCTCTCAAGTCTACCAGAACATATTGTTTTCCAAGATCACACCGCCGTCGGAGAGGGCGCAAGAAGCAGAATGGGTAGCAACGTCCCGCTCTTGGGTGGACCGCAAGGCTTGCTCCTGGTTTGGCCTCTGTGGGCTCGCCCACCTCAACAAAGCTGCTTGGAGCACACCGACTGGTCTGAGCAAGACAGACGACCTTGGAGATAGTGAGAAGCATAGAGGTGTCAATCTGACGGCGTTCTGGGAAAGCGCAAATGTGGACCCCGCAGATTGGTCTGAAGAGGAACGCGCTCTAAGACAAATACCGGACTACGTGCTGGAGCATGCGCCGTACATCCACCTCTACTCTGGAGAAAAGTTCTGGCCTTGTGATATAGCGGAGCACTTGATCCACACTACCCCTCATCTCAACTATACTGCTTTACGAGCCATCTCGGACCATCCCAATCTTACCAATCTCAACGACCTGAACAAGTGGGGACAATATGTTTATTTGCAGAGCGATGACAATGTGGAGGACAGACCTGAGTGGTTGGGCGGTAAATCCAACATACCCAGTATACCCGACGATTCCGATCCAGAAAATTGGGCAGACTGGGACGAAGGCGCTCGTGGACGATTCAAGGAAGACAAGCAAGGGGAGAAGGAGGACTGGTTCAGTGTGGGCATCGGCGACACTGTGGACAAAGGGGGAATCCGCCGTCCCTCCAGTGCAAGCACCGGACCTGTCCCCATTCCTACCAATACCCCCGAGGGAGAACAGCTCGTCTATGAAGATGAGAAGCACTGGCGACCTGAGTTGATTCGCCGTAATCCACGCCATCGAGGCAAGAAGGTGGTAGGGGGCAAGAGTGATGCGCCGGTAATGCTCGTTGTTGTCCCGAAGGATGATGGAGTCGTGGATGCATTCTTTTTCTTCTTTTACAGCTACAATCTGGGCAATACCGTCTTCAATGTCCGTTTCGGGAACCACGTGGGAGACTGGGAACATACGGTCATTAGGTTTCAACACGGAAAACCGAAGGCGATTTTTTTCAGCGAACATAGTTTTGGAGAAGCATATCATTGGGACGCAGTGGAAAAGATTGGCAATAGGGTGAGTCGGCCTTCCTTAAGGTAGCGTGAGCGGTGCTGATTGTCAAAAGCCCATTGGATTCTCCGCCAGTGGAAGCCATGCAATGTATGCCACCCCAGGATTACACCCATACATCCTGCCAGGCGGTATCTTGCATGATCAAACGGATCGGGGACCTCTCTGGGATCCCCTTTTGAATTTGAAATCCTACACTTACGATTATCAACGCGACATATTACGAAGCTCCCAGCTCACTCCGCGCGCACCTACAGGCTGGTTCTACTTCCTCGGCCACTGGGGCGATAAGTTCTACCCTCTAAGCGATCCGAGACAGTACCGCTTCCTGGGGCAATATCACTACGTCGATGGACCGCTGGGACCTCGTTTCAAGAATCTCGGTAGGAAAAGGATTTGTCAAGGGAACAACGAATGCATTCTGGAGACGAGGAGATACTCCCGGCGGCTTCAACCAAAACACTACCCGGTGGTGGGCGAAGGCGAGCGAATGAGCGAAGAGGATACCCGCCGGTTTGTCGGACCGGAATAGACCCTGCAGCGGGTTAGATGCACTAGACGACTAGGATTGTTGTTGCTTTTGAAGGCGTTTTTTTGCTAGGCGAGTGACTTTCTGCACACGTCTGGGCTGCACACGGATGGCGTTCGAATCGGTTCGATTATGATGGGCTGCGCATATTGAGGACATGGCAACTGCAGACAAGCACTCGCTAACAGAGAGCGGGGGTACCATTGGTGGTGACGGGATCACGACTTGGATGATGAGTACAGATATTTTGTTGCATTTGTTGCATACGCTGTTGGTATTGGATCTATGGGATCACGTTTTGTCTTGGGTTTGGGCGGCGTTTACGGCTAAAGGCACATCACCTTTCCAACACATACAGTACCTAGCACTCGCCGGCGGTTGTTGTGGATAGCTGATAGCTGTGACATGGATCTCTGTTGGATATTGCACTCTGTACGGAGTAGACAAATCATCTCAAGTTCTCGTCACCTTTCGGTCACCCCTGCTTGTTGGTATTTAAGAGTGGCGACTGGAACTCAAACCTTGGATGGGAGGATGCATGCCCAGCAATGGCGCAAGCAGAACGCAAAAAGGTATAGGGTGCTGCGCCATATGAATTACAACACAGAAGAGCAGAGTTTTGGATTGGGCTGCGGATAGTTGGGTAAGGAGTTAAGGAGCAAAAGGATCGGGATCAATATAATCTATCGTAAATAGTAAAAGAGAAGCAATGCGCGCTCCGCGGCGTTCCGCGTGATAGGCGCCTTATCTCTTGTGTCACAGCTCCATCACGCGCAATGAGGACTAGCGCCATCCATCCATGACATAGAGCCAGACCTCCCTCACCGTCTCCATGGCCATCCCGTCGCCAGTTGGCTTGATGCCAGCTCACCTTCACTTCTCAACACCACTCAAACATCCCTAAACACCTGCTCAGAGCATGAGAGGGCTCCGTCAATAGGGCAAACGGCCTCATACACTCCCCGTCCTCGTCCCGGAGCTCCGCCCTCCCTCTCAACTTGATTCCCGCTCCCATCCCTATCCTCGTCCGACTCTAGCAGCTCCTATATCTCCCCATTTCTCGCCCTGACTTCCCTCTGTCGATTCCTCCTTCATTTCCACTCACCATCCTTTCACCATGGCGTTCCGGCAGAGCGTCCGACCCCAGCCATCGCGACAGATCTCCATCCAGCCTCCCTCCCCCGAAGTCGGCCCTGTAGCTTCACCCCAGCGGAAGCGTGCTCTCGAGGAGTCAGAAGAATGGGTGCTCTTCTCTCCGGGGGCACCCTCGACGATTGCGCGCACCCACACCACCTCGACTGAGCGTACTCCACGGACAGCTGGCCTGTCCCGTTTCAGCGACTTCGGCTCTCTTGACACCGCCGCCCGCAGCCAAGACGATGACGGCATCACCATACATGGGACCGAGGAGGGAGAGCTTGACAGCTTGGACGACGGTCTACATGCCTTCCATGAGCCTTCGGAATATGGCGCCGTCGCGGGTCGCTTACTGCAGAGTGGAGAGACTGTCTTACCTGCGCATGATGGTCTAGGTACATTCCAGCCTGATATGACAACGCAGGAATACTTGTGGCAGTTTGAGCGACAGGCTGCAAGGAGACCGCGAGCCAGGAGGCGATCCAGCGTACAACGTCGACTGGATGCATTGGAGAGTGCCGAGGAGCTCAATCAAGATCAAGAGAGCCGTCTAAGGATCGAGAAATGGCGATTAGAGCAAAGCAAAGCGTTGCTTGAGGAGATAGAAAAGGAAACTCGCCGGAGACGGAGATTGAGTATAGCGAGCGGTGCTCGGGCTTCGACCAAGGGCACACATCGAGATACACATACCAGTCTCTCCAGGAGGGCCCAATCCGCCACTGATGACCAGAGCGTCTCCTCAGAGGAGAGCACAGAAAGCCTTTCGTTCTTGGAGCGGCTGACAAGGCGAGTCATACGCGGTCTCATGGGTATCGATGAGGATACCCTTTCTGTTATTTTTGGGGAATCGTTGCCTCAGGAGGCTACTCTGGCCACAGAAGAACATCCTCCAACCTCAACTTCTGGGCAGCCCTCTCCATCTTTGGATGGCTCTTCATCACCCGCCGACAGCTGGGAGTACAGGCTTCTAGAGAGGGTTGCACGAGAGCTTGGTATCTTAGTCTCGCAGCTCTCGGAGCACCCTGGAGCTTTCTCTACTTATCGTCGAACACAAGCAATGCCAGAGTACGCCGGACACACTTCCATTATTCGAAATCCAGCGTTGGGTGACGACACCCTTCCTTCAACTACTTCCCCTTCGTCCCCTACCGCGCCCTCCACATCTGTATTTTCCCCGCAGCAGGTAGCAAGCCACTATAGCGAAGCGTCTCTCTGGGGTATCGAAGAAGAACCCGAAGTTGACCCCTTGGACTCCTTTCGGACTCCTGCCGCACATGTAGTGGACGCAGCAGAGGACTTGGCGCGCGAACGCGAGTACTGGGAGCGCGAACTTGACGTCAAAATGGTCTTCAACTTTTTGGTGCAACGCTTCTCGTCGCGTAGGCCAAGCGTCTCCTCCCAACATGAGGCAAACTCCGGCTCACCGTCCCGCCGGCGTCATAGCTCAACTACGGCGGGAGCGAACACTGAGGCTCTCTCCGCCCGGCGGGCGGCAGTGATACGGCAACACCACCCCCTTGTCGGCAACGCGGAGCGTTCCCTTCCTACCTCGTCTTCCCATGTTCGAGATGCGCGGCGAAGGGACTCCTTATATCGGCAGCACCTGCACCATCCGATCGCTGCACGTGGTCATACGCTCAGGAGTAGCTCCTCGTGCGCGAGCCAGAGCACGAAGAAGAGCAAGCACAGTGCGACGGGTTCGCGGAATTACTGGGATCTAGGTGGCAGTGTGGGGAGTGGCAGTGTCTTGGCTGGTGAGGTTTGAGGGACAAGATCTTTTGCATGTCAGGTGAACGGGATTTAATGATCGGTATGAGGTTACCATGTAGGGATGAAGTACACTTTATATGATGGCGCATAGATGGGAGTATTGGAGAGCTGGGGCTTTGGCGGCTGGGCCGGGCTGGGCATTGCTTAACGTCGTGCGCAAAACCCAGTTAGAGGAGCAGAGCGACATGCAAAGGCGTTGGGGCAAGGTCGTGCGGAGCGTGTTTGGGTAATCTGGTATGCTAGGTGTTGGTGGGACGGTGCGGGTTGCATGCTCTTCTTCACCTTCCCCCTTACTCAGCATCTCGTGTTGCTTTTATATTGGATTCGATCTAACACTGGGGATATTTCAGGGGATGCTACTTATCTCGCTCAGTAATTTCCAGCTACTGAGATAGATACCCTTGGAGGGATTGCGGGTTTTTGGAGGCCTTGGGGTGGGAATGACGATCTATATAGGGAGTGTAGTTTTAGCGTATGTTGCTTGTTACTCGCATATCCCGCTCAATGGAATGTATTTTTGGATACATACCATGGCTACGATGAATTTTCAGTAGTGACAATGGTGTATCAAGAAACATACTAGTGACGACCTGGTTTCAAAGATTATTCTACTTTTTGCAGTTCTCGTCTCCTTCATCCACGTCTAAGTAGCATAACTTCAGGACCTTGCGGCCAATACTCCGCTGGGGCCTGCTACGGAGAGCAGAGCATTCCTATCCAGGTATTGGGCCAGGTGTGGGCAAAGGAGGAGCGCCGCAAACGGGGCATGTTTCTCACTTCCCGAAAATTCAGGAAGTTCTTGAACGATCACGACGAATGCATATCCCATGACGATGAACGACAACACAGTCAAAGTAAATTCAAAAATATAGACAGAGAATCGAACCCCTCTCTCTTCTCCCTCCTCCCAGTCCCAAACCCACACCCTTCCCCCTCCCCATCATCACCCCTACCCATCTAGCAAGTCGCCACCTTGGGTCCCGGAACCGTATACGAGGTGAAAGAAGGCTGGTAGATGTTGGCCGTGTATCCCGGATCCGACGCCTTGACGTGACCCGGGATCTTGGTCGTGGGGGACAAGAGCTTGCTGCCGCCGCCCGTGACCTTGATCTGGGCGCAGGAGATGTAGAATTGGGGCGGGGAGCCCGGGTTGTGAATGCCGAGCTGCTCGATGCGGAGGAGGTAGTCGCCTGCGGGGATGCACGAGGGGATGGTAGCCGTGTAGGAGACTAGGTAGCAGAATACATGTCAGCCAAATGACGGATCCCAGTAGGGCTAGTAAATAAAAGGGGAATACATAGGGAAAATGGAATGAAAAAGAAACGTACTGCTCAAATCCCACTTGGCCTGGCCGCCCGAGAAGGTCGGCCCAATCTCCTTGATCTTGAACCAATCCGTGCTGCCGTCGGCCGTGGCCGCGTTGTCCACCTTGGTCATGTAGAAGGCGACGGGGCCCTGGTGGTAGACGGCCTGGTCCGCCGTGAAGGTGACGCTGGACCCCGCGGCCACGGCCACGGTGCTCGTCGAGCCGCCCGACCCGCCGCCCACGTTGCAGCGCAGGTCCGCGCTCGACAGGTCCGTCACGGGCGAGTTGTTGTTTGTGTTGCGGCGGATGTTTTGGTATTGGGCGCCCTTGACGCCGTTGGCGGTCAGGTATTGGAAGATGTCTGGCGGGGATGTTAGGTTGGATTGCTTGTTAAGGGGGGTGGGAAGGGGCAGTGTTGGGATGGGTTGGGATGGGTTGGGATGGGTTGGAGTGAGGGAGAAACTCACAGTGGCCGTGGGCAACCTCGGCGAGGGCGGCGAAGAGAACGGTAGCGGCAGCGAAGGACTTCATCTTGTTGATAGTGGGATACGAGACTGGAAAGACTCTGGGCCGGGGAGACTTTCTTCTCAACAACTGTACAGTGATGTGTGAGGTTTGGATACGAGAACCCTCAACCGGGCTTCCATCCCACCTTTATATACCACGCTCGCGTGTCCGCCTTGCGCAATCTCTATTGATTGCAGCCACACCTTGATTCCACTTCAGGACCAGACCATGGCCGTTCCCCAGCATTGACGCCCGAATTATTATTACTGTTGCCCTTGCGTCAGTCCAAAAACCCTGCCAGCAGTATCCTCTAGCCACTTCTTCGGTATCCAGGACGAAGCCATCCGATCTCATGACCTAAGGGGATCCCAACCCGGAGTCCACTGCCATCTACCCGTTGCCGCCGCCGTTAACCCCCTTTGAACACCGTTCCAGAGCATCGTAGGTGACAAAACGACTAGCAGCGAGGCCTGACTTCGGCAGGAGTCTGCAATCTAAATTCCACTTCAACGGCCGGATGCTTGGGTTTAGGCGGGAATACATCGACCTGGGGAACAGGAAAATGGACCAATGATGGGCAGCGGAGGGAGGATAGCGGGCAGGTGGACATGCACATGGATGTCATTTTTTGTGGGGTGCAGATATCCGAGGGTTTGGGGTATAAATTAGACGGTGGCTCGGCAAATAAGAAATAGATTGAGGTGTGTCGGAAGCTAGGACGGAGAGCAGGGAAGCGGGGGAAGAAGATGGAATGTTTCCCGGTATTGGGGGGATGGGGGGGGGTTGGGTGCGTGGGGTACGTACAAAAGGCGGAGGACGGGAGATGACAGGATTGCTGATCGTGGTGATGTTGGAGGTTGAAGTGAAGATGCTCGCGATGTCGGGACGGGGTTCCTGCACGGGCGCTTCGTCGATGTACTTGTACCTGTCGGGTGCCGTGGAATGTTTCCCGAAACATGGAATCGTCCGTCGTTTCAAGTTTCAAGTGTCGTGAGACTTTTCAACATCATTCGCCGTCTGTCGTCTACGGGGTGATTAGCGTTCATGCAGCCTGCTGGTAGATATCCTATTACACCAGGGTACGCTAGAGGGCATCATGTGACTGGCTCCGGATGTATATGAAGTTTGTCGACCAGCGGCGAAGTCCTTTCATCGGCTCGAATCCGCGTCTCTTGTTTTCTCTCTTGTTTTCAGCTGAATTAGGTCATGTTCAAGGTTGTAAGCAAGGGTGAGCCAGGTATTCTGGTGTCAACGGCCTTCAATTCTGAACATAGATGAGCATCTGCCCTGCCCCTATCACCCATTCACGCTCTACCTGAGTTCGCAAAGCTGAAATACCAAAGTACAGGAGACGACGTGTCCTTGCAAACTCATCGAGAAAGGGCTGTGAATGAAGACGCATTTCGGGTGCGACGATCGGACCAGATGTGTTTGATAGAAAAGCCGCCGCTGCAATTCACCTAACTCTGAGCTGGAATGAAGAGGAAACCCACGTAAGAATCCCGCGAGGACAGCGCCCATCGGCTTTTATCGGCGGTTCCCTGTGGCCTCTGAAGATACCAGGGACAAATACCAGAGCTGTCCATAACCACTGGCATCTGGATGTGTCCATGGCGTACAAGAAGAATCTCAGACGGAGCTTCCGACAGCATCAGAACCCGCGAAAGCGGTGGTGGAGTCGGTAGGAGAGCGTTGGCGCTCACTGCCATCGCTCCATGATGGCCATCGGAAAAGTGCGGCAGCCAACATTCAACGCCGTAGCAAACCAGAGACACTACCGAGTACAACAAACATCGCTGGACGAACCAGCAGAGAGCAAAGGGTCAAGGTTGTCGGGAATCGAGGGGTACAAAGAGCCACAGAGATGCGAATCCTCCACACTTCCAACCCGCGCTAGTCCTCATTTGTCAGGTCCATGCGAGAACACACCTCGCCTTCCATCTTATGTTCCATCACACGCATTCTTATCTCTATCACCTCTGTTTATGCTCGCTATACAAGTAGGAACGCTTGTTAGGTAAAATCTGCATTGCAGCCGTTCACGTAATCTGCCGTTCTCTTTATAAAAGGCCTCTGTATTCACTTGATCGTCCAATTCTTGTTCCTTTCAAGGATCACGTATTCTCTTGGAACAACTTTCAATGTCTACAGAATCAATCGCCACATCCTCCCCTTTGCCGCGGATTGCAAAAGAAGCTCCCGCACATCCCCTTGCTCCCCTATCCTCTGCTGAGCTCGTGGCTGCCGCAGCCCTCATCAAGGCATCATGGCCTAAACACACGAATCTGCACTTCAAGGTGGTCACGCTGGAGGAGCCTCCCAAGTCGGAGGTTCTGGAATATCTGGACGCCGAACACAGCAACAAGCCTCTCCCGTCTCTTCCTCGGAAAGCTTTTGTGAACTACTACATCCGGAACACTGCAAGTCGTCCTGCCATCATGTATTGATGCGAATCTCACAGTTTCTTCAGAACAAGTTCCACGAGGCCATTGTCAACCTCACAACCAGCAAGGTTGAGCACAACGTCCGCCTAGGTCCCCACATTCACGCCAATGGTGATGCTGATGAGCTCTTTGCCATCGAGAAGATTGCTCTTGAGGACGAGGCCGTCAAGGCCGAAATCGCCAAGTTGCAGCTGCCGGAGGGTACTGTGGTCATCAGCGACCCCTGGATCTACGGTACATGGCTCCCTCTTACCCCTGGTTCTTGCTTCCGCATGTACTAATGGTATTTAGGATCCGACGGTATCAACGATTCTGATCGCTTGTATCAGTGCTTTCTATATCTCCGGGACCCTATGAACCCCTCGGAGGCTGATTCTTGTCACTATGCCCACCCCCTCGCCATCTCCCCCGTCATCAGCACCGAGACCATGAAGGTCATCCGTATCGACATCATGCCGACCGGTGTTGACAACACCATCAAGCCTACTCAGCCTTACAAGATCAAGCCGCCAAATGAGTACCTTCCCGAGTACCAGAAACTGCGAACCGACCTGAAGCCCCTGAACGTCGTTCAGCCCGAGGGAGCCAGTTTCACTGTGACCCAGGAGGACACCTCCTCTGTTATTGAATGGCAGAAGTGGAGGATGCGAGTGGGCTTCAACCAACGTGAGGGGATGGTGCTCTACGACGTCCGCTATGATGGCCGACCACTCTTTTACCGCCTGTCCCTTTCCGACATGAACATCCCCTACGCCGATCCCCGCCACCCCTTCCACAAGAAGTCTGCCTTCGATCTGGGTGACGCCGGAGCTGGCCTCATGGCCAACAATCTCAAGCTGGGCTGTGACTGCCTTGGCTCCATCTACTACCTCGATTCCATCCTCGCCGATGACGAAGGCGGTGTCATCCCCATGCCCAACGTAGTCTGCATTCACGAGCAAGACGCTGGCATCGGATGGAAGCATACCAACTACCGCACTGGCCGCGCCGTTGTTGTCCGCAAGCGCGAGCTCGTCCTCCAATCCATCATCACCGTCTCCAACTACGAATACGTCCTCGCCTTCGTCTTCAACCAAGCTGGCGAACTCGAATACGAGATCCGCGCCACTGGCATTCTCTCCACCCAGCCCATCGATGAGGGCATCGAAGTCCCCTTCGGCACCGTCGTGCACCCCGGAGTCCTCGCTGTCCACCATCAACACATCTTCTCCCTCCGTGTCGACCCCATGCTCGAAGGCCCCCACAACCGCGTCGTCTACGAGGAGGCTCACGCCATGCCGCGTTCAGACTTCAATCCCCACGGCACGGGCTACTACGTCAAGGAGACCGTCGTCGAAGAATCCGGCGGCTACGACGTCGACTACAGCGTCAACCGAGTATTCAAGATCCAGAACCCCAACGTGCGCAACCCCATCAACAGCAAGCCCGTCGCGTACAAGATCCAGGCGCCCGATTTCCAGAAGATCCTTTCCGACAGGGACAGCTTCAATTACAAGCGTGCCGAGTTCTCCGATCACAACATCTATGTCGTCAAGCACCGCGATGGCGAGTTCTTCGCCGGTGGCAAGTACACGAACCAGAGCCGTGGCGGTACCGGTGTGCGCAGCTGGGCGGGTAGGAAGGAGAATGTTAAGGATACGGATGTGGTGCTGTATATCCAGGCTGGTATCAACCACGTCCCGCGTATTGAGGTATGCCGATCCCTCTTCCTTCCACTTCACCGGTCTCGTGACACATGTGCTAAATCTCGGAAATAGGACTTCCCCGTCATGCCCGTCGAGATACTCAAGATTCACATGAAGCCGGTCAACTTCTTCGACAAGAACCCCGCCCTCGATGTCCCGCCCAGCGAGCAGAGTTTCAACAAGAGCGCACTGCTGAGCGAGCAGCATCACCAGGGCAGTGCGGAAGCGACCGTTGGTGCGGACGGTACGACATGCTGCGCTTCTAAGCTATAGACGCGCAGATTGATGAGTGGGGAAGGGGTTTTGGGTGGGGTTGTGGCCTCGTTCCTTCAGAGGCTGGTTGATTCTAAATGAGGCTATGATGTTCGTTTCCTTTCTTCTCTTTCGGATGTACATATTCGTCACCATTTTTCCACTTTTGCTCTCCTCAAGTTTGAGATTCCTTTCTCTATTGATGATCGCAAACGAAGTTTCTCTATAGCATACCCCTGCATACAGTCAATCAACATCCCTAATCAACCCTCTCATGCCCCCCTCTCCGAAACCTGCGACACAGTCCCAACCTCCTTCTTCTTACCTCCCTTCCCCTTCCCCCTCCTCCACCTCCACCCTTTCCTCCACCACCGCTCCATCTTGAACTTCAACACCAAATACGCCAAAACCCTATACACAATGGCGCAAATTCCCAAGGCCATGACGTTCATCTCCGGGTGCTTGTAGTTCAATTTATACAGCTCTAAGACCTGTTCGCCCGTCTCGATGGGGCAGTTGCCGTTGGGTAGACGCTGCCAGTCTTCGCAGGTGAAGTGTTGGCTGCGTAGGGTGTAAGGGGCCATGTTTCCGATGGCGTATTTTATGGGGGAGAGGTGGTTGAAGGCTTGGAGGAAGGGGGGGATGGAAAGGGATATCACGCCGCCTGCGGATGTCGTTAGCGTCAACAGATAATAACCAAGACCATGACACCAAAACGACAGGGGAAAAAAAAAGAAACGAGAAAGAAAAGAGAAAAGAGTTGGGTGAGAAAGGAATCGTCGCGACATACCCATAATCTGCGCCACGCTCAAAAACACACTCATCACATTCATCGAGAACCCCGTATGCTCCACCAGGCTATTAAACATGATGCCCAAGCTCTCCCCGCAATTCACAATACACCACGCATTGAACGCGATGAGGAAGAAAATCTCGGCAGACCTCTCCAACCCGCACGCCAGCACAGCCAGCACCGCAAACAGCAGCGCCGTGACAATCTCAAACGGCACCTCGAGCGCCGTGTACGTGAGGAAGAAGGCGGACACGGTGTACACGCGGTCCGAGTGGTCGCACAGGAAGACGTCGCGCTCGGCGGGGTAGACGGCGATGTTGTTGAGCATGCCGACGAAGTAGAGCGGTGCGATCTCGACGAGGAAGCCGAGCCGGTTCTGCACGGAGAAGTAGTCGTTTTTGAGGGGCGCGAAGAAGAGGGCGAGGACGATGCCGAGGCCGATGACTTGGCCGATGCGAGCGGCCATGAGGTTGGGTTGGCGGAGCAGGTTCTTGGTTGCGCGGTGGAGGAGGAGGGGGAGGGCTAGGGAAAGGGGTGCGGGCGTGCGGGCGAGGCTGCCGAGTTGGGCGGGTGTGGTGATGGTCGTGTGGGTATTAGTGGTAGTGGTTGTGGTTGTGGCGTTTGAAGGCGTCCAGGCGGCAATGAGAGAGTCGACTTTGGCACGGCTGGCGGCTTCTCTGGTTTCATCTTGCAGGTCGACAGTGATGACGTCGAGAGCAAAGTCCGCTGGATTGGTGGATTTGGAGCAGTGGTAGCCTTGAGCGGCGAAGTGAGGAAGCATCCCTTGGGCTGGGCCTGCATAGACTGGGTAACCGCCACGAGCGAGCAGAAGAATGTTTCCAAAATGTCGGAAAAGGTCAGATCGTGGTTGGTGTATGGTAACTATGAGTGTCCGTCCCTCACTTGCCAATCCCCTCAACACATCCATGATTGACAATGCAGTGAAGGCGTCAAGTCCCGAGAGAGGTTCGTCCAGAAGCAGAATACGTGGCTCTGTGAGAATCTGTACGGCTATAGTAACGCGGCGTTTCTCACCTCCACTGATTCCTTTGATGAGATCATTGCCAATCAGATTGTCAGCGCAGTCTTTCAATCCCATCTTAAGCAGCACCTCTTCTGCCTTCTGGATCTTCTGGCTTTTCGACATCCATTTGGGCAGTCGTAGTCCCGCAGCAAACCGCAGCGTTTCACGAACCGTGAGTGAGGCGAGCAGAGCATCGTCGTCCTGTTCCACAAAAGATACTATGGCATGGACAACGTCATCGGACGGCGTCAAGCCATTGAATGTTACCCTCCCCTGCTTCCGGTATCTCGTTGTTACATCGTCTTTCAGCCGACCAGCTATGCTGTTGAGCAAACTCGTCTTCCCTGATCCGGAAGGGCCCATAATCACGTTGATAGCTCCAGGCTCAAACTCAGCAGTGAGCGGTTTCAGTATAGACTTCGTGGTTCTCGTCTTCCAGGACCGCTTGTCAATATCAAGGCTATACGCGTCAAGCCCAACCGATATTGTTCGAACTTCTTCAGAAGACCTGGCCAGCAGTACCTCCTTGCCGGCTGAGTCATCAGAGTTCGACGGTCTCGCCCTTGCCATTCCAATTTCTGCCTTCCAGTACCGCAGGATTACTGCCGCGCCTAGGTAAAATGCAATCGCGAAGCCGAGCAGTGCCAGGATAGGTCGCCAAATCCAATTATCCGGTAATCCCAGAGAAGCTAGAATGAATTGGCCGGTATATTCTTTGCATGCAGGGTTGGAGGCCCCTCCTTCGAGAGGACAATCATAAAAATGGCCAGTGAATTCGTTGGCACAAAGCGCACCAAAAGCGTAGAACTTCATTGGCATATGAGCAAACCAATTTATCTGTGTCAAGACATGCAGTGTGACTTACCACATAGGCGATCCACTTCGTCCATCGCACATATATTGGGATCGTGTTGGCTTGAATAAAGTAACCACATGCCATGGATTGGAGGGTGTATGCAAGATTGGCAACCAGACTGGCCTGAGGCTTGTCAGTATTGCTTTCCTCAACGTCTCCGAAAAAGCATTCATACCTCAGCAAAGTGCCTTGAAATGGCCACACATGTCGTAGCAAAGCAGACCGCGATGTAGTGCTCCAGTAAAATCACCGAAAAGAAAGTCATGAACTCGTTCCCATCAGTGCGGAACCCAGTCATGAAATAGAAAATCAAGGAGAAGATGAGCGGAACCGGGATGTCCTCAATCAGTAGCCGAGCCAGTCTCCTTGAGATGAGGAAGGCGGGTACCCCTACTATGCCTTGGCGGGATTCTTCATCGAAAAGTTGGATGTCTATGGTTAGTCGATAAGTCTCGTAGAGGAGAATCAGATACCCCTGCAGCGCTGCCGCAGTGTAGAGAGCGCCTTGGCGGGACCGAATTCCGGACAGGGAGCCGTCTACCTGGAGGAAGATCCAGCCCGTGATCACGCTCATTGCGATTGCTTCGATAAGACTGCCAAACATTCCCATGGGGTCCCTAATTGTCACGATCCATGTCCGAGCAGATAAGACTCGAATCTGCTGTGATAGTGATGCATGTGTGGTACGGATCCTTCGAGTGGGGCTCTTGGGGACCAATTTGGGTTCCGCTACGGGGGGAGTGCATACTAGTTGTGATACATGTTCTCGCCACGCGCTTTTGATGTGGTCCACACGAGCTTGGGCAATTCTTTCCGCCTCGGGGTCTCGGTTGTCAACAGAGACGATGTCGATGAGAAACTCTGCCGGGTTTACGAAGGGCGGTAGTTCGTGCCCTAGCTTTGCGAAATATGGAAGACATTCTTTGGCAGAACCAACATAGGCCGGGCTTCCTTTCGTCATAAGGATGACGTTGTCAAACAGATCCCAGATCTCGGACCGTGGTTGATGTACTGTTTGGCTGTCAGTTCCGCATGCTGTCGTGAGATTCGAGCGTCTCACTTGTGACTATAATTGTTCTGCCCTTTCGGGCCAAACTGCGCAATGTTCTTATGACCTGATATGCACTGGTGGAATCCAGGCCCGTGGTTGGTTCGTCCAGCCATAGTAGGCTCGGGTTCGACAGTAGCTAATCATTCTGTGAGTACGGCGCAGCATTGTTGCACAGCAGGAGCCTACCTGCACGCCTATACTCGTCCGTCTCTTCTCACCCCCGCTGCAGCCCCTATGTTCACTATTTCCTATTCGTGTGTCCGCGGCTTCTTTCAGACCTAGTTCAACGATGACCTCTTCAACGAGTTGTCTCCTTTCCTTTTTGCCAATTGAGGCTGGTAACCGCAAATCCGCCGCATATCGCAGAGTTTCACGAATCGTTAATGTAGGAAGAAGTATATCCTGCTGGATGACGTAGGCGCTGCGAACTCTAGCTGCGTCTTCACTTCCGTTGAACAGAGTCCGGCCTGAAAATGATAGGCGATTCCCATGCATGCGACCGCTCATTTGATTAAGCAAGGATGTTTTGCCACTCCCGCTGCCGCCTATAATGGCTGTGAGCGTGCCACTGCGCATCTCTCCAGAGATGTCATCCAGTATGGTTTTGACATGGCTCACTGTGGCTTGCCCTGTGGCGTTCTTGTGGCCCCAATAACTCTTCAAGCGACTCAACAAGCCCGGAGATTCATCAACTGTGACGGTAAGGTGGTCAAGCCGTACAGAAACTGGTTCGACTTCACGCAGTGAGATGCTGTTGTTCCGTTGGGAGCCATGAGTGGCTACGTTTGTAAGCCCCACTGGTTCTGTCGAATGCGGGACAGTTGGAGGTCCTGGCAGTGAATCTTTCTCCTGGTCCAGCGGATCTGGGCGTGTCGAAGAGCTGGTAGGCGGTCCTGGGGTTATCATTGCTGACCCGGCGATGCCGTAGTGAAGAGCATAAAAGTCAAGTCTCCAGAGTTCAACACGATTCTCTCCATCATCACTAAATTGGCATGTGCTCACGGTCGAGGTCGCTTAGCATGGATGTTAAAGATGTTGGCTTGGCTACCATCGCGTAGGAAGCGAGGGATACGCTACGGGGTTCCCCACTCTGACCCCGACGCATCCAACACCGACGGAACCGAGCTGTTTACGAGGCTGGGCTTGTGTAATGTAGCAGCTATCTTTGGGCTGACGGGTACTGTATAATATCGAATAAACTGCTTAGCAGCCTCTAACAGGCAGGAAGATTTCTAATAGGAAGGTGAGAATGGCAGAAAGTGGAGCTGACGTGGAGCTAACGTGGAGACGTCGGCGCGAGGAGTAACAGTAATTAACTGTCTTCTTTCTACAGAGATTACACAATACAATAGCTTATACAGCCAGGAGGAACTCGGCTGTTAGCGTCTCCTCTAACTACAAGCTTCTTTAGCAACACCGAATGAATCTAGGGCCTCCTATTCTGTGTAGAACTTCATCAAGATTTTGTCTTCCTGCCTGTTTAGGCCTAGCGTATGCGGACATCCGAGATTATACAGTAGCTTGAAAAGTTGCGGATTATTTGTTGTGTGACGTGTGCGACCACACACGTGGGAAAGGAAGATAGAGGGCGAATGGTTGATGACTTACAAACGCACATGTAACCCCCCAGCCCGTTCCCTCCTGCAGATTCCGTCCAGTTGCACCGCATCCAAGATGTCAATGACCACCCAGGTTCCAGGGTAACTTCATCGGTACTTTGGTAGGCTGCTATTTTGACTAACCACTGCGGACCAGTCCCAGTTTTCTACGAAGAATTCCAATGTCCTGTGAAGGTGTACCGGTCCGTGTCACAAGGCACACCGGCCTGTCGTTGAGTTCCAGAGAACTGTAATCGGCACTTCAGGGTTCGTAGGACCAAGCGCAGTTGGAGTTTTGGGAAAGTTTTAAAGGACCCATATTTCACTGGTGAGTTGTCGACTTATGTGGTCCCGTGTTCCGACCCATGCGACTCCGGCTGGTTTGCCATGAGCTGTTGTGATAAGGCAATAACCAAGGTACATAGGTAGCAGTCCAACAGTATCCGAGACTCGCAGTGTCCCCAATAAAGCATAACCTGCAGTTCCTAGCTTGCTGTTGGAGCCCAGGAATATGCTTATATGTCCGATTGGTGCAGTGGATTGCTACGCCGTACTATGCCACAAAGAAACAACAGACGTCACCCAAGGCAGAACGCCAGGCTGTGGATACAAATGACGAGCTCGGCATCTTCAAACCTTTGGGATTATCTCGCTCTCTGCAAGAGCTGTACCTGCTATTCTGCTCCGGAAGAGTTACTTAGCCTAACACGACAAGTGTTATTGCTGGTTGTCATAGGATCTATCAGGTTAGAACCTCACCATGACAGCAACCCTGCTTTTCTGCATAGCGGAGGACGCTAAGCCTGTAGGTTATTCGCAGATGTACATCGTGTTAAACCAGCAAGTCTAACAGAGAAACTCGTAGTTCATTCACAGAATCCTGGCTGAGGATCGTGTCTATCTCGTTCAATCGCATAATCTACCGAAAGATAAGAGTGGCTTCAAGACAGATTTAAAGGAAGGGGAGGATTTCGAGACGGAATTTATCGGTACTTCTCTACAAAACTGCCAGAAATGGACACTGGAGAAGCAGTTCCAAGTCAATTTCATTCAGCAGAACTTTCCGGCCATTGCGGATGAGCGCACCTCCCGTGATGGAACTATTCTGATGCAATGTTATAAGAAGGACTTGGGCGAAGACGGCGAGTTGGAGTTTCCACCGTACGGCATCCTTCCCAAGGAAAGAGACACATGGTACGACTTCAGAATCGACCCTAAAGGGTCATTTAGGTTGACGGCTGCTCTGTTCGCTACCGAGCCAGATGTGATATATCCTACCGATTTTGGGCGTAAGGAGGAACTGACAGATGAATACGGTGTGTTCAATATTATTGCGGCGAACCGTGCGGTAGGTAGAGACACGTACAGCGCATTTGAGTGTCTGTACCTCCAGAGGCATGAAGATACGGGAATATGGGAGAGGTGAATCATCGAAGGAAGAGCAACAACACGGAGCAGGACCCTGACAGCAAGATGTAAGTCGTCTTCTCTTCAAATTCATACGCAGTGTGATGCAGAAAGTACAAGTCATGGATTCAATTACAATAACTATATGACCAGCTACGTACCTCGCCATCCCATCAGCAGGTTTAAGCCCGCAATCAGCAACCGCGAGTGTGCAATCCTGTGTAAGAGCCAGTGGCAGCCAGCTGCTTCTTCTCACGTACAAGAGTTCCTAATGTTAAGGTAACAGACGCACCAATCCAACTAACAATGGATACCGCGATTAGACACGCACAACTCCGCATAGACGCTTTCAATGTTCAATGAGTCAGTCTTTCCTGAGATACCGTCTGTGGTGCAAGTTGTAAGAGCTTTCTCTGACTCCTTTCTCTTTCTTGTTGCAAACAGTACCCGTATTTAACATGTTTGACTGAACCATTCTTTTCAAAATCGGATAAAGCGGTGCCTCATAAGACAAGCATACCTTCAAGTTAAAGTTCTCGTACCCTAAGGTAACAAATATGACGAGACAACTGGGCTAACCCCAAAATTGCCATCGCTATGATTCTACATTCACCAGGGCCTCACGGGGTTAATTTGTACTGTATTATTCTGGAAGTGATTCTGTATTCCATATCAATCTTAGCTGGGATTCATCCGTCCAGTTTTCTCACGGTTCTACCTGCTTGGGATTATTGCACTGCCTTTTTGGCCACTCTCGACTTACAGTTTACTGGGCGGATACTGCCAGGCGCTCTACAAGAATCTATATCTCAATTGAAATTCTTTCCATGGCTTGTTTCGCGGATTTAAGAATGCCGCAGAAACTCCTAATGTTGTACAGAATGCCAGGTTGGAAACTTACCAATAAGAGTGGTATATGGCATCTCAGCGGGAGAATAAGGCAATCTCCACACAGCGTATCGCCGCCCCCGCACAAAGTAGGTAGAGAACAGCAACGCGAACTTCGGCTCTCAGGACTAAGACTTACATTAATAATACGACGGAAGCTTGCGAGGAGTTTGCGAACTCCAAAAATTGGAAATTGGCTTGACCACTCGCAACAGCTTCTGCTTGACCGCAAATCTTACACCGTTCAGGACCACCGCTGGGAGCTGGATAATTGCCTACTATCCGCCACCACGCGATCTAGAAGGACCATTTTCACGATCCGTCACCGTTCAAGATGTGGCACAGGCCGCTTTATCATCCACAATCTGACATCGGTGAGCCAGAACCGACAGTCTTACATCCGCGTGGCATTATCCTCGATCGCCAATTCGTAAACCCGCCGGTATTATCGGATATGTCTCTACGCAAATGAAAATCGCTACGGTATCTGAGACACAACGATCGCCGCGCCTCCAGATACCTGGGATTGAAACGACGTCTACAGGCGGCACCATACTTGTTCCGGTGTTTGCTGCATTGAGGCGCTCAAGTGAGCGCGCGAAGATGGCGTAGCCTTGTAGGCGGTGAGCTGAAGAATGCTCAGTGCTGAGTTGAGAGGCGGCAATGTCTTAATCCGGTCGCGGCGACTCCGAAATAATCAGATTGACCGTTTAGCAAGTCTGTTTCAATACCGACCACAGATTGAATAGAGATTGAAATGAGGTTGGTCAGGAGGACATTTCTTAATGTCAACATGTCATGGTCCGGTGAGACATCAGGAATTGGCGGAATTATTAGCTCTTACCATCCAACTGGCTGACGCGCTCATTCCTCGGTCGACGCGCTGTCACATCAAACGCGCATGTCTCCATACTTGGTAGGGTCAAATCCCTCCTTCACTCGCTCGCCCAACTACGGCGAAGGTTGCTCCGTAGGGTACCTCTCATTTGGATTCTCGGTGGTCTGATCCGATATCATCTTTCCGATATAGCGACCTGTTGAACGGCTTTAATGCACGAGGTAGAAGTGTTTCGACACCCTGCCCTGGTCCAACCGCCAGGATATGAACCCAACGCGATCCTCCATCGCGGTACTGACCCCCACGCGGAGCGCACTACCTTTGCTGGACAGGAGTCCTCGTCACCGCAACCCCCATTTGAACGAAATGCCGGACTTGGATGTACTCCATTTACCGTACGGCTGGTCGCGAGCGAACAACCCCGAGGTAAATCTACGTCATGCTATCCTATCCTCGTCGCCAAAGAAGAAAAACGTGCTGCCGTCCAGACTATGTACTGTACCAACATATGTTCCTGAGCTGTCTATAAGACAAAAGAACACCCCCACTCAAATTTCCCATCCAAAAGGACATGCTGGGGCCCCTTCACTTCACCAAGCTGGAACTACTTGTACAATGCGTCGCCAGTAGATACTGCATCCACCAAAGTGCCAGTCAGCGGCAGATAGGTACACATTTACCCAGACGGGCCTATGCGGTTGCGTGTTCCTGAACGTGAATCATGGCTTTTCGTCTCTACATCTTGTCAATGGTCCTTTGTTCGCCCGGCTAAATCAGTAGAGCATGGTCGGGCCTGGTAACTGCTGGTATCTGCATAACAACAACATCCGTGAATCCATCGTGGCATCGTGGTTGCGGACGAACGTGGCACGCTGAGGAAGGGAATGAACAAACGAATTTGCTAGGTAACTAACAAGGGACTATTAACCCTGATCTTGCCGTTACCCTATGATCGTCCCGGGCGACCTTGAGGATTTATTGGAGGAATCACAAAGATGAAGGTCTCTAATCTCTAACACCTTTTACGACAGTACCTTTTCACCGCACCTCATAATAGCCAACAGGATTGAACTTGGAAAGGATCTGAGAAGCTGGACATTTTTGAATATAGAGCTTTGTTAAAGTAGCTTTTAGGAGCGGTTACTAGTTCGAAGCTCAATAGCGATACTGATGGACATGATTTTGGCTCTCCCTCCAAGCACACAATTATTACGCGATCTCGTCAGGCATGTCGACTTCTCAATTCGTTGTCCAGCATTTACCGCATCGGAACAAGAGATCCACGCATCAATGCAGCGAGCGGCGAGAGGCGAGCCTCGTCCATCATCGTCTTCAAACGGTATCTACCCAGTCGCTTACCCTACCTACGACGCTAAACTGGCAAAGGAGATCATCCATCGCCTTCCCGCATACAGAAGCACATGCATAGAATCGGTGAACGGTGAATCATGACATTTCTGACAAACCTCCCTACCCTTATTACCCATGGTAGGTAGAGCTGAATCTGACTTCCCCTCTATGAACCATCAATTTCTTCTTTCCATGGCTACTACTAACTACCACCACGAAGAGTGACCCTCAACCACCACACCCCAACCTCGCCCCACTCACTCAGCGCGCCCGCCTCTCCGGCTTCTCTCCATAAACTCCATCCCAACCGCATCCCGGACCCAATCACCCACCTTGACTCGACCGACTCGACTCACCAGCCAGGGTCCCACGGGAGCAACCGGGCGGCGCATGAATCGCTCCCTTGGTCGCCCGTGAACCCCGTCCGTGCCCCTCCTCTCCCCTTCCCCTCCCATCCACTCGCGACTGGTATCCCCGTCCGCGATATCGAAGCGATGCGCGTGGTGGATCGACGCACTGCGACCAGCGAACGGTAAACGGGAATACCGCTCCGTACCTATGCCCTGAGAAAAACAGCTTTCGCCGCATGCATGAACGAAAGAAGAAGCGAGGTTTTTAACGGCGATAAGTGTAGATCCGTCAGTTGCTGACTCCTCGCCCCTCGCATTTCCACAGTACTTGTAGGTAGGTTTACTAGCGCCATATACAGTTCTTCGTCCGAGCCCTCTATGGAAGCAACGTGCGCATCATCATCGGGCCATCCCCATTCCCAATCCCCATCCCTATCGGCTTTTCGCCCCAGTACCGGCCGAAGTCACATCAGCCCAGGTCTTCGAGGATTACAAACCAGACCAAACCCAACTCCCCTCTTTCTCTTCCTAGCTCAGCTATTTTGAGGCACCATTACCCATCCGGGTCATCGTGAAGCGGTGAGATTCAAAAGTGTTCGCCTCGGCGAAACCTTATTGCGTTTTTGGAAGCACGGTGCGAAGGAGGGAAATCGGTGGTTTGGTATCTCGCCAATGGGGTGAATAATCCCTTCAAATACAACAAGGACATTCGTTGTTAAGCTCAGAGAGATACAACAACAGAAGAAGTAAACAATCAAAGATAGAACACCAGACACAACATCCATCATATCAATCAAAACATATCCATAAGAAGACGCCGTCTCCCTCAAGACAAACCGCGCGAGTGATTGACTGACCATGCCACCCAACCAACCTATGCATTCAAAACACAGCTATCCGCCTGCCTAGACTTGAGCAAATCGAAGGCAAAGAGAACACACCTCCCACCTAGTGCTAATCCGAATGAATACGCGTGGTGCGAAACAGAAATCAACTTCTCCACGCTGGCAAAACAGGTCTTCCGCCCACCGCTCGGACAATCAAACAGATCTACAAGACCTCCCCAATACCGCGATGCCACAATGCTGCAATGATGCCGCTTGCCACTGCCCATCGAAACACCATAGCCGCCACATGCTAGCGAATATCGCCACAGAACGACTGGCAACGAGGAAAGAAAGAAGGAAATAACGTACAGACAAAGACCGAACGATGCCCCACCATAGGAGAAGTGTGCCCTTCCCATATCCCCACCCAGCCCAACCGTACCTTTTCCCAGAAATCCAGAAACAAACCTGTCGCCGACCGTTCCATTCGTGTGCATGACGCCTCATTACCTATCCACCTCTTCCTCATGCCTCCTCACGTAGCCAGAAAATCCCACCCCCTCGCATTGATAATCTTCTCCCAGTCCCAACTATCAGGATCCCCCCTGTCCATGAGCCTCCACACTTCCTCAACCACCTCCTTCGCGCTCGCAATATTCCCTAGACCCGTACAGGCCATCAGACCTTGAAACGCCCGCTCAACCTCTACGCGCTGCTGCTCTTCAAACGCAGCGCACCCGATGAGGAACAGCGGCAGCAAGACATTCGACTGAATCCAGCCTTCGGCGGGCAACTCTTTGATATACCGTATGCCATTGTCGACGGCCGTGGAGATATAAGGATGTGGTTTCGACTCCTTGGTCGTGCGGTACAGGTACACCCAAGCTGCCTGTCGATACAACATCGAAATCGTATATCGCGGTGTCCCGGGAGTCTGAGGGCATTGCCAGCTCCGCAGACCCGTGTCAATAGCGTGCGCAGCGTGGAATGCCTCGTAATCCATTGCCGGTTCCTGTCCCGTGTCGATGCGCTGTCGTATCCTCCTCCTCAAGCCGCTGATCTTCGACATGAAACCGAAAAGACCATCTGATACACCAATCATGCCGGCCGTCTCGGGATTAAGTGTAAAAGGGAGATTGAAGTCGTCCATCATTCGGATCTCTGTGCCTTCGAGCGAAGTGACTTCGCTGGCAATCCAGTGGTAATAGACAAACTCGTCGATTAGGCATTGAAAGTCGCCGTTCTTCGATTTTTGGCTCATGACGATTTTTTTGGCGGCTTGGAGGTGCATGCGGTACTCGCCGTCTGTGCTGCCTTCGCAAATAGTGTTCAGCAGGTGGACGAGAATCTGCGCGACGTTGTGATCTTCGAAGATGATGTTACCGCCGTCGCCGCCAGCCTTTTGTCGCTCGAGGTCATGATGTAAGAGGTGGAGGGCTCGACCACGATGGTAGGCTTGCCGTTCTTGATGTTCCCGCGAAGGGTTGACGGAACAGAAGTGCGAAGCCGAGAGACAGAGCACAGAATGCATTAGGCCTTCGTGTTTCAAGGCCATCGGGAGGAGAATCTTCGTGAAGGGGTTATTCGAGTGGTTCCCGTCGAGACTGAGGACGCAGCTTGCTCTGGTGACGAAGTGTTGCAGAAGGATCCTGTCCACATCATTTTCTACGCCCTCCATGAGCGGCGGCAGTTCATATTTGACATCAAGACTGGCTCTCCGCGCTGCGCTATGTGTTAGCTGCTGACAAGGGGTGGGGTCGTGGATCCAACCTTCTGCTTCGCGCTCCTTTCCACTCTTCCACAACTCCACCGGTTTGTAGCCTTCGCAGTGGATGTTATTCTTTTTGCAGGATTGGCCTGTTTAGTATCAGTCAGCTTGGGGGTGAGTAACGAGGGTTATGCACGCACAAAAGGGTTTCGTCTCGTCGCACTTCTTCTTTCGCTTCCGGCATGTGATGCAGCCCGTCTTGGACCGTGCCTTCGCCGACGACGACGTTGTCGGTGACCTTTGAGGATGTATCCGCGGTCGTCCTCTAGCACGTCGAACTCTGACGGGTTCGGTGGGCGATATAGGAAGGGCATCCGCAGCTACCTCCGATTTTATATCCGATAAAGAGAGTTCCAGTTCCTCGACCTTGGGCAGAACATTTTCGTCGAGCGATTCAGCGCAATCAGGTTTGACTGAGGACACGCCAGAATCGAGAGTGGCGGTGTCACTAGGTGATTCGCTGCTGGACGACATGGAGGGTTGAGGGGATGAGCTGATGCTCGACCGATGGTGGACTCCTGGCGGTGGATGCCCGACGGTAATGGTGGAGAGCATTTGGTCCGACGCGGCGGCGACTACGATGGCTAATGGAACTCAAGGATAGACATTGCACGTTGAAAACGGCGCAGTGGACGGGTGGTGCGCTTTGCCGCGGCTTGCTCGAAGGTATCTTTTCTCAACTCTGTGCCGTATGAATTCGATACTGCAATAGGTACTCAGTACGACACCCAGGGCAGATTTTTGACAGTGTCGTGTCGCAAGATACCTTGTCTCTTGGTGCAAAGAATCGTAGCGGTATGTCGGGACGGTTACTAGACTATCGACGATGCGTGAGGGCGGGGGCGGAAGGGTGCCTTGGCGTGTATAGAAGGGAACCAATGACTAGAGATAGACAGTCGCACCGGCACACGAGTGCGACGTTCCTGTTCGTATTGCCGTCCAGGTACAGAACGAGATACAAGAGGGCGACGATGGGAGAGCTGGCCTGGCTGTGCACACGAGGGATGAGAGGAGCAACAGGAGGGGAAGAAGGCGTGAGCAGCCGTGCGGAGCAGAGGAGACGAGGGTACGATCCTGCTGAGGGGGAGGGAATACGACTTTAACGACCAGGAAGATGGTGGTTAAAGTGCTGGGCAGGCCGGTACGAGTCGCTCGCTATCCCTTTTAGTTTGTGTCGCACAGCAAGGTGGAGGCGGATGATATATAGGACAACGAAGGTTAGTAGAGTAGCGATCCTGCTATGTATGCGCGGCGGCAGAGTCCCCCAATTCGATGGGGGTAGTCGAAATAATAATGGGCGACCCTGGTGCCGTTCCGAGTAGCTGGGCGCCGCCCTTATAAAAGTTAAACCGGTTGGAGGCAGGGAATAGCACACAGTGCACACAGAGGACCGTGGGACGGCGGCGCTCGGAAGGGAGAGAAGGCATGGGCCGTGGCACCGTAGCTTTCGTAAAAGGTCCATGCACGGGACTCGGGAGAGCGTTCCAGTAGGTAATCTGTCGGGGCGCATGTATTGTATATAACGTGCTGCCTCCAGCCCTCCATCTGTCTGGCTGACATGCGCCCGTCTGGGGCAATCCGGGGACATGCTCGCTCTCGCTCTCGCTCTTTTTACCATCAGCAGCAGCCCGCCAGACGCTCCCGTTGAACAAGCTGCGTTCGCGGGACTGCTTTGCGCAATTGCAGGCGACAGGTAAATGCCTCCTACGAGAGGAATTCTCCTTAGCAGGTCCATGCCCACTTCCCGCAACATACGGCTCGTTGCTCGCTCTCGCCCGCTTTGGTCCTAAAAGGGTAAAGCCGGCCTTCAGGTCTGCGATTGCCGTTGGCTGGCTGGGCGTGTCCACTTTCCATGGTGGTGAAGTGATGATTTGACCATGGACAGGCGGGGGTTTGCTGCAATCGAGGGAACGCCTCGACGCAGGCTTGCAGCATCTCCAGGCCGTCATTAGTGGGAGACATTCTGCGCCCGCCCAGAGGACGTCCTTGGGATCGATGCTGCTTACCTATTATTGTCACTCTTAAGCAACCTTGCAAATGCCATTCAGATTCCATCATCCAGCTAGTGACCACACGCGACCCTGCCTGGCTGGGGCTCAGGGTGTCAGGGTGGCAGCTCATTATTGCCCTCGGGGTGTTGAAAGGCGGAGACCAACCCCACAAGGGCCGGAACGCATACTGTAGATGCAGATTGCTGCGGCATTGTGGATATCCTCTGCTCCTCTCTCGTGCCACGATGACATCGTCGTAAACTCTCCACGTCTCTACCGGCTCCTACTGGGCGCAACACTACCCCTTTGCAGCGGAGAAGCATTTACCAAGCGACCAGCATGACGAGGGAGGATGACGAAGCCTGGCTGGACAAGTGTGAAACTTTGAACTCCAGTCGACCCTCGGCAGGGATAGCAAAGGCGGCAGGGCATCTCGAGATCCTGGGGAACGGGCACGGGCCCGTCAAGGGAGGGGACAGCCACGACAGCCCCAGCCGAAACTTTGTCCATCAACGCAAGAAGCTAGGAGATGCGGGCAAATCATCAACTCCAGTTGATGATTCATCATATTGCTGCCCCACAGAAAAAGGCAGCGTGGCCCTCAACGCCTCGTGTCTCATCGTTTGCGGCGCAGTTGGCCGAGCTCGTATGTGCTCCGTACTCAGGGAACAGAACGTGCGGAGAACTGTCAGCATGGGGCGTCGTCAACCCATGGACAAGGTAGAAGATCCGGACGGTCCACACCATGATCCACATCTCCAAAAGCCCAACAACCGCACCACATTATGCATCTTGCATACAAAGCGGGACAGAGTTGCCGTCTGGGACTTTTTCCTCAACAAAGCATGGTCCAGTGGCTGCTGTACAGATGATCTGTGCAGGTGGACTCCCGGATTCAATGTGCCGGCCGGTCGCAAGAGTCGGCGAGCTGAAAAGAAATAACAAGCAGAATTGATGGGATCATAGACTCTCATTGGCGTCCATCGATAGCGTTCCTCAGGAAGCTAGTTCACAATAGCCTCGCTATGGGATCGTGATGTGTCTCAAGGGCTCAACAAAACAAGGCCAGGTGGAAGCCTAATCAGTGGCGCGAACGTGCAGCTGGATGCACTGCAGCAATGCAGTATGAAGTCCGCGACTTCCTTCTCGCTGTGGTCCGGCAGCTCCCGAGCAGTCGCGATTGAGGCGACGGAAACAGGATTCAGATGGTTTGCAACCCCTGCAGCAGAAGAACCGTTCCAGATGACTTACATTAGCTCAATCATAGTATTTTGGTGGGATGAAGCACGGGATAGCTGTGTGGAGGGGAGTAACAAATCGAAGGGTAAAATGTGACGTGCATATACTCTGTATGCTCTGGAGGCTGGAGCTGAGCGGGGGCGGGGGCGCTTCATGGCCTTGTCGAAATAATTGGACATTAGTGCTGTCCGAGATCGCATCTGCTGCATAGTACCTCTCCGTACGGAATATCTCCCTGCGAGACGTTGCTTTCATCGACGTCGAGCCCTGCCACGGGGAGGCCAGCCAGAGGGTACCAGCCGAATGTTGCCCCGTGAAGAATCGAGCGCGGAAGCGGGAGAACAGCGCGGCCTGCATGAAGGCTCAATCTATCCAAGAGGGATCTGCCTGCAGCCATGCCCGTGCCTGAACAGGCGGGTAATCATCTGCGATACTGGCGACATCTCTCGGAATTGACTCCTTGTTACTTTGCCAGTTGTTTTTCAGTCATGTACGGTACTGTGTCCGGAGCGTTACTGTAACCGGTTGCTGGTTTCCGCATTTTCAGAGTTCCGAAGAGTTTCGTTTCGACGATCGGGAGTAGAGACCGAACCTTGGGCAGAACTCAACGTCGTGTTGTGGCCGTGCGGCTGAGCTGTTCGGATGCCTTGCGTCAACGCTTTCCCAACAAGTGGAGTTGCTTTCCGGACCCACGTTTATCCGGTCTCCGAGCAGCGACCGGGGTCAGCTCATTTCACCTTCACCTTCACCATGAGCTCATTCGATCACCTCTCAAAACCAGCCCCAGTTACTCTCCCCATTCTCCTGTGATTGGCGGCCTAGGATTGCTTTTAGCAGAATTCTTCTATATCTGGGCCATCACGACTTTCCATTCGCCAAGACCCTGACCCATTGTTTGGCGAACCACGCGCTTCTTGCCGTCCCCGACCTAACGTCGAGTACCTATACCTCCTATCCAGCGCTCAGTTAGCACTTTTCTCCAGGCTCTCATTACTTGGTCCTGTTTTCCAGCCATGCGCTCCTGGCGTCAAACAGGGTGATTGAGGCCCTTAACCTAGGCGGAAGCACTCTCGAACCGGAAGCATTCCCCCTCCGGCCCTGTATACCAAACGCCGGCTTTCTAGGCCTGACTCCAGTTTGTTACGCTAGGGAAATATTCCATATTCCCCGTAGTTCAACGTACAGCTATCTCCACGCTGGGATACCTATATCATCATGTTCAACTTCACTCCTTTGTTGGGCGCGCAATCCTCTTCCCCTGCTTCGCAATCTTTACTGGAGTTCGATGGCGGTATAAAGATCCTCATTGATGTGGGCTGGGACGAGAGCTTTGACGTCGCAAAGCTCAAACAAATCGAGAAGTATGTATGAGATGGAAATCGTAGCTTCCCTTTCAAACAATCAACACAGGTTACTGACACCTGCAGACACGCCTCCACCCTCTCCTTCATTCTCCTCACCCACGCCACAGTCGCCCACCTTGGAGGCTTCGCTCATTGCTGCAAACACATTCCTAACTTCACCCGCATCCCCGTCTATGCAACCATTCCTGTTGTCAGCCTAGGCCGCACGCTCCTCCAAGACCTCTATACCTCCACCCCTCTCGCATCCTCCATAATACCCACTGACGCACTCACCGATTCCGGCTATGCTGTCTCGCTCAAAGATGGTACCAACCCCAATATGCTCATGCAAGCCCCTACGAATGACGAAATCGCACACTACTTTGCGTCGATCAAGTCGCTCAAATATACGCAACCGCACACGCCTCGCGAGTCGCCCTTCTCACCGCCATTGGGAGATCTTACCATCACTGCATATAGCGCCGGACACACGCTAGGAGGCACAATATGGCACATCCAGCATGGCATGGAATCGGTCGTCTACGCTGTCGATTGGAATTCATACAGAGAGCATGTACTGTCAGGGGCCGCGTGGCTGGGTGGAGGAACTGGTGGCGCCGAAGTGCTGGAGCAATTGCGCCGACCTACCGCGCTTGTGTGCAGTTGTACAGGGTCGGGGCAAGCCGTGGCAGCGCAGCGGAACAGCAGAGATGAGGCGCTGCTTTCTATGGTTCGGGAGACGGTATCGAATGGCGGATCGGTGCTTATACCTTCCGACTCGAGTGCGCGAGTTCTCGAGCTGGCCTACCTGCTAGAGGAGACTTGGGCGAATGAGCCATCTAATACTGGGGATTCTTTGAGAAGCGCAAGGCTTTACCTCGCCAGTCGCACAGGCGGCGCTACGATGAGATACGTGAGGAGTATGCTAGAATGGATGGACGAAAGCATCGTGAAAGAGTCGGAGACGGCGACCGGCGCACAAGAAGGCCAAGATAGGAGACGGACCCGTGGACATGGTGGTAAAGGAGACGAAGAGAAGACTCTGCGCGCCCCATTTGATTTCAGGCACCTCCAACTGGTTGAACGCAAGTCCAAAGTCCAGCGGATGCTGGATAGTGAAGGACCACGCGTCGTTCTGGCTAGCGACACAACCTTGGAATGGGGCTTCTCGAAAGACGCCATCAGAAGCCTCGCGCACGACAGCCGCAACTTAATCATCCTCACTGAACGCCTATCTCCTGCTACCTCCCAAGGAAAAGGCTTGGGCGCCTTCCTTTATGACCTCTGGACTGCGCGCAGCGCCTCTACGAACAATGCGCCCATCTCTCCCGATCCTTCCGACCAAGCCACCATCCGCACGATCCGCAAGTTTCCCCTCGAAGGCGACGAACTCGCGCTCTACCAACAATACCTCGCCACGCAGCGCCAACACCAAAGCATCGCACAAGGCGAAGCCTCGCCCCTGGAGATGCTCGGCGACGTCGTCTTCGATGACGCCACCTCCTTCACGTCGACGACGTCAGAAGAAGAGTCCGAGATGGGTGGGCTCCAAGGCAGACTCTTGACCGCCGCAAACACGACGAGACATGCGCGGCATAAGTTGGGCTTGACGGACGAGGAACTGGGCGTCAATGTGCTGATTCGCAGAAAGAATGTGCATGATTTTGATGTCCGGGGGAAGAAGGGCGCGGATAAGATGTTCCCCTTCGTGGCCAAGAGGAGGCGGGCGGATGATTTTGGAGATGTGATTAGGCCCGAGGACTATGTGACTGCGGAGGAGCAGGAGGAACAGATTGGAGCTGAGGGCTTGGGAGCGGCGGCTGCGAGCAACGGGGCGACAAAGACGGAGAATGCGGTGGGGCAGAAGAGGAAGTGGGATGAGGTCGCTGCGAGGACTGTCGAAGGAGTGCGTGGGGGCGTGCCTGCAAAACGCTCAAGGGGGGATAGAGAGGGATCACAGGCTATGGCCGATGGGCAAGAGATGGATGATAACGACGAGGCTATGGCATCGGAATCCGAGGGCGAGGAAGAAGAAGACGCGGATAAGATTGAAGGGCCTGCCAAAGCCATCATCGAAACCTCAACACTCCAGCTGCAAGCGCGCATCTCGTTTGTCGATTTCTCGGGCCTGCACGATCGCCGCACGATTCAAATGTTGCTCCCGCTCATCAAACCGCGCAAACTCATCCTCGTCAAGGGCGAAGAGGCCGAGACGAGAGAGCTCGCGGAGGAGTGCCGCAAGGCGCTGAGCAGCGGCAGCGCCACGGACGTGGGCGTCGACGTCTTCACGCCTTTGGTCGGCGACTGCGTGGACGCGAGCGTGGACACGAATGCCTGGTTCGTCAAACTGAGTGAGGAGATGGTGCGCAAGCTGCAGTGGCAAAAGGTCAGGGGGTTGAGCATCGTAGCCATCACGGGCCGCCTGGAAGCCGCGTCCTTGGAACCCACAGCACACGATGACCACGAACAAGACAAGGACGAGGGTGGCGGCGGCGCGAAGAAGAAGGCGAAACTCGCGGCGAGTTCTTCCGCCGTCGTGGTCCCCGCGAATCGCACCACGGAGATCGATGGTCTGCCCGTCCTCAAGGCCTTGCCGCCCAATCTCTCGAAACCGCTGCGCTCCATCGCGCAGCCGTTCCATGTTGGGGACGTGCGTCTTGCGGAGCTGAGGAAGAGGATGCAGGCTGCGGGGATGACGGCCGAGTTTCGCGGCGAGGGGACGTTGGTGGTGAATGGGACTGTGGCGGTGAGGAAGGTGGGTGAAGGGAGGATTGAGATTGATGGCGGGGCGTATAGTTTTGTGGAGCCGAGGGGAGGGAGTGGAGGGGGTGGAGGGATTGGGGATGGGACGTTTTTCAAGGTGAGGAGGATGGTGTATGAGGGGTTGGCTGTGGTTAGTGGGCAGTGAGGAGTGGGAGGAGGTGGTGGTGGTGGGAGGAGGGGTTGTGGTTTGCGACTTAGTGATATTGGGTGGATGTACGTGTTTCTGAACATCGAGCGTGTTATATATATGTGATAGATATACCCGCCGGAGGTGTTGGATCTGAGTGGTTGCTCCCGCAACATATCTCTCCGATACCTAGGAGTATTCTTACTTGTAGTTTTAAGCTATCAGAGGGAAGGATGGGGTTGATAGACAGACAGGTCTTTCCATGCCATCTACTGCCTCTTGTCACCCGATATGTACTTCAGAAGACATGCATAACAATGATATACACTCAGATGTTGCATTCACTATCCACGCATCATTTCACCAGCACTTGATTTGCCCGGTGTTGCATAATCGTCGACAGAAACAGCCGCCGATCCGTTTGCTTTGTCTTCCTCCTAGCCCAGCTGTTGCTTCTGCTTCCCCCCCTCAGGCCTGTTACCCGATTGTCGACATTTCCCGCCGGACATGGGATGCAATATCCCAAGTGTTTCCCTCTCCATGGTTGTGTTCCACCGTCTCGCTTACTCCGGACGTATTGGTGTGACATAATACCCCTGGCCTCTTCATGTCATTCACCGAGCAGCTAACCGCCCTTTCGCGGCGCACCACCAGCAGCTTTCTTCGCATAGTACTGCTCCAGCGTCTTCCTGACAAACGGCAGACTGCCCTCTCCGCCCTTGCCGGCCTTGACATTGTCCAGTCCGTACGGCGCTTCGAGGACGACGGCGTCGTTGATGATGATGCGCGTCTTGTCCCAGCGCGTGGGGATTCTAGCCAGCCGGTCAGCCATATGCTTTTACGCTCCATACCCTGCAATCGCACGATGTCCATGTCTGCGTCGTGCGACTATCGAGGCAAAACCTACCTCTTAGAAATGAAGTCAAACACCTCCTGCGCCTCGGGCGTCACCCCCTTCCCCCTCATCGCCTCCTTCCGCTTCAACTCGCGAATTGTCTGCTCCTCCCTCGCCCTTAACGCATTCGTATCCACCCGCCCGATACTCGGCAACGCGCTTTCAAACCCAGTGCCAGAGTCCGGGCTTGCTCGCTCTCCCGGCCCGAGGAGCTCGAAACTGGTAATGTGCGCAAAGGGGATGATGTGATAGTCTCCCGGTTGGGAGGCGAGCGGGGCCGAGGGGTTAGGGGGCGCGGGGGCGCAGTTGATGGCGATGGCGTTGGTGATGTTGCAAGCGGTGAAGAGGGTGCCTTCGAGGGTGTTGTTGGAGGGGGCACAGGTTACGCGGATGCTGGAGGCGGGAATGTTAGTGGAATGATTCGAGGCTTTGCTTTTCATGTTTTGGTTTTCGCCCAAAAGTCCCAGAACCAAACCAACGGTTTATGGAGTCCTGGGTAAGACGAACTGACGTACCGCGCTCCAACGGCCTTGTACAGCATGGAGTCTCCATCAATGACATCCTTGCTGGGTCCGACCTTGGGCGTCGCAACCCTGCTCGCCAAACTCTGCCTCTTGCTGTCCGCCATGCTTGTATTCCTCAAATGACCTGTGCTTCTTTCTGTCTTCCTTTCTTTCGTCCTGCCGCCGACGATTAAATCCCGTCGAGTTCGTTCTGTTTCGAAATTCGAAGAGCGTCGGTGTCGCTGCACGGTATTACTGCGCTTCGCTGCTCTCTCTCTTCTCCCTTTCCGTCAATTGCCAAAAGACAACTCCCACAAGCCCAACGCCGTCAAACCCCAGTCATGCAAGCAAGCGAGCAGAACAAAGAAGCAAACGGCCAGGCAAAAGAGCGACGAGAAAAGAACCTGCAGCAGCAAAGAGGCAGCCGACGCGCGACCGGCAACGGTGGGAGATGGCCGCGAGGGTGGAGAGATGGTGCGCTGCGGACAGCAACGACTCGAGTGCTGTCACCTGCGCTTTGACTGTGCCAGAGCCCACAACGGCGTGTCGTCCGGGAAAGAAACGAAACGTTCCGGGCGCTTGGCCAAACCGTGTAGTTGGCGCCCACGGTCAAGGGGACATCCAGGGAGCCAGGCTCGAGGATGCGGAGGTTGAAGGGGCGGTTCAACGCGTGTGCAGTCAGAAAACGGGAGAGCACTGAAGTTGCTCGAAGTTGCTGTTCGGGACGGGTTCTCCGCACCCTCCCCCCGTCACTGGGCCGCAGAGACGCTAGTACTCTTTTGGTCTAGTTACCTTTTTTGAGGGGGTTGAAGCTCTCAACATCATCACAAGTGCACCACGTACGTCTTGCCCTTTAAATAGAATTTCGCGAATCAATTTTTGTTTCGTCTTACATTCGTTTTACTTATGTGTAGCCGACCGAGAGTGTCGCGGTCCTGCTACTTATTTTCCTGATAGATCTCAGGCAGCGTCTACGCGTTATACGTAGAGGCCGAGACGTTTCCTCCCCTTCCAGTCCAGTTGACGTGGATGTCCTTGCCCTCGGGGAACTCGGCACTGGCATATTCAGGCTTGACCCTGAAGGTGTGTGCGCCGAAGAAGTCACGCTGAGCTTGGAGCAGGTTGGCCGGGAGGTCCTTGGTGCGGTAGCCGTCGTAGAAGGACAGAGCAGTCGAGAAGGCGGGAGTGGGGATGCCCCACAGAGCGCCCTTGGAGACAACGCTGGACATCGTCAGTACAGTAATTCTGTGAATTGTTTGTTGGGCAACTTACTCTCTCCACCCGGCTTGAGCCCTGTGGATGGCCTTGTTGAAGAAGTCGTCAAACAGCAAGTTCTCGAGGTCGGGGTTGGCGCGGTACCTGGTCAATGTTAGGAGGAGTCATTTGCAGCAGTCTCGGCATCCTAAACTTACGCATTGGTGATGTCCTTGAGGAAGACGGAGCGGATAATGCAGCCACCACGCCACATGAGGGCAATCTCGGGCTTGTTCAGCTTCCATTTGTACTCCTTGGCGGCCTGTATCACTGTCAGCAGCCGTTTTGAGCGCCCCCAACACCAGAGAAGGGACATACGTTCTGAATGAGCATGAAGCCCTGCGCATAAGAGATAATCTTGGAAGCATAGAGAGCCTGCTCGAGGTTGTCGAGGAATTGCTCCCTGTCGCCAGTGAAGCTAGGGGTAGGACCGTCCAGCAGCCCGGAAGCGCGGGTCCGCTCAGCCTTCAGCGAGCTCAGGCAGCGAGCAAAGACGGCCTCTCCAATCAGAGTGACGGGCATACCGAGATCCAGAGCGTTGATGGCGGTCCACTTTCCGGTTCCCTTCTGGCCTGCGGAATCGAGAATCTTCTCGACAATGGGCGTTCCATCCTTCTCGTCGTTCTTATACATGATGTCGCGAGTAATCTCGATCAGGAACGAGTCGAGGACGCCCTTATTCCACTTGGCGAAGACATCGCCAATCTCCTTGTGCGACATGCCCAGGCCGCGCTTCATGATATCGTAGGCCTAAAGGGTCAGCTTCGACATCTTCTGTGCGAGTATAGGGGGCTTACCTCGCAAATGAGCTGCATGTCACCGTACTCGATGCCGTTGTGCACCATCTTGACGTAGTGGCCAGAACCCTCGTCACCGACCCACTGGCAGCAGGCCTCGCCGTCGGACTTTGCGGAGATGGACTGGAGGACATCCTACAATAGCGTGAGCAATGCGTCTCCGCCAGCGAATCCGGGATGCGCATACCTTGATGTATGGCCATGCCTCCTCATTTCCGCCGGGCATGATGCTGGGGCCATAGCGGGCACCCTCCTCTCCACCCGAAACACCAGTTCCGACGAAGCGGATGCCCTTGGAAGCCAGGTATTTGCAGCGACGGTTCGTGTCGGGGTAGTGCGAGTTACCACCGTCGATGATGATATCACCCTCCTCGACACCACCTTCGTTGAGGAGGAGCTCAATGAAGTCGTCGACGGGCTTTCCGGCCATGACGAGCAACATCATTCGGCGGGGCTTCTTGAGCTTCTGTACGAACTCCTTGATGGAGTGGGCGCCGACGATGGACTTGCCCTTGGCCTCTGCATATTTGTCAATCTGGTGCACATGCAGTGCTATCAACCGGAATAAGGCGCACCATCGTTCAAGAAACGGTCGACCTTGGATACTCTGTCATATCGTAAGTGCACTGATTCTCAATCCGGAGCTTGCTATCGTACGTTCGGTTGAAAGCAACGACCTGCGAGGAGTCAGCATTGAGGATGTAGTGGCGAGGGGAGAAGCGGGCCATACTGTGAATCCGTGGTCGGCCCTGCGCTCAGTCAGCATTTGTCGAACAGTCAATGTCAATTGGAGGCGGAAAGGGAAGGACATACGCGTTAAGGATCAAGTTCTGGCCCATGACCTAGGCATGCTGAATGAGCGCCCAATCTCTTCCCTACGGTAAAGGCTGCAATCCACTTACGGCCAGACCGATGAGGCCGAAATCACCAACTGCTTCCGTCATGATGGTGTATTCTTTGGTGTTGTGAAGGAAGTCTGAGAGATGAGGTCAGAGCTAGAAGGAGAAGGTGGGGCAGCGCTGGGTGCAGGTGCAGAGTGATGCAAGCAGCAACAACAGCGACAATTGAGAAGTGGTGAGGGGAGGGATGAAGAAAGGAGAGATGGGAGATCTGACGCACAAGGAGGGGAATTGGAGCTGATAAAGTACGGAGGAGGGCTGGAGTGTCTCCGGCGGAGTTTGCAGAGGACAAGACACAAGCGTGGGAGGGAAGAAAATGATGGCTTGCGTTTGGCTGCGCAATAAGGAGAGCGGGGGTGGCTCCCACGGCAACCCGCAGCCCTTCCGTCAGATCTGATGAATTTGTCCCTCAACAAGCACCACCGGCAGAGTGCCCAATTGTTTGCTAATCCATCCAGCGGAGATTATCTGCTTCGGCCGCGGGCGTACGAATAGTGTTACAGTAGTGTTCCAAAACATGCCTAATAAGAGACACCCTGCTTTTTGTTCCTTTTCCTTTCCGGCCACAGCCTCCAACATTTTTCGTCTTTTGCACCTCCGAACCACGCCCGCGGAGAATTCCTCAACCAAGGCTGTGACAACTGATGAGGACTGCCCCTCACCACCTCTGCCCCGCCAGCCCCTCCATGCACCGCCATAGCTGTGTGGCTGGTGAAAATGTCACGTGTGCTGGTGAAGGCCGGTGCCAAGAATCTTCCAGCAATGGCCTGAGACTTCGACTTCATCTTCTGCTCCAACTTTACCTTGAGGCAAGCACCCCGATTCTCTCCACTTTGTAACCGCCATCTCCACTCCTGCTCCGGCCCGCTCACCCAGACGCTCTCGCTCTCGCTCTCGCTCTCGCTCTCGCTCTCCGATCGGAGGGCCCGCCGCTTTATCCGCCGCAACACCCGTAACAGTCGTGATTATTAACCCAAAGGCCTGCGAGCCCATCACTTGGCACCGCCGCCCGACGTCAGTCAGCACGATACACGACGCTGCGCCGCCTTTGCGCTATTTTGTCAACCTTGACGCTCTTATTGGAGATTGCAACACCGCCCTGTGTTGCGTCGCGGCCATCCTCATTTGCAGGTACAACGCCGCGGCCGAAGCCCATCGTCTTGTGCGACATCTCCAAGACCCTTCACCACATTTGCGCGCCCTATCACCACACACATACCCAAGCGCACTTTGACCATGTCGAACCTTGAACCTCACCCGTCCCTTCCTGCGCGCCCGCCCGCCTCGTCGTACTCAGCACCGCCTCGCCACAACATCAGTCCTGGGGTTGGAGCTTACCCCAGCGCCGCTCCAGCTTTCGGGGGCTTCATGCCGCGCTCCGTTGCCTCTCGCGCTCCGTCGATGCATGCGCCCACTGCGTCAGCTCACCCGATGATGACTTCACAGGGCCCGTATCATGCTGGTGGGTATCAACCTAACCTCCACCCAACGAGCAATGCGTACTATCCTCATCAGCAGCCCATGTACGGCACCTCGACCCCTCCCGTTGTCGCGAACCCCTATCCAGTCCCTGGAGCAGCCGCACGCGGATATGGGCGCATGGGAGCATATGATCCCGAAGAGGAGGCTCGAATCGCAGAGTGGAACAGTGCCTACACCCCAAAGGAGGATGCGAGCAAGAAAGGTGAAAATGCCAACACGGTCCCTCTTGGTTCCAGGTCTAGGGACGGGTCAGTAGCGGCTGACTCCGGCGCCGGCAGCACTGATCAGGGCAAAACGAAGCAGAAGACCGTCATTCGTCACGGTGGTGGCAAGACTTGGGAGGATCCCTCTCTTCTTGAATGGAATCCTCTCCACCCTCGCCTCTTCGTCGGCAACCTCGCAGGTGAGGTGACGGACGACTCTCTCCTCAAAGCCTTCTCCAAGTATCCGTCTGTCTCCAAGGCCCGCGTCATCCGTGACAAGAAGACCACCAAGAGCAAGAGTTATGGATTCGTCAGCTTCGCCAACACCGACGACTTCTTCCGCGCCGCCAGGGAGATGGAGGGCAAGTACATCGGCAGCCACCCTGTCCGGATCAAGCGAGCCAACACCGAGATCGCGGCAACCACCAAGAAGGATGATAAGCATGGAAAGCAGGGCAAGAACAACAACAAGAACAAGGCGGCCGCTGGGGCCACTACGGTCATCTCTGGGGGACCTACGTACAATGCTGGAATCCAGAAGACTTCCCACAAGAAGGGGGGACCGCGCCTGCTGGGTTGAAGGTTGAGTACAACTACTCTATCATATCTCTGTTTGTGGCTAGCAGAAGCCACGTCTTGGCGTGAGGCCTCGCCGAAGTTCACTAAGGCTCGCCATACTGCACAGGCAAGTCTGATTCCAAAGGTACGTAAGGCATGCGTTGTGCTTTCTTCTGGTGGGCACTGCCAATGCCTACCATTCACTTCCTTTGATACCCTGATTCATGGAGAAGCAGCGTGGTTCTGCTTGTCGGAGGATAATTTTGCCGTGGCATGGAATCTGAGAACGGCTATTCGGATGGGCCCGGGGAAATAGCAGCCGTGATCGGAATGGAAGATCAATGGGAGTAATGAAATGAAATGTACCAAACTATTTCCATTTCCCGAGCCTAGTGATGATCTGGAAGCCTCTTGTATAATATCCACTCACATAGTGTATGCCTCTAAGGAAATGTACATCACGTGATAGACTTGGCAATCCCTGCAGGTGCTCTGGGCAGAAACGTCGTCGCGTCTCCCAAGCGCAACATCCACCGATCTTCCGACCGTCCCGCATCGCAACAGCGTAACAGCTACTGACGCGGGCCTTGCGCTCTTCTATTACCTTCCCCATGTATTCCATGAACCAAAACTTCAGTGGGCCTGTCGATCCCAGCGCGCTGGTCCCAGATCAGATCGTGAGCCCCAACTCTGTGTCCACTAACCACATATGCTGACTGCTCCCAGCTTCGACATGTCCATCTTATCTCCTCGTTTCAGTTCCCCAAGGTCGCTGCTCTTCTGCCCGCGCAAGCTCTCGAGCATCTGCTCAGAGCCCCAACCATCGTCAAGAGTGCACAACCTGTAGCATGGACATATCTCTCCACGCCGCCTCCCGATGGCTCCATGTTTCTGGCGTGGCAGTCACCGCGGATGGGAACAAACTTCGCGTCTGATGGACTTGTATGGGCAGATGCGGAGATGTCATTTGAGGTTTCAGTGCGCGGTTATGTATGGATTGGCACCTACGTACTGGAGGAGTTGCGCTAACTCTCCCAGACGGTCCAATGCTTTGCTCACAAAGCCGGATTCCTGCCCCCTGCCGAGCCGATTACAGCGCATGCGCGATATCGCTATAGGATTCTCCATGGACCCGGCGATATCGATCCTCAGCTTTACATTGTCCACTATGCCCAAGCCGAACCGTCCTACAGACTCCCCACCTCCCAATTTCCGCTTTCACCGGCCGTTCATCAGCAATTGCAGCAGCGTGCTCAGCTGGAAGCGGCAGGCCAACTGATGCGGAAAGACTTCATGCTGGCGGACCGGGCCAATTGGCCAAAGGTTGAATTCGTGCGCCCACCAGCCCAGCAACCGCCGTACTATAATCCGATGCAGCCAGGCCGAATGTACAATCAGCCCCCTCCGAATAAGCGACAGCGACAGACCTTGGCCCAGCAACGGCAGGCAGGTCCTACCGCAATGATGCCGGAGCATATCCTGGAAGAGGAAGAGAACTCAACTCAGGATGCTTTCGATTTCATCACGCCTCGAGAGATCAGTCAATCCAGATACAAGCAACACCACGAGTGGATGGAGGAGATTTTCTCGTCCCCTTACGCTGCTGGCCAGATCTTGCCCATCGACCTTGGACTGGGCTTGATGGGCGAGCTTGCGCCGCTCACGGCGGATATCCTGGACGCACCGACAGGAGCGATTCCCACACGAGACCGCCAGGACGCGAAAGGGAAATACGAAGTCAAGAGCTATTCCAAACTCACGCCTGAACAGCTAAAGGAGTTCGAAGACCGTGTTTCAGCATACACGGCCAAAGCGGAGGCTGAGCTGGAGAAGATGAAAGCCGCCCATGCTAAAAAGATGGCGGGTTTGAAGCGGTCGCGTACCTATGTCAAGGCGGAGCGACGGATACGGGATGCGGCCAAACTTGCGAGCGAATCCACAGACAGTGAGACACCGGATCTGATTAATAATATCGTGAAGGATGTGGAAGCCGCTGTGGGAGTCGAATTCGAGACGAAGAAGCAAGTCGTCTGCGTAGACAAGGGCGGGTTCATTGAAAAGCAACAATCACTGGCGCAAAGGAATCAGCAACTCAACGGCAGTGGCTCAACACCGTCGCAGGCTGATGCCGGGTCAACTATGATGGAGACCATGGACGCTGACAACAGTGCCGCAAGCCTCCTGGATCAGTATGGCTCGACTTCTCTAGCGAACACACCGGGTGCAACCAGTCTATCCGTCCCGCCCATCTCCCAGCCTCAAAGCCAGCTCCAATCAGCCGTAGCTACCCCGAACGCCTCAGTCCCCGAACCCAAGCAAGGCGCGGAAGGCGCTGACCACGGCACCGCCGACATGCCCGGCGGCAGCGCAGACGATCTGTTAAACCTGGATGTCGAAATGTCCGGCATCACCAACGCGGACGAAAAGGCGGGGGAGAACGACTGGGTCATGGTCGACCAGAACGCCACCGCCCAGCAATCAACAACCAATTCCGATGCCAATCCCGCAACAGGCACCCATCCCGCGCCCACAGGACCTCTGGCCACATCAACAGCAACAGCAGAAGCAGCAACAACAGCAGCAGGAGGAGGAGGAGCAGCAGAAACCGGAGAGGCGTCCGCAACAGCAATGTTCGACTCGACCGACTTTGGCAGCTTCGATAACCTCGTCGAGGACTCGGCCGGCGACGCACTGGCACAGTATACCAACGTCGACGACGATACTATGGGCCTGGATCTGGTCGACGATTCGGCGTTTGGCGATGCGTTTCATGGGACCGAGACGCAGCATCATGAGGAGCAGCAGAGTGCAGAGCATGCAGACCAAGGGAATACTGCTTAGGAGGAGTTTTTCTGGTTTCATAATGGTGGGTAGGGCGGGGGTTGGTTCAGGGGCCTGCCTTCGGATACGGAGTATGGGGTTGTAGGGGTTGAAAGGGTCATAAATGCCGGAACGGAGGAGGATGGGCCCTGGGGGATTAAAGCTAGGGAAAGTTGGGGAGGGATTGTGGTTTGTATTATTGGTATGCTGGAAGGGATCAATATACTTTCACTGCTTGGGATTCCAAAATGCTGGATCCTAGACTCCATTCTTCTTACGTTTATTTAAAAGGACGTGTTATATCTTCGCCGGTGCTCCGATGCGGAGGTGCGAAGCTGCCAGACATCCTAATGACTGGACTATCCCGACCCAAAAGCTTCTTAGCGGCGCCTTCAATGACTCTAATCCTATAAAAACGTCCCTCTTCCAGATCTGACCAGTTCCAAATACAATGCTCCTTCTCCGCGTAAATTTCCCCCTCCCCTCCCACCCAGCTTACCAATCCCCCAAGCTCCACCTAACACCTAACCTCCCACAACCTGATCCTCCCCATCTCCGTCCCGACGGCCAACAACGCCAAACACCCCTCCCTCTCCTCCTCCTCGCTGGGCCGTCCCCACGCCACGCTCGTGATCCTGCCCAACGGCGTCTTGACATTAGGCCAATTCTTGAACACCGTCACGGAGGGGAGATGCACGAGGCGCAGGGCGTTTTGCTTCCAGCGGCTCGCCATGAGGAGGATCTGGCCGTCCGGGGAGAAGGCAAGGTGCGAGATGGGTGTAACGAGGTTGGACAGGGCGCGGAGCGGTTTGGGGTGCGTCGGGAGATTGCCGTTGTCTGCCGCTGCTGTCGTCGCTGCCTTTGCGTCCTTCGAAGAGTGAACCTCCTCCATCCACGCCCGGCGATCATACACATTCACGACCCCACTGCTACTCCCCACTGCAACCCACCGATCGCCCCCCAACCAATCCTCCCTCCCGCTCTTCCCGCCCAACCGTATCACCGTCGTCCCCACAGCCCCCTCATCCATCCATCTCCCCACGACCCCAACCTCAACCCCCCACTCCGTCACCTCCCCATTCTTACCAACCACACACATCCCTTTCCCATTCCCCCACCAGCAAAAATCCGCCACCCCGCCGCGCGACTCGATCCGGACCTGCGTCACCCACTGCAACGTCGTCGCGTCGAGGATGTTGACCACGCCGCCGCCTTTGCGGCTCGAGCCCCGCAGCGCCATGAACTTGCCGTCCGGGCTGAGCGAGAAGTGCTCCATGCTGCGCTGCTCGTGCTGCTGGCCGTAGATGCGCGAGACCTTTTCGATGGTGCCCGTCGCGAGGTTCCAGATGTGGAAGTAGCGGCGGCGGGCGGAGAGGAAGATGCGGGCGTCCGAGGGGGAGGGGTGGAAGGCGGTGGTTGTCAGCGGGGTGCGGCGGAGGTGGAGGGAGGTGAGGAGGGGGTTGGGCGAGTGCAGGTCATGGGGGAGGACGTGGTGGAGGGAGAGGGTGGAGGAGGGGCCGGAGGAGAGGAGGAGGGGGAGGGTTGGGTGGAACGAGAGGGATGTTATGGCGGACTGGATGAAAATGTGTTAGCATATGGCCTGTTTGTTGTGTGTAGAGAGGGGGAGAGAGCCTTTCGGCCCCTCCCTCAAAGGCGGACGGAGAAAAGGAGAGAAGATGAGATACTTACCGGTCCCCGTTTGGCGACATCCTTCAACCTCTGCACCGTCACAACCCCAGGTTGCAACTTCCTCCTCTTCGCAGGTCCCCTCGCCGTGCCCCTGGCCAGAATATCCGCATCCTTCAACAACCGCGCCAAAGGCTGCGTACTCAAATCATCCTCCTCCTCCTCCTCATCAACATCCATATCACTCGCGCTCTCCTCCCCGCCACTCTCCGTAACCCTCGTCCTCTTTCTCTTCCCCACCTTTCCACTCGCCTGCACCGCCCATTCCGGCGTGGGATAAAGCCTCTGATACTGTCTCCTCAATCGCCGCACATATTCCTTCCCGGTGATTACGTCTTCAGCTTCCGTCTCGCGGAGTTTGCGCAACCGCGGCGCAGACGCAAGACTCACGACAAGCCTCTCGTCATCGCTATCCTCCCACGCCGGTTTTTGCCGTCGTCCATCCCCTTCTTCCTCGTCCTCGTCCTCGCTCTCTGCCTCGCCAGCGGTGCTGGTGACGAGCGCACCCTTAACTCCAGGCGTAGGCACAGGTCCCGAGTCGAAGAAAAAGAGATCCTGGTCGGGGATATCATTCATATCCCCTCTATCCTCCTCATCCTCATCCTCGTCTTCATCCGTTTCTTCTCCCCCTCCCCACGCGCGCTCCCGCCCACCCTCAAGCCCAAATTCCTGCACCGCAGCCTTGAAGCCCAGCGAATCGCCAAACACCAATCGCTCAAGTTCTACCTCCGACTCGTCCTTCTCGGGCGCTTCGTCGTCATCGGAGGACACGTCGGTCTGACCCTGATTGTGCATGGGCACGTCGTCGTTGCCTTCTTCTTCTTTTTCTCCACCTCGCGCTTCGTTATCATTCTCGGATTCATCACCGTCGGAACTTCTCGCGTCCTCCCCGCTGTCTCCGTTCCGAACGTCCTCCATACCGAAGCGGTGCGTACTTCTCTTCCCCTTCCTGGAAATCTGCATCTGTTTCTCGCCGTCGGAACCCGCGTGATCGAACAGATTCGCTGCCGTCGACGCATTGCTTTTACTGCGCGGCTTTGGCTCCGCTTTAATCTTGGTCTTGGGAGCCATTGGGACAGACAGGTCAATGAACGGTGGTCGGTGCTTGCAGCTGTCGTTCGAGGTTGTCGCTTGTTTTTTGCTGCCGCCAGCTCTCTGAGCTTTTGTCGTTGCTAGAAAGATTCGCCGAACTGCACGAAAAAAGTGCAGGGATCTGGCGGGTCGTCACTTTAAGCTCTTTGACGCTAGCCGCTTTTGTTTTAGCGGCTTTTTCAAGAGGCTTCGTCTAATCAGCCGTAGAACAACGCACCAGAAAGTCACGTCGCGAGATACTGTAGGGAGGAAACTCTGATTGGAAACATCTAATAGCTTCTCATCCTCGCTCACTACCTAGTGGCAGATAAAACCATACTATATACAAATACACCCATACTATGATCGCGCACACTGGCCCCTGCCTGTACCATGCATATAAAGCGCCTCGCTCATACCGCGTAAAAAGCAGTGAAATCTCCGTCATCCCCTTTCACATCGCTCATCCAAGAAGTAGCTGCCAAGACCGTAAGATCATCGCTGTGAAGATTGGTCCACCTTCACCTCCATCAATATCTTCCCCCTAGCATGCCAACGGCCTTCAGCATTTCGTAAGTTGCAATAGATCCAGATGCCCCTGGTCCCGCGTCGGTCTCGATTTCCAGAGACTAGGGGCGCATATTCTGGCGTAGAACGTGGTCGACCAACCTGATTGACATAGGGTGAGGATGGCCGAGAGATAACCACTAGTCAACGGAAGCGAGAGATATGGGTAGATGGCAGGGCCACCATCGTGAACCTGGACTCGCTATAAACACAACACCAACAAGTCGCCGAGGCCGGGAGTTGAAGCCATCCAGAAGAGATAAATCGGAAGCCATGAAAAGCAATGCCGCGAAAACACCAAACATCCAGAAAAACCGGACCGCTGCAGAAGTGTGAAGAATGTCGATGGTCTTGAAGCAACAGTACAATATCGAAGGAGCAAACTCGGCGGGATGGGGATGAATCGAAAAGGCACACAAGCCGAGAAGCGGATGCACGCCTGCTATGCCCGCCACTTATAGTCGGTGAAGGTTTCTCATGCTCCCTCCACAGATTGCAACGATGTTTCGATGATCGGAGTTCGTTCGTGTAGCGCCAGCTACCAAACCCCAAAGTCCATGTTGATTACGGTTTCCATGTATATGCTTTTGATGCCATAGCTTTTTTGATATCATAGAGGTCATCGCAGAGCAAGTCAGAAGCGATAAGGGAAGTACTAAGGATTCCCTCCCCAAGTGCTCCATCTCGTTAGATGCCGGACGCGTTCGCGGATACCCTGTGACCGCCAATTGGGGCAAGGCTAGGGCTCGCCTTGCCGCCGCTACCCCATGACAGGCCACTGAGTCTCTTGTTGCTGGTGCTGGAAGTGGTCGAGGCGCCGTCTTTGCCCTTCCCATTCTCCAGCTCCTCTTCCTCCATGCTGAACAAGCCTTGCTCCTCGTCGATTCTGTCACGGCCAATGCTGCTGCTGCTGACTGCGCGGTCAATACCAAGCCTGCCGCCAGAACTGCCTACGCTGGACGTGGATGTCACCCTGCTGATGCTGGGATGCATCGGACTAGGGGTCAGGTTGCTGCCGGCGTCGTCGCGCGATGTGACTCGCGTGCGTTGCAGTTGCTGGCTGATCATGCTCATCGAGGATTGTCGAGGCGGGGACGCCACAAATGGGCCGGCATCTCCAGAAGTGGGCCGAGCGAGAGGACGGAGGGACGGGCTTGCGCCCTGATGCAAGCTTGAATTCCGGAGCGGTGATCCAACATGGCCAAACGCAGAGACTCCAGGAGCGGGGCCTGGTTCAGCTGCGTCATTGTTCGCACGTGGTTTGCCCCATAGAGCCTGGAAGCGAGATGGAGAAGAGGGAGATGCGCCCAGCCTCGAAAGAGAGCCCCGGTGTGACAATGATGTACCCTCATTGTCCCCCAGATCCCTTGAGAAACGGCGCATCTTCTCTTGTGGAGTGAGCAAGTCATTCAAGGAGCTTGGGATGAGGTCTTCCTCCAGACCAAACTCCGAATCATCCCAGTCATCGGCGATTGGCGGACGAGCCCCAACACTGGCCGAGAGCATACCCCTCCTTGCAACTCGGAGTTCGGAGTGCATGATGCGCCTGCCAGAAGGCTTGTCAACGGCCTCCGGTGGCGAAGATCCCAAGGCCGCGGACCTGTTGCCATGCTCGTCTCCAAAGGCGGAGCTGTGGAGATTGCGCAATGCGTAGGATTCGCCCTGGAACGAAGATGGCGGGGAGCCGGCGAGGAACTTCGACGGGACAGACGCAGCAATTGGCCCGTATCGAGCAACATGCGAAATTCCTTGGCTGTCGAACGATGCCGGCAGCGGTACTTCCATAAGCGTAAGACCTTTTTGGACAGGCGACATCGGTATGCGACCCTCATTAGGAGGCGAACCATAATTGGATCCGGCGTTCGAAGTGAAGGTTGTGTCTATGGTCGGTATCATATCGAAGGGAGGCTTTTGTTGGGCGAGGAAGTCATCATGCATCGGAGGTGGATAATGAGGCGCCATATGCGCCTGCATAGACAACAGTGAACTATTGGGTGCTGGTTCCGGATGGTGAGGTATGTTCATCCGACCAAAGGGGCCCCCGCCGCCACCCAGACTATTGCGGTTGACGATGGCGCCATTGGGAAGAACGTGAGCGAGAGCGCACTTGTGGCCAAACTTGCAATTCCCCTGGAGATGAGGTCAGACAAATCACACAAAGAGGGCTTTTGAGCTCACATGCCTTGGCGAAGTACTTGCAAGGCGCTCTATCCGTGATGGGCTCATCAGAGTGGAGGAAAGGGCACGCCTTTCCAGCCTGGCAAGCTCCTTGACGGTAGAATTTGCAAGGAACATGGGCAGTGCCTGGGTCTGTCAGTTTGCTCCCAGACTTGCGGCCGGGAAGCCTTGTACTCTTGTTGTTCGGGGGACTGCGCGGTCCCGCAAAACCCATTTCACGCATGTGTCTCTCATGCGCATGGCCGTTTCCCATGCGACCATGCGGACCGCTGGGGACCGGCAGCGGCCCATTACCATTTGCGCCAGGCATTCTGGAAGGCAATGGCGGATGGCGGAAGTCTTCTGAAGTTGCTTGGTTGTTACGAGGGATTTGGGGTGGTTTGCCGGAAGGAAAACGCTGGTCTAAGGGAAGCTGGTGTCCGAAAGCACCGTGTTGGGCGGCGGCTTGAGGTTGTGCTGGTGGGGGAAGGTCGAAGTGGGGTGTTTCTGTAAGCAGCTCTGGCGCAGGCTGGCTGCCCATGGCTTGGGTCGGGGAGAGGGAGCCAGGCTGCAGCGAGTGGGACGAGAGGTATGGATTTTGCGCAAAACCCCTGGGCAAAGGGTTGGGGAAGTGAAAAGAGTGCGGAGTGAAAGCTTGGGGAAGGGTGAAGGGTCCGGAGATCACCCAAGGCCCGGGGGGTAGCCAGAGAGAAAGGCCGAGGCTAGGCTGAACCGGGTTTAGTCCGAACCGAACGGCAACTCGAGTACACGGGTCGTTCGCTCCGACCAACAACCCTCAAGTTCTCGGACACGACGCGGCGACTTAACGAACGGATTATTGGAGCCCTGTGGAAAACTCCAAACGCGGAAAAGGCAAGGGAAAAGGAGCAAACAGGAGAACCATTCCAAGCTTTATTCTTGAAACCGGTCCTCGAAGCCTGTTTGATAGGCGTCACGAGCGCCAAGATATCGTCACGCGGAAGACTGGTGTCAACCTCAGGTGGGCAAGCCATGAGGAGCCGCTGACCGCCGGGTCTGCTGGACGGGAGAGGGCGTAGGTGGGGACCTTTGAATCATATCATATGCCTTGTGGGTGCCGACTTCCGGATATCTCTGGCAAGAAATTATGTTATACCTGGGAGAACATTCACTTGCTTGATACTCTATCAACGGACTGAATAGCCTCTATGGCCTGAAGCTCCAAACCATATATGTCCTCATTGATTTGGAGGTGGTATCTTCACATAATAACGAACCCAAGCTACTGAGAACAGAGCTACAAATCAACCAACAATGCCCAGTTCGTCGGAGGAAGTACATGAGGCGCTGTGATACCACTCGCAACGACGATAATGGAGACCTCTGCCGGTTTCACTGTTATGGCACGAAGAGCGCTGATAAGGAGAGCAACAGACCCTGCTACGAGTGACGGAAATAGAATTGCTGTCAAGTCTATCAATACCACAGAGACGAATACCCCCGGAAAGAATGTGAGTTGCAAGGTAGTTGTCAAGTGCTGAGTGAGGCGAAAGTGAGCAATATCAAGCGAGTAGTCCCGTTCAACGACTCCATAGTAAAACCAGACGCAGTTGCGGAATCGAGAAATGGAGCCAAACCATCTCAACCGCATAAGCGGCATGCCATGTCGTCAGCCCCCTCTTCCCAATTCCATGGGCACCATTCCTAAAGCTAAAGGATCACCAAGAAGCGCCCTAACAAAGACACGCTTCAGGGCAAACATGCCACCGAGGAGAAAGCCCAAAAACATACCCACATTGATCTTATCACGAAGGGGTACCGTCCACAGTGCTCGGAAAAAGGCCACAATCTTGCGGCGATGCCATGCACCCAAGATGGGGCGACGCCATATGTAGCGCCAGAGAGTTCTGAGCGAAATTGGGCGAGGCAGCACGAACAAGGTTCGAATGTCCATGTGGCGCCAGCTGTTTCCCAGCCATTGGAGACATTGTGCTGCTTTTTGCTTCAGTTGAGTTGATATTGAATCAGCGTCCGATAGTACGTCTGTTGATGCATCTCTTGGGCAATCGTCTGGCGTGTCACGTTTCCATCCTCGACCTCGTGCGTCGCGTACATTGTAATGCTTCCTCCTTTTAAACTTGTTGATATTCTTGTTCTGGATTTTCCTTGCCTTGGATCCCATGTTTTGGAGGGGAAAATGTCGTCGGGTCGCCTTATGCTATTCGGTATGAAGATACTCAGTTAACCGTATATCCAAAAAGGAGCGTGTCGTCAACGTCTGTCGCACAGTAGTACGGCCATAGGTCTTAATATAAGAATGCGCGAAGTCAATGATATTTCTTTTGTTGGGGAGGATGTTTCCGTTTGGATTGCTATGGGGCAAATAGGAAATGGTCTGGTTGTGATGATCTGAGTCTTTCGGCAGGAATAGCTCAGCGGAAGAGGAAGCTGCACAAGTTGGGAAGGATAAGAACAGTACTTCTAACGTCGGTCCTCAACGAAAACAACATCGAGGATGAGTGCTCGTTGCTCTCCATGAACGAAGAGACTGTTGCTCCCAAGGGTGGTGGTGACCTAAACAACAAAGTCCCCTGATAGACTCAGCTCGAGAAAATATGTTGACAACAACAGTGTATACGCCGAGCAAGAGAAACAATCATGTACATCGTAAGCTCTGACCCTACACACCGACCCATCGATCAACTCCGATCCATCAGCCTTGGGCCATACTCCTGAACACCAACATGACCATGTCCGATATGACGATGCAATTCCATGCCGATCCTGTAGCCAAGAGAACCATCCAAGAAGAAGACTACCTGCCTCCCGCCTATATACCTTGTACTAAGCCTCAGTCTGCACAACCTTGAAACCTTCCTCCAGCTGCAGGCGTATCTCTTCATCTTTCGGGTGCAGCAGGCCTATGGTATAGGCCGCATCATTCCATTTCCTTTGAGTGTCCGCCTTTGCTAACCTGGAGGCCAGTTTGCCCGCCAGTTGCTTCTGATGTTTATCCTATTCAGTCTAGTTAGCAACCACGTGGATATGTGGACAGTGCCTAGTACGAGCCAGGCAGAATGAAGCCAGCGACGTACCTTTGTGACACGCTTAGCAATGAACTTGATAATCCTCTGGAATGCCTCCTCATCCAATTCCGTGTCCGCGCTCAGCGTACTGAACATTTCCATGAACTGGTTGTAGATGTTGTTCTCGTCCTTGTTCGCATACTCATTAAAGAACATTCGTGCCATGTCTAGAATCCTCTTGTCATCATCCTCCAGGCACTTCGCCATTTCACCCAGTTGACCCTTAATGACCTTAACATGGCTCGAAAGAATGAGGAAGGTCAACGTCATGAGGCACGTCCGTTTGACGCTTGCATCGCGGTCGTTCAGGCGGCGGAACAAGAACTCGGACTTCTCTGCGATGACATGGTGGAAGTGGATCGCCATATCACCGACCGCAATCACCAGGTTGCTGCGGACGACGGGATCTTTGCTTCGCTCAAGAACATCGAATAGAAGCTGGAGGTTTTCCTTACAATACCTCTCGCTGACACACATGAGCTTGGCTAAGCAGAGGGCCGCCTGCGACTGTAGGGTGGGGTGATTGTACGAGGTGTAGTTCCGGCAGATGTCGGAAACAAGACGTCCAAAGTTGGACAGGAGTGCGGAACGGAAATCATAGAGCAACTCATTCTCGCGAATGTAAGCGATCGTCTCCGTGAAATGTTCTTCATCGTCTCCGGCCATCCGATCCAATTCGTCAGCTTCTTCAGCAGTTGGAGCGGGCGCCTTCGCCGACTGTTTTCTGCCTCGTCTCAAGGTTGAATCGCCTTCTGTGGCCACAGACTCACGAGGGGCTTTCTTGCTTTGTTCCGCCTTTTGCCTCTTGTACGCTTGTTCGCATAGTTCCAAGTGAACAATCTGCTTGATTGCCACGTGTCCCACAATGAAGAGAAGCTGAGATAGAGCCAAAGCCGAGTTCTGCCTTTTGGGCTGCCGGGGCAACTCCGCAGGCGCATCCTCCATTTCGACGTCCTCCATCTTGATATCCTCCATGTCGGCATCTTTCATCTCAACATCCTCCATATGTACGTCTTGCATCGGCGTGTCCTGCGAGACATGACTTTGACTCCGCAGACTTGCGTTCGATCCACTGGATGTAGGTCGCTGGCCAAGGGAGAACACATACTTCGCCTTTCTCTTTATGATTTCCGAGCAAAGCGCATCAGGCTGGGCCGCGAGAACGTAGATGGCGCTGATTGCCTGTTCCGCCACCCCAAACCATTCGTTGCTGTCCGAGATCATCTCAGTGATGGCGACTAGTTTTCCGAGCACCTCGTGGTTGTTCTGTAACTTGACAGCACTCTCCGGGGATGCTCTCGTGGATTGCTTTCCAGGAGATGGCGATATGCGCCTTAAGGCGATGCATGTGTACCGAGCGAGTCCAAGGTCCTGTCGTCCATACTTGCCCAAACCAATGCGCAGACAGATGCCCATCCGTTCTCTGATGATATTAGGATCCGCGAGTGCAAGCATACCCAGGACCATGATAGCGCCACGTCTTTGGCTTTTGGATGTCTCTTTCTTCTGATATCCGTAAACTTGCCATAGCTTCTCGATAACCAAGTCCTTGATAGCGCCCTGCTGCTTCATGATCCGGATAAGTTCCTCTAATGATGTCAATTCTGCGGGCGTATCGAGATATGTCAGACTGATCATGTTCCTCGCAAGGTAGTTTGCAGCATTATTCTCGTCGAAATTGGGCGGGGGCGTGAAGTAAAGATTCTTGTAGCACTCAATAAGGTGGGCCTGGATGCTCTTTCCTTCCTCGTTGGTGCCCTTGCTCCAGATCAAGCGAAGCATTCTCCGGATACCTTTCCGTGCATTGTCGACCTTGTAGGCGTCGATCAGTGTGAAGAAGTCCATAGCCTCAATGACTTCCGTCTTAGTTTTCGATGCAAAGTATTGAATGATGATATCGGCGCTATCGTTGATGATGCCGATGAAGTCCAGGACCCGACAAAAGTACTTCCGGTGCTCTAACAGCTCCGCCATTTTCGCTTCATTTTCGGCTATAAGTGCCGCCTTCCGCGCCATCTCTTCTTCTGATTCTTGATGCTGTGAGTTTGAGCCCCCGGCCGGGTTTTCTACCTGTGTAGCATCTTGCAGAAGAGATGGATCGACAGTGGGCTCGTTCGGGTCTGACGGCTCCTCCTGGGGTTTCAGTGCGTTGATCTTAGCCTCCACCTCGAGCAGTTGTTCATTCCATTCCTTGGACGAAAGCAACCCGTCATTGACCATCCTGTATGGATGGGTCTCAATGATCTTACGCAGGAGAGCGATTGCATGACGTCGAACGTGACTGGAATCGTGAGTGAGGCACAGATTGGCCACTTGGGCTACCCTTAACCGCTTCTTGGTGAATTTTTGGAATATTATTTCGATTTCGCAAAGCCGGGCCAAGTTCTTCAGGGCTTTGGCGCGGCAGTAAGGGTTCGTGTCACGGCATCGCTCCTCAAGGAGGTCAATGTACCTTCCCATCTCTTTCTTGTTATCCCCTTCTATCGGCTGTTGACTGAACATAATGATGATGTTCCCACAAGCATCAATCAGGGCATTCCTGAGTTGGTGTGGCTGACATTTCGTTAGCTTGAAGGATTCGCCTTGTGGTGAGGCAATTCAAACCTTAGCGTCAAAAAGATTTTGCAGCATCGCCATCTGCTTGAAAACTACTTCAGGATTGAGCTCCGACAACTTCGTGAGGAATATAGACACGCATTTCGGCCCTTTCTCGCCTTTCTGCCCGATGGTGTCAAAGTCCCTATTGCTCAACTCTTTCAGGACATCCTCCGCGAGTTGAGGATGGGCATATTCTCTGTGCAGAATATTGAGGAACTCAGCCAGTGGCTCGGACAGATGTTCCTGGTCCAGCAGCTTCTGGGTGATCATTCCCTGTGCATCTGGGAAGAAGCATTAGGCCCGTGCTTTTCGTGCAAGAACGAGACTTACTGGAAGCTTGGCCATGAGCCTTGATGGCTTTGCAAAGTATCCTGAAGCAATGCTGCTTGATATCGACACTCTTCATTCTCGTTTCATTGTCCAGGATGCGCCACACTGGCTTTGTAATGAGGCCGACAAACGTGTCGCGTTCTATAGTGGTGGAGAACATCCGAGAGAGTCTGAGACCCAGTACTCTATACAGGGTAGCTAAGGCTTTGGACAGCTGTCGGGTGGGGTCCCAATTGTCGTCCTTCTGGCTGGACTTCGCTTTCGCGCCCTTCCCACGCCCCTTTGCTGCGGTGGTGGTCGGCTGCTCCCCGGTCCGTTTCTCCACCGCCATCAAGGTCCATCGCATCAGGAAAGCATACATCTCCAATATTTGTTTGTGATGTGGGAGGTCCTCTTCCTGGTTGTCCGCCTCTAGAGGCCCGTTGGCTGCATCTACTTCCGCATCAATCGCTGAGGTTAAAAGGTCGAGGATCTGGCTGAGTGTGGCGGTAGGAACTTTGACAGGGACCTTTGCGGGATCTTTTGAGGTCCATCTACATGGTGCAGAAAGTGGTCAGTAAGAGGCGGGGTCTCTGCTGAGTGCAGCATACCTCAAGATGAACCTCAATGTGTCGAAAACGGAGCTGACGGTGATACCATCAGGGCTCTCTGTGATGGCTTCGACCACAGGATCCAAGACTCGGTCCAACAGATCCTTCGTCAGTGACTCTGGGTCATCTTCGCAGTCCAGCAGCTCCGTCGGGGCTTCTCGAACGGGGACTACCGCATCTTCCAAAGTCGCGGGATCCACGTCATACGACGTCAACGCCTTGTTGATGTCGAATTCGACGCGCTCCTCCATGGCCTCAGCGCGGGAAACCAAAGAGGGACAATATAGGTGGGTGTGGGACAAGTGAGATTGACGCGGCTGTTCGAATGTCGCCGCCCGCTTTTGCGACGTGAGGCGCGTGTGGTGTTTCTTGTTTGGTTTTACCCCAAAAGGGTATAGCGCCCGTCTCCACCGCGGCGCGCGACATCCAACAGCTTTGAGCTTGACCTGCACACAACACACGCAGCACACAAGACACAACAGGACAACCTCTCCACTGAAGTTCACATGGCGAAGTCAAGCCTACATGCTCAACGGCAGGCTGAGCAACTGGAATCCCCCGAGGATGAACTCGCAATCCCGGAGCCATTTGGAGAGGAGAGCGGGGATCCTCTTGAGGAAAGCGGATGTACCATGGACACAAGCGAGGACGAGATTGAGGAATCTGTAGCAGAAGACATTCAGCGCTTCGAGGAAAGTTTTGAAGGGATCAACAAGCGGTATCGACTAATCAATCGAGTCGGCGAAGGTAAAGCTGCCCTATCACGCTTTTGCACGTACCCTGGTCTGATATTGGTCCGCTAGGCACATTCTCTACAGTCTATAAGGCTGAGGACCTGGAATATAACAAGTACGAGAACCGCTGGGATATCGACGAGCGAGAGAGCCGGAAGTGGGCTTCACCACCAGGCCACCGAAAGAAGACCAATCGGCCTCACTATGTGGCAATTAAAAAGATATACGTCACTAGCAGTCCCATGCGCATATTCAATGAGCTCGAACTCCTCCATGACCTCAAAAACTCGAACTCAGTATGTCCCCTTATTACCGCATTTCGTCACTTGGACCAGGTCGTTGCAGTCCTGCCATACTGCCAGCATCGCGACTTCCGTGACTACTACCGCGACATGACAATTCCTGAGATGAGACGCTACTTCCGTAGTCTTTTCACAGCTTTACATTCCGTTCACGAAAAGAAGATCCTGCACCGCGACATCAAGCCTACCAATTTCCTGTACAATACCGAACTGGAAAGAGGTGTGCTTGTCGATTTCGGCCTGGCAGAGAGAGAGGGTACGGACTGGCACCCTTGTGCATGCACGTTGACTCCCGAGGAACGTCGTTACAGGACTACGCACAGTGTCTGGGCGCAAACGCAAGACAGGCCGTCATGCTACCCGAAGAACGACACACGGCCCAGCCGCCGGGCAAACAGAGCCGGCACACGCGGATTTCGTGCCCCCGAAGTGCTCCTCAAATGTACTCAGCAAAACACATCCATTGATATATGGAGCGCCGGAGTAATTCTCCTCACACTTCTATCACGTCGTTTCCCCTTCTTCCACAGCGCGGATGACATTGACGCATTACTGGAAATTACAGCTCTCTTCGGACGCAAGAAGATGAAGGAAACGGCTCTGCTTCATGGCCAGGTCTTTGAGACTAACATTCCAAGCTACACCGAGAACGGCCACAGTCTGGAGAAAATCATTCTGTGGTGCACTAACAGGAACACCAAGGACGAAGTGACAGGCTTGAAGAAAGAGTTGGATGACGAGGAAAAGGAAGCTGTACAGTTCCTCTACCGTTTGCTCGAATGCGACCCTGCAAAGCGCATAACAGCAGAAGAGGCGCTTCGGCATCCCTTCATTACAAAAGCGTACGAGGATGGCGAAGGGGACGAGGATCTCGAGCTTGTCGACGCCTGAGCACGAAAAGCATTCATTATGGAGCACGAAAAGCATGAGTTATAGAGTACGGAAATGGATGATGGCCGCATATTTACGGCAATGGGGCTGGCGTTCATGTTTTTTTGGAGCATGGGGCGCTTTCATGGGGGACGATTGTGAGATACTTGCGATACCCTTCGGACTTGTATGATGTATGGTGGACGCATAGCACTTGCTTTCAAGTCGAATACATTTACAATGATTCTTGATACAGGCACAACGTGCAACATCAGGCCATATCTTACAATGCCTTGCTCGTACATGGACGCGGTGCTTCAGCGTCGAAAAGAAAAATTCCCGTCCTTCTTTACACAAATGCTCATGCCGTCCTGGTCACGGTCTTCTCCACGGTCTGGTTCTTCGCCTGCTTCACCTCCTCCTGCGCCAGCGCTTCCTCCTTCGCCTTCTCCCCTCTCGCCCTGTTCCTCTGCTTCGCCGTCGCCATCTGCCCCACCTGCCCCTTGTGCGCTTCCTTGTTGCCCTCACCCTCTGTCTCCTCCACCTCCTGCTCCAACTTCACATTCCGCATGGCGGTCTCCAAATCGGGGATCTTATACCCTGCTCTCCTCGCCTCCTTCAGCCGCCATATACTCGTCAGCCGTCCGCGCTCTTTGCTCCGCACATCCTTTTCCAGCCGCGCCTCTAGCCGCTTCTGCATGAGTTGTTCCTGCGTCAGGACGGGGGGTCGCTGGTCTACGGGGGTCCCGAAGGGCGCAATAATAGATGTTACGACGTGGTGTATTTGTTTGGAGAAGCGGTGGCCCGAGGTGATGCGGACGACGTCGCCTTCGACGAGGGAGGAGTTGGGGTCCGCGACCATGTAGGTGCGGGGGGAGGGGAAGTACTGGAACGAGCGTAAGCAATTGCATTCGCCCAGTAGGTAACTCAAATCTCGAATTTTGGGGAAGAAATTCGGAATTGGAGAGGGGAAGAGGACGACATAAGACGCACTTTTCGCATATGCTTGTTCCATGTCTGCTCCGCGACGCGGACTTTGACTGCCCTGGCCATTTTCCCGGCGGAGACGACGACGCCGACTTTGTGGCTTACGATATTGGGCCGCAGGAACTGCGCCAGCAGGTTCGTCGGTTTGGTCGGCATCGTGATGTGTGTGTTTGAGAGGAGGAGGGTAGCGGAGGAGAGAAACGTATTCGGCGGAGCGCCTGCGCGGCGCTACGACAGCGATGGAGCAGCCAGAGGGGTCGTGGATGGAGAGTGAGGGATGGTACAATTTGGACACAAATATCCTTCTTGTCAACTGCCTGTCGTCATGTCCCCTTATTGTCGAATAACGCGCAATGCTTTCCAACATCAGAGGTTCAGGCATCTCGAAAAAGATGCCGGGCCCTGGCGCTTTCAACCGAAGATTCCCCGATTGGTCAGACAGGGGAGCTACTTGGTCTATCTGGCATTTCCATAACGGCAATGCGGACATGTCTCCAGGAACAACGTAAATAAATGCGGCTCCCGCTACCTCAGAGATTCTGTATCACCTGGAGATTGGGTCGCCTCAACTCTGTCTTCCGCTTCATGTAGACTTAATTTCTTGGTTTTCCTTTTCCCTTGCGAACCGCACCTGAGGATCACTCTGTCCACTCTTTACGCCTACTACTAGAAGGGCCTCTACCACAAGGCTTCGCATAGTATAGAAGCTACGTGTAGGCTTGCCCAGACTCCGATCGACCACACGAAGCCGGATACGCAGCAAGGCTGCTCAATTGAGCGCAATGCTGAGTATACTGCGGATATGTCTGCTCCTAGCTGTACTTGCAGTAGTTACACTAGGAGCAGAAGACTTCTACAAAGTGCGTTCCTACAACCTCCTCCGGATTTGTTCTACATACTTACCCACGTTTCCAGCTCCTCGGCCTCAAAAAAGACGCGTCAGAACGAGACATCAAGAAAGCCTACCGCACCCTCAGTAAAAAGTACCACCCGGATAAGAATCCGTACGTTCTCCCTCCCTCTTTCTTCTCCCTCTTCTCCCCGCCTGTTCCTCCTGTACCAAGCTAACATCTCAACCGCACAGAGGCGACTCCACCGCACACGACAAATTCGTCGCCGTAGCCGAAGCCTACGACATCCTGATCGACCCGGAGACGCGCCGCATCTACGACCAATACGGCCACGACGGCATCGCGCAGCACAAACAAGGCGGCGGGCGCCCCGCCCAACACCACGACCCGTTCGACCTCTTCAGCCGCTTCTTCGGTGGCAGCGGACACTTCCACGGCAGCGGCGAGCGGCGCGGGCCGAACATGGAAGTCCGCGTCGCGGTGCCGCTGCGGGATTTCTACAACGGAAGGAAGACGGAGTTTACGGTGGAGAAGCAGGCGGTGTGTTCGGCGTGTGAGGGGAGTGGGAGCGAGGATGGCGTCGTCGAGACGTGTAATGTGTGTGGGGGGCGCGGGGCGAGGATCGTGCGGCAGCAGCTTGCGCCGGGACTGTTCCAGCAGGTGCAGACTATGTGTGATAAGTGTGGGGGGAAGGGCAAGACGATTAAACATGTTTGTCCTGTTTGTAAGGGGGAGAGGGTGGTTAGGGAGCCCGAGACGCATGAGTTGGAGATTGAGCCGGGGATGCCGAGGGGAGTGCGGATTACGTATGAGAATGAGGCGGATGAGAGTCCCGACTGGGTGGCGGGCGATTTGATCGTGCATCTTATGGAGAGCGATCCTAAGCTTGGGGAGCAGGAGCATGAGAGGACGGATGGGACCTTCTTTAGGAGGAGAGGGAAGGATTTGTTTTGGAGAGAGGTGTTGAGTCTACGGGAGGCGTGGATGGGTGACTGGGAGAGAAACGTTACGCACCTTGACGGGCATATTGTGCGTCTGGGGAGGAAGAGGGGGGAGGTCGTGCAGCCAGGCACGGTGGAGGTGATTGAGAATGAGGGCATGCCGATTTGGCGCCAGCAGTTGCCTGATGAGGTCAGCGAGGCATACGGGAATCTCCACGTCGAGTATGTGGTTGTGTTACCGGATCAGATGGACAAGGCAATGGAGAAGGATTTTTGGAGCGTGTGGGAAAAGTGGCGGGGGAAGAAGGGCGTCAAGTTGGATGCGGCGTTGGGGAGACCAGAGGGGCCGATCAAGATGCCTGAGAAGGGACATGACGAGTTGTAGGACGGCTCTGTCGCTGCATTCTGGTGGTACTTGGGGGTGGTCCTTGGGGGTTTTACATTGCTTTATCCTTGGAGTATGCGATGAATATGGGGGCGGGCCGAGTGTGGGCAGAGTTCTTTACCCGATGGAACGGGCGCGGCAGAAGGGCGTGGGCTCGAGCAAGCGGATTGTTTATGCTGTGTATGAATTGGGACTTCGCATCGTACGTCATGGTGTCTAGGAGCAGAGGAGTTTGACAGAGGGACTCGGTCATAGATGAAAGACAGAAATGATTGCCATCCAATTATTTAGTCCCAGTACAGTAAAGCATTTAGTCACTTGCCATCCCATCTAAACTCGTTACTGGACAACGGCGCAGGATATCACAGTCGTCGTCGAGACAATGTCCAGTCTTCTTGCCGGAACCTCCACTACAAACCCATCTGTCCAAGTCGGCTGCTGTCACAACTGCAGTGATACAAAAACGGCCTTAGTTCGATAACAAGCAAAACACAAGCAAAATTCCTTCCGTGATCGCCAGTCCTGCAAGTCGGGCGTCTCACCGAGGGCCTCGTGATCCCTCGAACAATCTTGAACCTATCGCCGTCCAGTTGCTGCCGTGTGAGCCAGGAAACCAGCTCAGGAACCGTTTCCGCAGCTCGGTCTTCTCCACCTCTTCCCCTCCGCCTTTTTTTCTCCCTTTCCACTTCATCTCCTTCATTATAATCTACTCCATCTTGACAGCCACCACCGCCATCTGGAAATCTTCTTTCCCCCTGAACCCACCACCTTCATGCATATCACGCTCCCTCTGCATCGCGCCCATATTCCCCACCCCAACCACAGTCTCCAGAACCTTCACAATGACGACGAGTGTTTTCGCCCGAATGACGCGTGATTCGTATCCCAAATATCCATCACCGTGCACGATCGAAGTGGAATGCGAAGACGACAAAGGTCGAGCAAGGGAGGGGATTTGGGAGATTGGATCGATTGTTGGGGATTGAAATTCTAGTGCTACAGACGGAAAGGGTAATGGAATAGAGGAAGAAGCGTATTTCGATTTGGGCCAGGGGAAACATGTATTCAGCGTGTTTGGCGCCCAGGTGGGACAGCTCAGTGTTGGTGAAAGTGGCCATGGTGGTGTTATACTTTCGTGGTGGTGCGGAGAATGGTTGGAGGAGAGGAGGTGAGAGATGTGTGCGGAGAGTGAGAAAGGGGGAAAAGAATGGGTTTAGCGGTGGGGATCTTTGTAGATGGACGTGCTTGTGAGTGGAGATCTGGGGAGTTTTATGGAAGACGGGTAATTGTGAATCAAGAGAAGGCGAAAATCAAATGGGAGTCATAGGATATGTAGATGAGTGTACATTCAGGAACGTTAACGAGAGAACGTATTTGAAGCTGCGCAGCACTATGACTGTGCTTCCAAGTAAAGTCAAAATCCATTAGCAAGGACAGATTGCGAAAAAGAAAAAAACAATTGGTTAATAGGTACGACAACAAAGGAAACAGATAAGACCGGTGCACTGTGGAGTGCCAATCTTGAGGCATCTGCCTCTCGAGCCCACTCACTCCCCACACGCAACACACTGACGCTTAACCAAACAGTTTCCCATCAAGTCATCAAATATGCCCCAACTCAACGCGCCGTCACCGTCACCGTCGCCGTAGCCATCACACCCGCACCCTCAATTCCCCTCTTATCCCCAGTTGCCGCCGTCCCCATTGACAAGGAATACGATCCTGACCGCATACTGTAACTCCCTAACTTGGACATGGACATGGACATCCCAGGTGGTCCGGGCGGACAGGTAGTGAACAACACCGTCTTCGTGCTCACCTTCGTCGTAACACTAGTCATCGTCTTCGTCACAGTGACAGTGACTGTATTCGCCGTCTTGGGGGGTAATTGACTCCAGCAGACTTCTGACGAGGCGGAGGAGTCGTATGTGCAGGACACAGGGTACGTCTTCGAAGGCAGTCCTGTTGGTGTTGGAGAGGTGAGGCGAGGGTAAGAGAGTGTGAGGGTGCTACGGAGCGTGGTTGTGCTTGTGGTGGCCTCGTCGACGGTGTAGGGTTTCGACCCGGTTGGTGAGCGATTGGGGCCTCGTGTATTTTCACCGTCGTCGGCTGTGGAGGTATGCGTGGGATTCTGGTCGGTCCAGGGTTTCGAGTCCTTGCTCGTAGCCGTAGCTTCAGGCAGACTCGACACTGAAGTTGCCGTAGAAACCCACTCGCGATATTTCTCCAGCGCAGTGCTGTAGAAGTCAGGATAAGCAACCCAGTTCCCCTCAACGGGTCCAAGGATGGATATCAATAGCACTCACCCATCACCATTCCCCACACACATCTCAAAATACATGTCCCCAAAGTACTCGTCGTGACAAGCGAACGAATCCTCACCCTCGCCCGTACGCTGGTAATTATAGATGCCATCGCAGTACGTCTCGCCATCGCAATAAATCGGCCTACACAATTCATGGTCATCGAACCACAACGCAAGACCCTTCTGATACCCAGGACACCCCTCAATCTTGACCCGATTCAACCCCTCATCCTGCGCCACCATCTCCTCCGTGATATCCTCCGTCTGATTACAATTCAAAAGCAAAACATCGTAATCCAATCTAGGAAAACCATCCCCGCGCTCCGGGTTCTGAATCAGCGAGTACTCGAGCTGCAAGATATTCTCGGGCCCCCGTCCTTGCTCCGTCCTCGAGATCTTGATGGAAATGGATTCGCCCTCCATTTTCCCCAGCTCTGGACAGTCGGGCGGCGGCGCCATGTGGGCGTGTTCCTTGGGCTTGGGACACACTTCGCGGTAGGCCTCGTGGTAGGTGCCGCCGGCGGGGATTTTGAAGGGCTCGTTGTTGCGGTTGGCGTTTCGCGGCCAGGCGCCGACGAATTGCGCGTAGACGTCGTAGTCGCAGCTGTTTTTGATCCATACGGTGTCGTACTCGGGGCCTCGGTCTGGGCGTTTGGTGATGGGCTGCGGGACCGTGTCCTCCTCGGTGGCTCTTGCGAGGGAGAGGAGAGTTAGGGGTAGTAGAATGTGTGGGAACAGCATGGTGTGGAATCATCTAAGTGTGCGAATACGCTCGTTATAATGCTATTCCTGGTCAGTATGTACGGTCATCATGCAGAGCTGTCGAAGATGGGTTTACAAAACGTTGCGCGAGTTAGAAGGATTAATCGAAATGCTCGTTACGATGCCGTTATGCTTTGAAAAGTTGGAGGGAAATTGCGAAAACGAATGTGTCCCGAAATTGCGAAAAGCGTTGGTGTTACTGATATGGTAGAAGCATGTCAACGTTGAAGGCTTATATTTGTGCTTCATCTTGGTGGCCAACTGAGTCAACTCCTGAGTGTGACCCAGCAAGTACTCAACACTGTCAAGCAGGCTCACCATTCCGGACCGAACAATTACTCCCTCTTCATCCCCACCCTCCCAATACCCCTCAACCCCCAAGCAAACATCAACCCCGTCACACAACTCAGCGCAAAGAGATACCAAAACGCCGCTTTGAACCCCTCCATCAACGCCTCGGGCGACTCCTTGTCCTTGAGCGTGCTCTGCGCTGTCACACTGTTGGCAATGACCGAACTGGTCGCTAGCCCTACGCTCTTTCCGACTTGCGCAATAGTGTTGAATACACCTCCAGCCAGGGCCTGCGTCTTTGCGGGAAACAGAGATGTGATGACCAGATTCGAGATCGTGAAGAGCAGATCGGCGCCAATGGGATTGAGGAAGACGGCCGGAAAAGCGCAGGCCCAGTATGACCAGCTCGGCTGGATGACGGCCATGAGTAGACAGGCGCCGGTCGTCAAGATGATTCCGAAGATAACGGCCCTGTCCGCTTTAACTCTGTGCGCAATCAAGCCCATAACGACGTTGCTCAGGGCTCCAGAGATCGGAGCAGGTAGAAAGCGTACGGAGGTCTCGAGAGCGGAGACGCCCTGCACTTCCTGGAAGAACAACGTGATGTACGATTCAATGGCGTTGAAGACGCCCCAGGTGATGAAGACGCCGAGACAGATGCAGCTGAAAATGCGGTTGCGCCAGAGGGAGGTGGGGATCAAGGCTGGGCGGCCTGTCCTCTCTTGACGTCCTACCCAGAAGATGAATGTGGGGATCAGGGCGATGGAGAGGATGAGCAAAGCAAGGGTTCCGGGAGTTTTGATGTTGGAGGTGCTTCCAGTGATGGATCTAAATATGTGAGCAACTGCCGTAGGAAGGAATTATAGTATGCATACGCAAAAGAATAGGATAACATGGCCAGGCAAGAGCCACCAATAGTAATACCAACCCAGTCAATCTCGTCCTTGAGACGGGCCAGCATATTATCCTGCTTATCATCGACCTTGGGAAGGCCAAAGAACCCAATCACGAACACAACAGTGTTGATGATAGCTGCAATATGCAAAGCCCACCTCCACCCAATGCTATCAGTGAAGACACCTCCAAGTGCAAGGCCGAGAGAAAACCCGACAGGCTGTCCGGCACCCATCGACGCGAACGCAATGTTCCTCCTCTTGCCTTCCGGAAACGTGCTCGTGATGATGCTGACGGCAGACGGAAGACAGAAAGAAATTGCAACTCCGGCAAAGGCTCGAAAGACAATGAGTTGGGTGCCCGTCTTCGCGAGGCCGCAAGCTAGCGTAAAGCAAGATTGCAGCACACATCCCGTCAGGTACATTGGCCTGCTTCCTACAACGTCGGATATGGAGCCGAGTAGGAGGAGGGTACAACCGCAGGTTAATGCATAGATCGAGATGGGCCTATGTTCATTGTCAGCAGAATCAGGCATGGTTCTTGAAGTCAAATATACCATAGAAGCAGACTTGCATCCAATCCCAAATCCCTCGCCATAGTCGGCAGCGCAATCGTCACCAACCCCGCCAACAGGCTACTAATCCCAGTCGTACACACAATCACCGTCAGTACAATCGCCGTGGTCCCTTTACTAGGCGCATCCTGCACCTCCGCTGAAACTGCATTCGCCGGCGGACGGGGATATGAATTCTCTTTTCTCCCAGTCGACGGGGTACCATCTCCCTTCAGTTTGACGCTTGGCGGCGCAGTAACTGGCGCAGAGTATTCCACAAGCTCAATTGAAGTCACTGGCCGCGACATCTCTGGCCACTATGCAAAAAACTGAGATTGAGGAATTGGGCCCGTGAGTAGCCGGCGAGAACTTCTATAGCAATACCTGACGGTGCGGGATGGGGCCGTACCAAGCCGGTGCCGGCCCGCCCGGCATTGCCGTCGGGAATGATCCGAGGAGCATCCCAGCAGAAGAAGATACTCGGTATGAAATATGCGCAGATGGGGTGTCACTGCTGTTGGCCTTGCGGCAACATCCTGATGTCGAGATGGTGTTGCGGCTCTGCGAAGGTTTGCGACAGGATGGGTGGTGCAGAATGAACCCTGCTTCCTTCCTATTTGGGCCTCGGGTCTACATGTGAATACATTACCAAGACAACAACTGAGGATTCACCATTCGCAGGTATAGGTATAATATACAAGTGCCAGGAAGTGACTAGGGGATAGAACCTTGGAACTTTGATTTTATTCGACAAAGCGGTCGCAATGTCATGGCACAATCACTAACTCAGGAGGGCAAGTTTGACAGCTAACCTTAACAGCTTCTGGACTACGGAGTATGCCTCGCGACCAATCATACCTTACCACCAATCGCAGCACAACAACATTATTCGTAAGCACCTCTCTCCTCAAATCCTAGAAGAGCATTGTGAAAGAGACATAATTTACATCTTCGAGCAGACTCTTCGGGCGAGGCTGCTGCAGTATCTACCTATCCCAGGAGCGAGCTTTATGGCACTTTTAAAAGGGAAACAGATATGAGCACATATTCGTGGGGAAAACGCTTCCGAAGCTAGATGGTAAAATATCATAAAACCCCCAAATCTAAAGATGCAAATTCAGAATCATAACTGCTCCGAATATGCAGAAGGACAGCTATTATGTCTTTCAACTCGATTAAAAAGGAAAACCTGCAAGGCGAGAGTGTCTTGTCATGGAAGTAGATCCTTCCGAGGAGCTTGGTGTATTCCCTACCTGTAACCAGACTGTTTTAGACGAAGGGAACGAGTCTCCACGCGTAGTCTCGACAAACTCAGTTGGCATGGCTTTCCCGAGCCGTTAACAGGTAGAGAATCTGTTTTTGGCCGCTCTGATAACTAGACGTTAGAGAAATCCGCAGAGTTGGGCACAAGACATGTTCAGATGGGCTGAAGTTCTTCTCACTCCTTCGCACTCGACATATCCTAAGGCGCCCAGCACTGCAGATTGGGACTGCTGGCGTCGACATGTCGCATTACGCCATGTTCCAGCATTGTCGAGATGCCTCCTGTAGCATAGTTTAGCTGGTTCAGCGAGGCTCTGGAGGTGGAGTGTAATAGGATGGGTTTTGGGTTCAGCTGGAACCTCGGCGGATGAGAGTGATATGAACAGTAATAGATTAGGCATAGTCGCAATGGCTAACAGCTCCTCATGGAGCACGTGAGAGATGAATGCAAAATAACTATGCTCAGAGATAATGACCAATGTCCATGAGTACGCCCAAACTATATTTCAGGATGACGTCGACAGCATAACTTAAAAGACAAGAAACGTGAAACATGTCGTTACCAAACGCGACATCTCATACAGACTCATATTCGAGATCATACATGGGTTCCCCAGTAACATAAAAGGGAAGTTCATCCAGGGTGAAGGCATCGTCGGAAGGTATCGATGGCGGCCCTTGGATATGGGGTATAACATGACCGTCCTCCGGCTCCTCCACCTCTGCAATGTTGTTGGTGTTCGACACGCCCTTGTCCTCGAATAAGAGAGAAGACCGGTCCCCTGGCCCTCGAACCCGGCGACGAAGGCGTCGAGCGCTCGAATCGACATCGTCGAGCGGATCATTGTCGGAGTAACTGCTATCACCTTCGATGCTCTGGCTGTGGGTGCGTTTGTTGTAGATGCCGGCGCTCCATCGCTTCTTTTTCCTCCTGTAGAGTCGTTGCTGCTCCTCCTCGTCTGACGAACTATGTTCGCATCGGAGGTCTTGGAATCTGTGTAGCAATCCGCTATCTTCCAGTCTCCCTCCGCTCTTTTCGCTCTTGGCATCTTCATAGTGATCTGGGCGCACGACTTCTATGTCACTGTCATAGTCGGGATCGCTATCCAGCTCCTCGAGCACGAAGTCGGCATGTTCCACCCTCCGAGATGGCTGCGCTTGATTGCTGCCATTTTCCTCCTCGGGTCCACTTTCGTCGTCTTCAGAGGATTGCTCATTGGTTGAGTTTCCTGGGCCGGATGCCGTCGATGCTCGAGAGGAAACGGTTGTTGACTGCGGCCGCGAGTATGAGAAATGTGGACCTTGGCCAATGGGTTGGATGTGCTCCAATGGAGGGGAGTGATCAAGCATGGCGAAGCCCATTCGCTTGTACGAGGCAGACGTGTGGCTTGCCTGTGGCGTAATGCGTATGTGTGAATGATGGCCTGGCGTCATTGGTGGCGAAGTGGGGTGTGGACCGCTTGGAAATGTGAATGGCTGAGGGAATTGCGGTCTTTCCATTATAAGTTGAGAAGGCGATGTTCACCGGAATGTGCTCCGTCAGGCTGTGGTCGATGTGCCTCAGTGGAGTGGTGAGGGCCGTGGACTGTTTCGTTCCCACTTGTCTTTGGGAAGGTCAAGGTATGAAAGTTCTGTGAACAAGCTTGGCTTTTGGTATACGGGAAGAGGGGTTCGAGGACAGTAGCATTTTTCAGAGAGGGGTTGGAGGCTCGAGGTGAGGTGGATGTCGTGACACGGTGCAGGGCGGATGGGCAGCGTCTTCACAATCAATCGGACCTGGCGAAGGCCTTGGCTTATCGCTGTTGGGGGGATACAGCGTGGTATAGGCAGCAATGCAGAAGAACAAGTCGGGATGTGCCTGCTTAGCCACAGACAGGTTGTCGAGTCGGAAGAGAGGTGGTGGGAGAGGGTGTAGGTGTGGGTGTGGGTGCTGCGGCCGAATGAAGGCGTGGAGAAGCAAGAAGGAAAAACAAAGAGGACTGGGACGTGGCTAAATTATTCACCTGCGTTTCAGCACACTGAGCTGGCACTGGGGCAAGCCTTTCTGAGTGGGCATGGAGCTGCAGAAGTGGCTCCGTGCCATGGTGGCCGTACTGTTGTATATAAGGGCTGCCAGCGTGGTGTGCAGACACGGACAATCTCACCTTGCGTCGTGCTTCCCGAGGCGGATCCAATGACCGCATCGCTCAAAATTGCTGAAATGCAGGGCGGACAGCGTGGTGAAGTGCTGGCACGCCGCCACTGACTGTCGGGGGAGACTGCGGGGTCCACCAGCCCTGGTCCAACGGGCAAAGGTGTGCATGTGCTGCATATGCCACGAGAAAAGAAAAATCTCTTTCTGCGGGGTCGGCGGGAGTCGTCGGTGGGAGTGCGGCTCTGCGGACGCTCAAGGGAGTGCGATGTTGATTACAGTATACCCGTTCTCCGTGTGTGGCTCCAGGACAGAGGGGAACATTGGAGGTCTGGACATGGGAAGGACCTACCGGGAGCACAGGCTCGATATCTGTCACGTGAGCACCCTTGGTATGGATGGGGAGCAACCCAAGAAAAGCATCCAGAATCTGGTTTTCAACATATACCTGAAACTGAGTCTCTCAGACTGAAGCGGTCGAGTGTATCGGCACGGGTGCGTGATCAAGGAGAGCGGAGAGCGATACGCACAGGCAACCAAGGAGATGGTCCTGTGCAAAGAGCATCTCTCAAAAGGTCAAATGGCTCATAGCCCATCAGCTTTACCCTTCAGAGGTGGGAATGTCAGCCTCAATTGCCTCTTGAGATATACCGCCGACTGCGCGATATCAATAGATGGTTGCGTATTGCGTTGAGTCCAAAGTAGTTCTTCGACCTGCGTTCCCTGCCTCGGGCCGTGTATTTCTCCGACATAACTGCCACATGCACCTCACCTCCAACTTTGGCAACCACAAACGTTGACAGCTCGGGAGCATCCAGCAGCTCACGGCCGGCTGTTTGCCATAACCCTTCTCATCCCCTCCTTTTGCCTCTCCAAGCGTCCAAACCCCACCCACAATTGCGTCCGCCGACTGAGCCAATTCCCCGTGCGAGCGGAGCTGCCGCTACCCCCCGACCTCCACCATGTCCTCCCCGTCCATGTTGACCAAGGTACGCTGTGCCCCACTCACAGCTCCCCTTGCCGCTTTTCTCACCTTCTGCAGTTCGAGTCCAAGTCTTCCAGGGCAAAGGGAATTGCTTTCCATCCAAAGAGGTACTTCCTCGGACCCCTCGCCCCGTCGCTTTCCCCGCTGACAGTCCCCTAGACCATGGATCCTCGTTTCTCTACACTCCTCCACGATCCAATTATGGGACTACCGCATGGGCACCTTGATTGATCGCTTCGAAGAACACGATGGTCCTGTGCGCGGCATAGACTTCCACAAGACACAACCCTTGTGAGCTTCCTTCGCTCATCGATCCGGGTTCGTACTAAGAGTGGCAGGTTCGTGTCCGGCGGCGATGACTACAAGATCAAGGTCTGGTCCTACCAGACACGGAGATGTCTCTTCACCCTTAACGGGCACTTGGATTATGTCCGCACCGTCTTCTTCCACCATGAGCTACCCTGGATATTAAGTAGCTCAGACGACCGTAAGCTGGCCTACTCTCTCTCGGCCTCCATGGTACATCGCTAATCTTGAAAACTCTGTATAGAAACCATTCGTATATGGAATTGGCAAAACCGTGAGTAATCGACCGCCCCCACTGGATTGTTCTTTCACACAGCTAACATGGAGGCAGGCTCTTTGAGTAGGTTCAGTTCTCGTCACGCTCGTCGGTTTATTCTAACCCCTTCCAGTCTGTACAATGACCGGTCACAACCATTACGCCATGTGCGCACAATTTCACCCCAAGGAGGACCTCATCGTATCCGCCTCGCTCGATCAGTCCGTCAGGGTGTGGGACATTTCAGGCCTGAGGAAAAAACATTCCGCACCTACCGCCATGTCCTTCGAAGACCAGATGTCACGGGCGAACCAGAACCAGGCAGATATGTTCGGAAATACCGACGCTGTTGTCAAATTCGTGCTAGAAGGTCATGACCGGGGCGTCAACTGGGTTGCTTTCCACCCTACGCTGCCCCTGATCGTGTCTGCTGGAGATGATCGCCTGGTGAAGCTCTGGAGAATGTCAGAAACCAAGGCATGGGAGGTGGACACTTGTAGAGGGCATTTCCAGAATGCCTCCGCTTGTCTTTTCCATCCTCACCAGGACCTCATCCTCTCGGTTGGTGAGGACAAGACGATCCGGGTATGGGACCTCAACAGGCGGACTTCAGTTCAATCATTCAAGAGAGAGAATGACCGCTTCTGGGTCATTGCGGCGCACCCTGAGATTAATCTTTTCGCCGCTGGCCACGATAATGGAGTCATGGTATTCAAGTTGGAACGCGAACGGCCAGCATCCGCAGTCTATCAGAACCAGCTCTTCTACATCACCAAAGAGAAGCATGTCCGGTCATATGATTTCCAGAGGAATATCGAATCCCCCTCAATGCTCTCGTTGAAGAAACTTGGCAGTCCCTGGGTACCCCCGCGAACGCTGTCATACAACCCCGCCGAAAGGTCCATCCTCGTTACGTCACCCGCAGACGGTGGGACCTATGAGCTGATTAGCCTACCTCGGGATACTTCGGGTGCGGTCGAACCAACAGATACAAAGCGTGGATCTGGCAATTCTGCTGTTTTTGTTGCACGCAACCGTTTTGCGGTGTTCAGCCAAGCTAACCAGCAAATCGACATCAAAGATCTCTCCAACTCTACCACAAAGACGATCAAGCCTCCCCACGGCACTACGGACATTTACTTTGGCGGAACCGGCAACCTGCTTCTGATCACACCTACCCATGTCATTCTATACGACATTCAGGCTAAGAAGAACCTTGCCGAACTGGCTGTCAACGGCGTCAAATATGTCGTGTGGTCTTCAGACGGACTTCACGTTGCTCTTCTGAGCAAGCACAACGTGACCATTGCGACAAAGAATCTGGAGCAAGTGAGCACGCTACATGAAACCATCCGTATCAAGAGCGCGACCTGGGATGATACCGGTGTCCTCCTCTACTCCACCCTGAACCATATCAAGTATAGCTTGATGAATGGCGATAATGGTATTGTTCGCACGCTGGAACATACTGTGTACCTCGTCAGGGTAAAAGGGCGCAATGTCTACTGTCTGGACCGAGCTGCCAAACCCAAGGTTCTACAGATCGATCCCACTGAATATAGGTTCAAGCTAGCTCTCGTCAAGAGGAACTACGATGAGATGCTAAACATCATCAAGACCTCGAGCCTTGTTGGTCAGAGCATCATTTCGTATCTTCAGAAGAAGGGTTACCCAGAAATTGCGCTCCAATTCGTCCAAGATCCGCAGACCCGTTTCGAGCTGGCCATAGAATGCGGAAACTTAGACGTTGCCGTGGAGATGGCTAAACAACTGGACCGACCCAAGTTGTGGCAACGCCTCAGCACGGAAGGTCTTGCACACGGCAATCACCAGGTGGTTGAGATGACTTACCAGAAACTCCGCAACTTCGACAAGCTCTCCTTCCTCTATCTGGTAACAGGAGACCAAGAGAAGCTCAAGCGCATGGCGAAGATTGCTGAGCATCGCGGCGACATCACGGCTCGTTTCCAAAATGCCCTGTACCTTGGCGATGTACAGAACAGGATAGAGATGTTCCAGGAAATCGACCTCTACCCTCTCGCCTATGCCACCGCCAAAGCCCATGGACTCGATGAACAGGCCCAATCAATACTAGAGGCGAGTGGACTCACTGAAGATCAAATCAACCTACCCTCCGTTGGCAAGCCCCTAAGCCCTGCAAGGCCAATTGTTCCCACATTCAAGGCGAACTGGCCTGCTCGGGGTGCCTCGTCCACCATGTTCGAGAAGGCTCTTCTCGGTGAGGTGGAGGGTGTCGGTGCAGAGGAACCTGCGGCGAACGCTTACGGCGAAGAAGATCTTCTGGGCGAACCAGAAGCTCCTGGTGTGCCAGCAGGCGAGCTTGGGGGCGAAGATGAGGACGACGTCGCCGGATGGGATATGGGAGATGAGGGTGAAGGGGAGGCGGAAGAGGACTTCGTCGAGGTCGAAGGGGCAGAGGCCGGCGCGGGCAGCAGTGAGGCTGATCTGTGGGCGCGAAACTCACCTTTGGCAGCGGATCACATCGCTGCTGGTTCTTTCGAGACAGCAATGCAGCTGCTGAACAGACAAGTTGGCGCTGTCAATTTCGCACCACTCGAGGGCCGGTTCGAGGAGATATATCAAGCAACCCGGACATTCCTGCCCGCCACCCCCAACATGCCTTCGCTTGTCAACTATGTCAGGCGGACAGTTGAAGAGACGGACTCGCGCAAGATCCTCCCCATCATCCCTAGGGACCTGGAGTCCATCCTCACTGGCGAATTGCAAGCGGGCAAACAGGCAATGGTGAAGAACCAATTGCAGGATGGCGTCGCTGTTTTCAAGAAATTGCTTCAGCTCCTCATTGTCAATGTTGTGTCATCGCAAGCTGAACTTTCCGAGGTAAGTGCTGGAGTTTTGTCTATCCAAGCTATTTGCTAACGACCTACACAGGCAAAGAAGGCTATCCACACAGCTGCACAGTACAGTCTCGCCATGTCCATTGAGCTTGCTCGCCGCGAACTTGTCAAGGGTGCCACGGACATCTCTGGTCTCCCCGATGACACGAAGAAGCGCGCCCTAGAACTGTCCGCGTACTTCACCATCCCCGAGCTTGAAGGCCCGCACAAAGCCATCCCACTCTCTGCGGCGATGAACTTCGCCAACAAAAACAAGCAGCTCAACACGGCGCTCAACTTTGCCAACGCCCTGCTCGATAGAACCGGCAGCGCTAAGCTCAAGGAGCAGGCGAAGCGTGTCAAGACTGTGGCTGAGAGGAATCCGGCGGATGCCATCGAGATTGATTTCGATCAATTTGCCGACTTTGAGATTTGCGCGGCTTCGTATACACCTATCTATGGGGGCAGTCCCTCTGTGGCGTGTCCGTATGATGGTTCGAAGTATCACGGCAAGTACAAGGGGACCGTGTGCAGGATTTGTGAGATTTGTCAGATTGGAGCACCGGCTAGTGGGTTGAGGCTGGTCGGTTGAAGATGTGGTGCAGTGTAGGGTAGTCCCAGAGAGTTGGGGGTGGGAAGCTGCTGGTAGGGTGGGGGAAGTGGAGATATGGGTGATGGATGAGGCATCTACCTTTGGGAATATAGATATGCGGTCGGTGGTGAAGAGAGCCGTGGAGTGATAGGGGAAGAGCTATGAAGTTTTGTGCTCGTGCATTGATTGATTGATAGATGGATGTTAGCGAGCGAACGAGATGACAGGGGTTGAGCGGGTTTGCTAGTCGTCAAAATGTTATGTATGCGCAATGAAGAGCATGTCCACGAAGTTCCGTGTCTCTATTTTTGAACTTGCTAGTCATATCTATTCAGTCTGGAGTCTTGGTCTGCAGACGTAGGATGTACATGGCTGCCTGATCGCAGCCCTTCGTAATCTACAACACTCGCACCCACAACACAAAAGCCTCCATCACTGCGTCCATACTACTCAAGGACAAACCTTTCCTCGCCCCTCCTCACCAACCGTATGGGCACACTCTCGCCCCTCAACTGCAACGTGATGATACTGCTCAACCCCCTCGCCAACGCCCTATCGGCCCTCCTCCACGCGCACTCCCACACGTCCTTCCTCTCCCTCCCACCCCTCGGCATGCGCTCCACCACCTCGTCAGAAGCCCACTCATCGACGGCGAGCTCGACGCTCCAGGCCGAGAAAATGACGGCGAAGCAAGCGAGCAGTTCGACCTGCGCGAAGCGGCGGCCGATGCACGAGCGGTAGCCGTCCGAGAAGGGAATGTAGGCGCCCTTGGGCGGTTTGAAGAGGTGCGAGGACGTGAAGTGGCCCGTGGGGCCGCGGAGGGATTCATCGTCGCTGTTTGTGGTGTCTTCGGGGTCTGTGGCTGTGGCTGTGGCTGTGGATGGAGGGGAGGAGGTAGAGGAGGTAGAGGACGAGGACGAGGACGAGGGAGAAAGCCAGCGTTCTGGACGCCAGAGGTCCTGGTCTTTGCGGGCAAAGGGGTCTTGTCCGTCTGGATAGTGCAGGGAGGAGGAAAAGGGAGAAGGAGTCGAAGGCCAGTATTTGGGGTTGCGGTGGACGGCGCTGCAGAGCGAGACGTGCGTGTCGCCTGGGATGAGGTATTCCTTGCCGTTCATGGAGATGGGTTGGGGCCGCCCCGGATCGGTGGATTTGGGAATATTGATGATGGGTTGGGTCAGGCGGAGGGTTTCGTTCATGACGGCAGCGGGCATGCCGTCGAAGAGTTTGGGGAAGTCGTCCTCGTAGGTCCATTGCGAGATGGGTTTCGAGGCGAGGACCTTGTCGATGGAGGCTTGGAGGCGCTTCTGCGTCGCGGGGTTCATGGCGAGGTAGAGCAGCGAGAAGTGCAGGGCGTTGGCCGTGGTTTCGTGGCCGGCGACCATAAGGACGAAGGCGTTTCCTAGGAGGTCGCTCTTGCGGAGGTCGGATGTTTGGTGGGGGTCGAGGATGCCGCTGTTGCGGAGCATGGCTTGGAAGAGGTCCATGCCTGGGGTTCCCTCCTCGCCGCGGGAGATTTCGGCGGATTTGGCGTCGAACATTTCGGACATGTAGGCGCCGAATTCTTGGACGGCGGTGCCGACATCGCGGTGGACCTTGAAGGGGGATTTGGTGAGGAAGCTGGGTGGGCCGATCTGCGTCCAGACGATTCCCTCGAGGAGCGTGCTGATGGCCTGGCGGTAGTTCATCTTGTGGCCTGGCGGCGGTTTGGAGCCGGCGAAGCGACTGAGTGAGCCTTTCTCGCTCGGCTGCGTTGAAGGGTTGTCCTTCTCTTCGTGAGGCCATTGGACCCGGACGTCGAAACCCGCTCGACTGATGATGTAAAGCGCAAACCGCATAGCTCCCTGATTCGGCTCCTTCACTGTCATATTCCCCTTCTGCTCCGTCCCTGCCCACAGCTTCACCAGCGCCTGCGCATGATGCAGCGACTCGTTCCAGACGAGTTCATTGTTCTTCTCCCCAAAGCTCGGGGCCGTGAGTCTCCTGTGCATGCGCCAGGCGGCGCCCTCGGTGGAAATGACGTTCTTCCCATACAAGTCGATCCGCTTGTAGAGACGCAGCGGTTTGGGGAAGTCTGCCCGCCGCGTCGTGATTTGTGTTATTACCTCCGCATCAGCCACGTAGGCGTTGATTTTGCGGGGGGACACAACGAGGAAGACGTCGGAGCCTAGAGCTTCGAAGGGTGCGTAGCCGACGCGGTGAGACCACTCATTGTCTAATAAGCTGTATGTGGCATTTAGTTAATGATTTATAGATACGGCGATAGTAGTCCAGTGTAACTCAAATGGAATCGATGAAGAGATAGACGGAATTCGAAAGTCACCTACACGAGCCACAATCCGTGAAACCTCTTAGGGAGCTTCCTCAGCAGCGGGAGGAATATTGCCACTGTTGCCAGCCACAACGTCGAGTATACGTTCCAAGGCGTCACCACGTAGGGCAAGCCCGAGTTTCGCGCTTCAGCGAGGTTCCGCCGCAGACTGCGATATCTGCCTACGCAGTGGTACAGAGTAATAGCGCTCAAGACGCTCAGTAGCACCACGAAAATGGCCATGGTTCAACGTGTTGGCCGCTGGTGGGCTGCTGTGCGGGGCCTGCAGCAGTCGTGCAAGGGGGGAGACTATCCGTCCGATGTGACTTGTGACAGCAGCGACTGTGATGCATTGAACAGCGTCACGGGGCCGCTGGAAAGAAGAAAGGACAATGGAGAGGACGACGATGAAGAGAGAGTTGAAGAATTGAGCTCCCAGGACGAAGCGATGTTGGGATGCGCATGCTGGCCTCGGGAATCATGTAGCCGACAAGTGTATCATGGGTGTTTGAGGCAAAAGTTGAGTTAGATTAGGTCATTGGCGCCGGTTAGCTGCACGTTTCGTACGCGAGCCTATATTTAAGAACAGTGAGCCGCGAGGGACAGGAAGGAAGATTGCGCGTTTGAACATTTTCTTCGACAAGACGATATGCTGTGTATACAGTGTCAAGAAGGTGTACGGAGTAAGGGATGTGGTTGAAGTTCACACAAAGGCTGCACTATGTCCGATGTAGGTTAGCTGACAAGCTTAGCGTGGCTGGCGTCTTGGCAATCACACTGTCACAAGTTCCCCACGAGTTACGAGACATGTCCCAAAAATCTGCGCGAAGAAGCTGCTACAAGGAGCAGCACATCGTGGCGCGGCGCCATTCTGTCCCACCAACATCTGAGGAGTCGGAGACATACGTACAGCTGTGCAGCTTGATCTGGGTTACGCTTCGGTACTACCCGTCGTCAAAAGGAACACAGCAGTGTCTCAGGAAGCCTTTGGATCTCGGGTCGTGAACGGTGAGGGGCTGAAACCATGCTTGAGGAGCTTCACTATCTACTGTGTACACAGTACCTAGGGAGTACTGCCGTTATCATGTTGCCGACCTCGGGTGTTGGCGGATCATGTACATGTTCGGTTCAATCGCATCATACCTCACGATTTGAAATCCTGGACGACTGACTGCTCGTCCTGCAACCCAACGGCTTCACTCGTTTCTCTCCGTTGGACTTCGCTTGGCGCTCTGAAGGATCCACACGGAAAACTGGTCTAGCGAATGCGACGTTGAGATATCCCTGGCCGTTCCAAAAATCCCCTCAGAGGCGAAGACACGTGGGAGACTCCCTGACGACAGCTCGGTAGACGCATTATGGGCCGTGGTGTCTCCGGGCGGGAGGTATTTAAAACGGGTATTTATGGGCATCAAACGCCACCCTCCGAAGCGGTCCTACGAATCAGCAGGCACCGGAGCGAACCCGTGTCTCACGCCAAGTAGGTTCCTATCGACTCTGATATCAGGAATCTGAAGAGTGACCTGGCGTCGAGCCTTTGATAGGCCTGGTAAAATCGACTGCTCGGAACAATCAGCAGTACCACTGTGGTACCGGTCGCACGCTGGCAGGCGAACGAGAATCTGCACTTGCATCTCCGTGCCTAGTCCTTCACCGCATCTCTTCCTTCCTGGGGGTCAGCCGGTTATCATGGGAGAAGCTGAGTAAGGGACTCTTGATTACGACAATACCGCATCTTCATTCATGTCGGCTGACGTGACTCCGGACGATGAACACCAAGGTCATGTGGCTGTTCTAGCGAGAGGAGAGTCTTCACTCATGTGGAGCGACTCGTTGACCGCCAGAATGACAATCCAGAGCTTTCGTTTGCCCGGTCCAAATGGTTCATGGCACGACGATGGCGGTGGCGACGACAGATCCTGACTTTGTCCAATTCCCGAGAGACCAGCCACGATGTCCAAGCTCTCCTTCTCGAAGCCTTTTTGGAGACGGGCAGCGGGTCAATAGTGGTCCCAGAAATGAAATTGGGAACGCCAGGGGAGATCTCTGGGGGTTCTGACACCGACTCGCCAAGACACGCCGTCTATTCCGCATTGGGATAACAATGAGCACCAGCACATCTTGGGCAGGCACAACGCTGCCGCACAACCACGACAGGAACTTGAACCTCAAACGCAAGACCGCAAGTTATTAGCCGACGGGCAAAGGATCGCCCTTCGGGGAGAAGAGAGGGAAAAACCATAAGTTGTGTCCCAAAATTCGTCTGCATTTGGTGATGCGCAGCGTTTGAAGGAGTGATGGACACTGGGTCGTCAAAACACATGTCGGGCGAAAGAAGGTGCACCAGGGGAATGAGGCTTCCACGGCATCGAGTGGGGCGCGCAGCTCTGTCGCGTTTCATGCACAGGCAATCCCCCTCCGCTCTTTTTCGAGCCCAAGCCCTCATCTCGGTCCCACGACTTCCCAGCAGCAGCGCTGGGGCAGCCTGGGCTTGATGCTGAATCACGCCGCTGGGAACCTGGGACTGTGGTCTCGGGATTCGCCAATGGATGAGTGCGTGTTCCAGCGCAGCAGTCCGGGAGCTCTGCTCGTTGGCGACTGGCCTGCGTGCAGCAGGTGTGTTGTTGAGGCGCTCTGCGACACGGAAAATCGCGCAGAGGGAGGTAGGTGTATGTGTGTGTGCGTGAGAGGGACACGATGTGGATGCGGAGTGGAGGAGAAGATGCCATGTGCGACGAAGGGACAACGTGGTATGGTGCTGGTATAAAGGAAGGGAATTAGGCTTCCTTAGCCTATAGCCTAGCAGACAACTAGAGCTAAAGACAGGACAAAACCTTAGGAACAGAAACAAGACCTTGCAGGGACAGGGGTTCGAAGGGCTAGGTTTGTAGCATGTTACACTCTTTGCATTTCTTTATTTCCTTTGTTTAAAATTGTTTTGCAATTGCAGCCTAAAAAGGCTACACTCCTTTACCTGCTCTCCTTTTATCCTGCAGTATAATAGAGATATGCCTCTATTATACCTGCTATAACCTATTACATCTATAGCCTAAAAGGCTTTTGTAACTAGGATAGCCATGTTATAGTCTGTAGACTCAATACACTTATTGATACAAAAAAAAAGGTATGGTGCTGGCTCCATAATAAGACGTTCTACGACCAAAAAGAACTACAAAAACAAAGCAAAACTTGTACAAAAATATGTTTAGTTACCTTTATGTCTATAGTATAAAGGAAAGAATACACTAGAAATATAGCTTTCTTTTGCTTTTAAAAGATAGTCGCATAATAAACATTCTAAATCAAGGCTATACTTACAACTAGATTAGCTATATTCTTAGAGAGTAGCATATACTAGGTTATATTAACTAGCAAGGTAACTGTTAGAATATTGAAAAGTATTTCTCGATAAATAAATGTCTATAACTATCTCTAATTAGCACAGTAGAGCACGGGACACGGGACGGCCTCGCCTCGCTTCAACCTGCCGCGCCCGATAGTGGATGGGATAGCTTCCAGGAAGCGAACACGTCGTGTTGTTGCGGCGTCGACGCTGAATCGCTGAATCGCCGAATCATCGTGAGCCCTAGCGCACAACTGACAAACAGACAACTGCGAGCAGTCAGTAACAAGTCGTTGTTGTGGTGGTGGTGCTGCTGCTGCTCGCCGTGCTGCTGGTTACCGTTCACCGTTCGCAGAGCAGCCTCCCTTTCCTCTCCTGGGGCGCGCCTTCCCCAGTTGCTGCTGCTGCTGCTTGCTCCTGCCAGTCTACCGCCTCGCTCCTGCCGTCTCAGGGACGCTCATCACCACCACCACCACCACCACCTCCATCCCCTCCCCTCTCTTCTTCCCCTCTCCTTTTCCCTCTCCTCCTGAACATCGCCACTCATCCTCAACAATAATATTATCTATCGTCTCCTTCACCCCGTCGCCAATTATTCCACAGCTCCACCGTCGACCAGGGCTCCGACCCAGGCCCACCTCACCTCCACCGCCGTGCCAGGCTCATCTTCCCGTCCGTGCCTGGCACCGATCCAAACGCCTTGTGGAAAGGCGCTGACGGTCTGGGATTGTTTTCGCCGCACCTTTGTCACCCCGTGACCTCTTCTGTGACCACCTGGGCACCCTCTCCACTCTCCACCGCTTTCTCCCCCCGGTCTCCCCAGGTGCCCCCCACTCATCCTAAGTACTCGCTCTGCCGGGCATTCCAAGCTTCACCAAACGTCGGACCACAGACGCAACAGAGCAATTTCTCTGCCAGACGGCCACAAGAGAGGGAGAGAGAGAGGTCTCCCCAGCCGGACCCTTCATCGCCCAGCGTCGTCCCATCTCCCGATCGGGCATTTCGCCTCTGGTCTGGTCTTGCAGGCGCGTCGTCGCCGCCTCCATGGTACCAGCGTTGGCTTCGCACCCCGGGTCCTCACGAGCCGCTTCCTGACTCCCGCTCCTGCATCCCACCGTCTGCCCTACCGAGCTCACCTTCTTCCCTGTCACCACCACCACTCCATGATACGCCTCCCCCCAGCATCACCTCGACTCGCTATCCTCTGATCTTCTTGTCCGTCGCGAGTTGCCCTGCCACACTACGGTGTGCCGGCTCCACTCCTGGCTACTCCCTACCTCCTGTCAATCCTCTGATTCCTCCCCTCCGCCCAGGTGTGATGACGCAGAGGAGGGCCTTTCTCTCCCAAGCCCAACCAGCCGACGTCGTGGCCCTCACGCCCTTGTGTTGCCTCTGGTGAATTGCTGCCAGTGCTTCTGCTGCCGAGGCTGGCCCAGCCCCGTTGCTTGCACTCCAGTGTCAGTTGCCCCCCAGTGTGGCCACCAAAAGTGCCGGCCCGCAGTTTGACCGCCTTCTTGTCGCAAGTGGTACAGCTCGAGTGCTCTGCCCTCCGTTGCCGCATGGCCTGAGCGGTTCGTCTGATATATGTAATAACCATGGACGCTGCTGAGCCGGATGCGCCTGTTCACAAACGTCCCCGCCTCAACTCACTCCACCCTCCTCCGTACAACGGCTTGCCTCCCCCTCACCCAGTCTCGCAGAATTCGCCCTTTCGCCATTCCGCCCATCCGCCTTCGTCTCCAGCAACACACGCTCAGGCTCCCTATCCCCCTCACGGCCTTCCCTCTTATCCGTACCCTCCTCCTCCAGGGCCTCCGTCGTCTGTCCCCCACCAGGATCGCTCCTCTGTCTCAATCCAGACTCCAACGCCTCAACTCGTCGCGCAAGAACGTTCCGCGCCACCAGGCCCATATCAACAACCTCCGGAGAGCGCACAGAGGCCGGGCCCATCACCGCACCAGCGCACTCATGGCTTCTCCGTGACTGTTCCTAGGGTGCCGCCTGCTATTGACCAGGACCGAATCTCGGATTACAGCCGTCCTCCCGTGACGCCGCAATCCACCGGAGCCGAAACACAACTCCCTCGTCCGCCGACTACCACCAAGGAGCCCAATCCGCAACCTGTAATGGAGCGAAGTGGTCCTGCTGCGCCATGGTCTGCAAGTTCGGACCACCCCCCGAATGGCACCTATCCGAGCAATGGCTACCCCCGTGTCGTTAATTCACCCCAGCATTCGGATCAACCGTTTCACACACCTTCTTTACCCCCCACCCAATATGCGCCGCTCGTCCCTACATATGGTGCTCCCTCCCATGGACCTTACATGGGCGGTTCGGAGGCGTACGGGAACCAAGTAAAGCGCAAACATGTGCGAGCCACCCAGGCTTGTAATCACTGCCGCTCTCGTAAACAGAAATGCGACGAGGCGAGGCCGTGCCAGTTCTGCAGGGACAATGGATTGGAATGCCTTTACAAGGACGTGCCACCTCCAAAGTATGTAGAGTCTCTATTATTCTGTGCTTCATGCTTACGTGGATTAGGATGGATAGAAGCATGATGCAACTCCAGGAAAGTATGAACGGTGTTTCCGAAACGCTGAAATCCTTCATTGCGGAAATAAACGCCTGGAGGCAGACGGTGGACCGGAAACTATCGCCCACAGTCGAGTTGGATCGCATGACGAACCCACTGTCCCCCGAACAGATCTATGGAGCTGGACCCGCTATGAATGAGCGGCATGGATCCCAGGCGCCCACTCCTGTTCAGGGACGCGGCTACTATCCTAGGGTCGATAACATCAAAGCCGAATCCCCGGTTGCCACGAATTCGACCATGTCTCCGCCCGCTGGACCCGTCTCAACACCCGGCAGGCAAGAGTTTCCAACAGCTATTGCTCGGCCTTCGGCAACACCCGTTGACAGCGCGAACGTCAAGCTCTCGACCCCGGTCCAAAAGGAAGATGACGTGCCTTCGGCATTTCCGGTCGACCACACGACGCCCGCCCACCAGATTCTCCAAGACTGGCCGACAATGAGAGATTTTTCCAAAGGCATTGAAGTCATCGAGAATCTGAAAAGGAAAGGCAAGAACATCGCCGACTATCCCATGCAACTAGAGAGGTTCCGTGGCGTAGTCAGAGTGCATGGCGTAGGCGAAGGACTGGATACGTGCGATGGTACACAAGGACTTACGACGACTCCCGACAGTAATGGGGCACCAGACACGCCGTCACCTCCATATGCCGAAATGAAACCTTGGGGTCCGCTTACACCTGAGAGTCCGCCCACGCTGGTTGATGAAGGATCAGCAGCCGCTGACCATGATCGAGGGCGACGCTTCGACTGTCGGCTTCTACTTGACAAATCAACAGTGGAAAGACTGTTTGACTCGTACTGCCGACACATTCATCCCTTGCAGCCATTTCTTAACATCAAGCAACTGAAAAGAATGGTACAGAACTTCGCTATGATGTATGGACCGGAGTCAAGGCGCAGCCAGAGCCATGCCGGAACTAAGAGGAAACGGTGCGCCGATTGTCTCAGTGGCTACTCGGATACAACTGCATACTTGGGGTACGGCATCCATAGATCCGTCCATAATGCCATCGTCCTGCTCGTCCTTGCTCTCGGGAAAGTGTGCGAGTGGAAGGACCCACTACCCGCCCCAGAGGCGGATGCGTTTCCAGTGGAAAGTCAGCGCCTGGGCTACATGCGGAAATCGTCACGGTCGGCCTCTGTGAACAGTAGCTTCAACAGCGACCACGAAGAAACCCGGAAGAGAAATATAGATCGCTTGCCTGGAATGTTATATTACTGTATTGCAACTGATATGCTCGGAAATCTGACAGGTGGGTTTTCGATAGGTCATGCGCAGGCGAATGTGCTTGCCGCATTGTACGCAGGCCAATATGCGCGCGTGATGGAGAGCTGGAGTTGGATCAACAATGCCTGTAGGATCTGCATCGTGCTCGTCAAGGAGTAGGCTTCGAAGCTCTGAAGTCACAGTGCCAATGCTGACTGCTCTGTAGGGAAATGCCTTTTATTCAGAGAAAGTTAGAGTTCGAGCGACCTGACGAGCGCAGCCAAGCACAAAGCCAGACCCTCAATCCAAACCCTAGCCAACAACCCAGTCAGACTCCGGCCTCCAATCCGCCTGCGACGCCCGGGTTGAGCCCATCTACACAACACGAGGATAAGGAAGAGAAGGAGCTCCAGGCACAGAGGAACCTCATCAAGCTACTCTACTGGGCCTGCCTTCAGCTGGAAACGTATGTCGACCATGATCTTGTTTATCGCGACTGACCGAGAAACAGCGATATATTGGCCGAAATGAGCACGCTGCCACCGTCCCACATTGCACAGTATCAAGATATCATCGATTACCCAAAGGGAGTCGGCCAAATCCGCATTCAGGATCTGCAAATGCCATACGAACAGTGGCCAGAGGACCAGAAAATCATGGTGCTCTATTCGAGTCAGATACACCTACGTGTCCTTCTCAATCATGCCCACAAGACGTTATATCAAAAAAACAAACTACGCTACAGTAAGTTGCACCCACTGCATGTTGGATTGCGCTAAAGAGAGTGTTAGCTCTAGAGAAGAATGACAAGAATGACAAAGACGACGTTGTTCAATCTTCCCTGCTGACGGTAGCCCATGCGGCACGCGAACAATTCGAGATGCTCAAGGCCTGGAAGCGCCTGCAGCCGCCTGCCCTCCGATGGGAGGATCATGACCCTCCAGCGACCGACATCAACATCGCACGGCTCCGGGCCAAGTATTACGGTGCTCAATATATGGTTCTTCGGCCATATTTGGAGATTGCCCTTCACGATGTCCCATTTCCTCCCAACGGTGCCACTTCGGACAGGTCATCGCATGGCTCTGATGCCGGGTTGGGAGATATTTCTACGCCCATGTCCGCCCGTTCGGTGGGCGCTACGCCCCCGGAGACCAGTAGCCAAGCGGCGGGTATTGTGGAACTCCTTCCGGACTTCAAGTCCATCGTCGAGGTTGCGCGTCTGTGTGTGGAGAGTGCTATTCAGAGTACCATTGCCTTCGACCGCGTGGGCCATCAGCCCAATGATGTCTACAGGAAATACGTCGACACGCCGAAAGGTCGACTTATAGTAACTAACATCTTCGGCACTATGCATGCGTACGTCTTCGTGGCTACCTTCCCTCTTGGGTCTTTTCTAACCAGAACCATGCAGGCAATTTGGAAACATGATCGTCCTTGCCGCGGTCATGATGTCAGGCAAGAACAAGCTGAGCCAGCTGCTTCCTGGGCTACCGACTCTCACGAAACAGACTTTTGGCGATCTGCTCGCGCGGACTATCAAAATGTTGAGACAAGTGGGCGATAATTCACCGACGCTTACAACGGACGCCGACATACTGGAAAATATTCAAAAGCTCGCAGGTGTCAATTGACGGATGGTTTAGATCTCGTTTTCATGGCAACCTGGGATGTCGGGATTTCCGGTTGGAGAAATTTCTGAAGGAACATATCCCTTAATGTTGGCGTGCATTCTTCTGGCGTTTGACAGCATTGAGTGGCACCATGTGTGTGGGAGGCAGCGTTTGACTTTTACTGTTATTCGACGCATGATATATCCATCAGCTTTGGTTTTTGGACTACGCGCATATATCCCTCGGCGAGCCCTGGATGCCTGCGTTCAGGCACTCGACGGCACGGCATTTGTATACCCGGTTTGTGAGTCTCCTGGGGTATGGCGATCTGGCTGTATGAGGAGGACAGAAGGACCGACGATGAAGAACGGCCGAAGACTGTATCATCGCACTGTTTTCCGTAGTAAGACGATTAGTCTGATATATACCAGATGCATCTATTCTGTTTCATCGTGGGACATGGACACAGTAATCGTACGCATATGGTCCACCTCGCTCGATTCGAGAACTTTGCCGTGCGCTCAAGAATTTCGGGGATTGAACTTTGCTCCTGCCCGGGCTTCTAGAAGGGGGATGGGGGGCCCGGCAAAGCGGGGACGCCGTCTCGTCTGGTCTGAGAAGCCCGAGCTGAGAAAAGCCCCGAGCCGTGGCGTCGGCGTCGTCCGAGAATTTGGAAATGACTGTGAGACTGACTGACTCTGGGGTGCAGTGAAGGCGGAGAGGGTGAACCGCGGGGTGTCATTCGTCGGAGCTTATCGACTAAGTATTTGTTATGGAAAGGTTTCGGGATGTTTTATAGGCGTTCTTAGTGCGTGGCTGCGTTGTAGAATTTGGTACTCCGTAGTGGGGAAGCAAGCTCAGGCCAGGGTTTCTCTTTTTATTTCTATTGGCGGGTTGAGATATGTATGGTCTGAGGGCAGACAACATCTTGAGATGAGACTCTCGGAGGAGGGGGAAGGCCCGGGGGCCGGCGAGTCATTCCTGATGGGAGTATCTCTCTAGTGGCAACAAGAAAGTATCATGGTTTTCGTGATGCTGATAAGAAAGAGTTCGGGTTCTAAATAATGTAAAAGGGGGCCTTTTTTACCCGAATACCTTCCTCTAGAAAGGGGGGAACGGGTCTATTACACCTTGATACTAGTTCAGATATGGAATCGTACGCGTATACGGACGTGTCCTTTTGTTTGTTGGGCGATCTACTAGCCGTCCGTCCCAGTCATCTAGGTATACGTCCAATAATGCATTTGCTTCCTCAATCGCCTCTGTTATTGCTTGAGACTATCTATTAGACTCTCGATGGGTTTGGCCGTCCGCTGCACCTCCTCCTTCTCCGCATCAGCGCCCCCCAACCAAGCCTGCAGCACGCAGCAATTACTAATAATTCAGATGGCCCGAAGACGCGGTCTTGGATTCTTTTTGCCTGGCCCCGGGGCATCGGAGCCGCGCCTGGCGATGGTGGCGTGCCTCTTCTTTTCTTTTTTCTTTTCCTGTCCCGCTTTTTGAGGGGGGCGTTTGCGGCATTGTTTCTTGGAGGGCGGGGATGTTGGAAAGTTGGGAAGGTTGTTGGGCGCGAGGCTGGGATGGGGAAATTTCCGAGATGGAGGATCGGCGTTTTTTTGTGGTGGCTTGCTTGGGAGGGATGGATGTCTGGGTGGGTTGGGGTGGTGTGATCGGTTGCGGAGGATTATTGTTGGTTTTGGTTTTTTGTGGGGAGTTGCTGTGTTGGTGCTGGTAAGTTCTGGAGGCGCATGGGGACGCCGAGATGGGTCTGGGGAAAGAGGGGGATTGTATGTAGAGAGTAGAGCAGAGAAGGGGAGGTGGCACCGTGGGAGGTATTGTAGAGGTGTGGGTAGGGTGGAGGGATAGATGGCGAGGCTGGAGGATGAGACCTCTTTTTTTCCTTCTTTTCCTCTTTTTTTTTTTTTTTTTTTTTTAAACCTTGACATCTGTTTTGCGTTTCTTTTGGTTTGCGAACGGCGGAGCTGGTGCGTGTGCTGAGGTCCTTCAAAAGTAGTCTACAGACCTACCTACCTGGAGTGGAGTTGATGAGCAGCGGGGAGTTACGCAGTAGTCGATTTCACCAGAATCGAACACCAACACTACATACACAAGTCGTCGGGTCAGCGTCGGGCACCACCCAACAGAGTACATAGCAATCAGGCAGAAAGCCAAAATCCCGTGGCTCCAAGTCCAGAATTCGTGGATGTGGTCATCTTCCGGTGATTCGAATTTCGAATTCCTCACTACCGTGTTTGCTAGCAAAGAAGCGCCGTTAGATGATCATGTGATGTTGGTTAGAGTGGAAACGGGGCATCAATGGCCAAAGTGTGCTGGGCATGTGCGTTTGTTAATCAAATGAGAGAATGCAAGTCATTCCTCTGCAGCTTCTCTTACGTTCTGCTATTCGGGGAATTGTATCACAGAACCTTCAGCTGGGAAGAGGGTACAACTACCTGTATCCTTCGCCAAGCCTGACCTGCTATATACTACTGGAGGGGATCAGACTTGGAGACTGCGGCTTGTAACAATTGTTTGTACTTTTCTTAGCAGACAGAATACGAGCCTGCTTGAGAACAGGAATGGAAGAAAAAGTAAAGGCGTGCAAGGGATGGGGGATCGAGAGTGTTCATGACTGAAGACGTCTCCGAGGAGGTTCTTGTTGTTTATAGCTTTGTAGCTGGGCCTGAGTGACACCTATCAACTTGAACGGGAGCGCATGCGGAGGGAGTCGATATGGAGTGGCGAAATGAGGGGCTGCAGGTAAAGCGCAAGTGCAAGAAATAGAATAGAACATTTTAGTAGCTAGTAGAGCATGACGGCGCATGGAAAAGCTACAGGCTACGCATGTGAGACTCGAATCATAATATAAATGACTGTTCTATGGAAGAGCAGCGGGCCGTTTGCATTTGAACTGAAAGGTTCTGGTGCCCCTTGTGCATATCAAGTGACCTCACAATAAGGTATCTCCATCTCCTCCACAGAGAACGTGACACGTCAACTATATGTCGCGGAGAATGTATGTACGGTACTGTATTCGCATCCAGGCGTCTATCATACGAATCTCTCGATCACTCTAGCAAACCAATTCCTCTGTCCCTCAAACCACCCTTACACAACAAGTGCACTACAACTCATCATGACGCTTCCCAACCCTCTCCCCACCCCAAGCCTGCGGCTCCCCATGCGAATCCGATATCTCCCCCTCCCCATCCCGCTTCCCCTCCTCCCTCTTTTCCTTCCCTTGCCCAGCTCCCTTCACCGCCTCCCCCCTCTTCCTCCTCGCCAACGCCGCAATCTCCTCATCATACTCCGTCCACTCCGGAACCTGCCTCCTCGCCCTATCCAACTTGGGCTCCTTCGTCTGCGGATTATTACACAAATCAATCGTCTTGGCCTGCTTCAAACTCTCATCACTACACCACGTCTCGCACCACAACCACTCCTGCGGCAGACTGTAGATGGGGAGCTGGAACTGCATATTATTCGGCAGATCCTGGTCCAGGTTGCTCAGACTCGCCGGGTCGGCCGACAGCGAGTGGTACTGTTGGCGTAGACGGTCGCCAGCGGCCAGAGCTCGGAACCGCTTGAGGTCCACGACGTACAGAGCAGAGATGTGGTATGGCAGGCCCCGAAGGAAAGACTTCCAGTACCCCTGTTTCCAGAAGCGGAATCCCTCCATTTCGGTCCGGGAATCGCACATGGGTGTGAACCCGTACGGCGCGCCGTGCAAGTCCATCTGGACAAGCTCGTACATGTCCGTCCTGACGATCTGGTCCGCATCCACGAAGATGACTTTGTCGAGGTCGAGCGGGAAGAGCACGTCGAGGAACAGGATCTTGTAGCCCCAGATCTCGCGCTGCTTCTCCTTCTGGCCACGCAGCCAGTGCGGCCACTTGTACGTCACGAGTTCGTACGAGAACCCGTATTCGGCCGCCATGGTCGGGAGGAAGGATTTGAAGCTCGGAGAGAGGAATTGCTCGATGAACCAGAATTTGACGGTGTGGTTGGTGTGCTTCATGACGGAGAGCATCATGATGTTGAGCATGCGTTCATAAAGGTGGCCTGAGGCGACAGAAAAGATGTTGATATCGGCTTGGACGCCGGTTGATTTTGCCTTTTCGGCTGTGAAACCTGTCTTTGAGAGCAGTTTCGAACCGGATTGGAGGACTTTTTGTGTGTCGATGCCTTTCAGGCCAATTTTATTAAGGAGCTTGTTGACTTTCTGTGTTCCTTTCTCGACAATCTCGGAGGCCATGCTCTCATCGGTGACCAGGACGTCGGCGGTTTCCATACCGGGCTTGCGTGACAGACGAGGGAAAAGAGTGGCTCCTTGGAAGCTCATCAGTACGATCTCATTTGTCTCATCACCTGGGACGGGCGCCCAGCCTTTAGTTCCAGCACTGTCAATGTTGAAGATCTCCTGGCTACGGCCACTCTTGAGCTGGATCTTGAAGAAGCCAGGGTTGGCTTTGAACTGGAAATATCCGAGATTTGCCATGATGATGGTGTCTGCAAAGTGTGGGTCCTTCTCAGTGGATAGAACCAGCTCAGCGCCCCTCGGTGGCATTCCGCCTTGGGTGACATCGCGAGAGTGGCCTTCAATAAGAATGCTCTCGAGACCGTAAGTAGCGTCTATGTCAGCCCCAGGACTCAGCGAACTGAGCTTGATATTGTCAAGATCGTGGATGGACTCCTCTGGTGCTACGAGCCATGATGGCGGCACGTCCATGCCTAGGTTAAGCAATGCTTCCTTGGGTATACCAGTAAAATGCGCTTCCAGGTCCACAAAATCGCCATTGTCGTTGAAAGTAGGCCTTGAATCCAGGAGGTATCTGTAGAACCGCTTCACAGGCAACTCCTCCAACCTCTGGTGAGGGTTCAGAAACAGCTTCAGGTAGACACCGTCCATATCGGATAGGACCTTGAGGATGGGAATCCACTTCTGCGCCAATTCTGTAGCAGGATCAACGGATGCCACAACCTGGAAGATAGCCTTTGACTTGTCGCCCTTGGTGATTGCAGTATGGGTGTCGTTCCATTGATTGAAGAGATCCATACGCATTGTAGAAGCCGATTCGAAGATACCTTCTGGTAGGTCGGACACCGTTGACAACGACACGAGGGATTGAAGTTTGGCGAAATCGAGTGGCGAGGTGAGCGTCCCCGTTAGCTGTAGAGACTCCAACGCTGCGCTGAGTGGCTGAATTCGCTTCGAAATCTCGTAAGAAACAAGTGTTTCAATGTCGTCCTTGGAGACTGTCTGCTCAGCAGGGATGGGACCAACAAAACGTCCATTGAGGAGAAGGCCGCTCTGTCCGGGGTTGAGGCCAAGTGCTTCGTAAATAGGCTGAGCTGTCTTCCAGAAAGCCGTCGAGTTGCCCGGAGTAGGGGACAATCTGGGTTCTTCTGATGCTATGGTCTCCAGCTGCTCGGACGTCAATGGCCCATACTTTATCCGAGCCTCCAGCATATCTTCAGACGCACTAACTCGATCGGCTCCGGCTTCCGGGTTATGGATCAGAACAATCTCCATGTTTTTATGTTCTTTACGATAGTGGGATATTGCTCTCAACAACTCGAGCCCGGATGTAGAATCGAAATCGCACACCACGATCAAATGCACCATGTCCTTAGATGGTGTCGCGTCTGCTAAGATGATCGGCATCTTTTCAACAATCTGCTCGTGTCTCTCATAGAACTCAACCATGTTCACAAGAGTGATATTCTTCTCATTCTCCGGAATGAGCAGTGGATTACGCTTCACAGCGGCGGAGGCCAAGAAGAGCTGTGGAACCCACGTTTCTTCCGAGAGATCGCCCTCGAAGACGCGTTGCTGAATTGTCCGCAGGTCCATTGTGATCCGTTCGCTCATTAGTTGCATCCAGTTGTCGGCTTGTGGAACGGGTGCGCCGTTGACGAACATCGGGGCATCAGGTCCATCTGCGGCCAAACGAGACAGATACTGCTTAGCAGACGCCAATAGCTCGTTTACGTCTTCAGCCTTGAGAGCGTCAGCGAGAGAAAGCGCTTCCCGCTCATTGCGCAATTTAGCGTCCTGGACGGCTGCGTCAAAGGTGCTTTTGTCGGGCATGGAGACTTTCTTGTTTTCGTTGGACTATAATGCGTTAGCGTCCAAATGCCGCGTGGATACCGATATACCAGTACGTACCGCTTCCAGGTACCTCATCACGGCAGAAAGCCCGTAAGTCTCTAACAGATGATAAACAACCTTGGCTTGCTCGGCTGCTCCCGTGCTGGTAGTCTTCGGCACGAGACCCCATCGGATTGGGACCCTGCGCTTGACCATGGTTTGCAGAGTCTGTGTGATCGAGATGACATCCTCTTTGGAGCTAAAGTCGACAGGGATGATGACGTTGTGAACATCTCTGCGAACGGAAGGCAGTTGGCCAGGGAAAGTACGCTGAAGAAGCTGCACTTTGTCAGCCGTTGACCATTACATTAGGAGGGTAAGGACCTACGGCAGTGACTTCTGTGGGCCAGTCCTCGTATCTCTTATCCTTTTCAATATCGTTCAGCCAGATGATGACTCTGCCACCTTCGGTTGTATCCCTAAAGTCATAGCGCTGGGGTTCATCCTGCATTTGATTCGCGGTAATCGCCGAATGTGAGAGAAGAGCTATGGCGTCTGGTCCGGAAAGGCCTCGGCTTCGGATACCATTGATCAATTTACGTTCTCGCCGGAGATGCTCTAGCAAAGTGAATGGATTAATATCGCGGTTGGGTATCTGAACACCGTTTATCCACATCACGTTGAAGCCAGATGGCAACAGCTGTTTCCTATTTTCCTCATGTTCATGGAGGAACTCCTTTGAGGCATTGTGTGCGGCGATAGCAGAAGAATGCTTCGGGAAATCCTGCACCAGACGCAGGAGAGTGTCTAGTGGCTGGTCACTCTTCATCACGAAACTAGCAGCGTTCACGGCGAGATTCGACACTTCTGATGAGGATAAGGGCTTGAGATCTGCCACTTCTTCGTCGCCGGTAAGTTCGGTGCTTTGCGCCTTTTTGGCGTCATTCTTAGCCTCTTCGGCCTGCCGGTCATCGATGACAATATAGTCGGTTCGCTTCAGCTGGAGCTCGACACCGTAGCCGTTAACTATGAGTGGCGTCCCTGGCCCTTTCGTTGACGGCTTATGGCGGACCCGATATGATGTCTTTCCCTCCTTCGCGGTCTTGCTCAGGGTCTCGTGGAACCACGCGAAGGAAGGTGAGGTGATATCTGCGTAGACTATGGACGGTAATGCATTTTTGCTGTCGCCGAGAATGCGATCGAAGGGCAATTCATCAGTGCTGGTATGGTTAGCATGTCCCCCACTGCAATATACAAGACGAATAGCTTACCGCTCGCTCTTTATCCTGCCATTGCTCTCCTTCAAATCCGGATTGCAGTACTGCTCCCCACCAAACGATACCCATGTCTCACAGCCCTCGCCTTGATCCCCTTGTAACGAAGGTACGACAGATGTGTTGTAGAATTGATAATGCGCTTCTATGCGCGGAGCTGCGGACCGGACTGATAGTGCGAATTGAAACGAAGCCAGCGTTTCGAGGTCGGTAATGTGTCCGTCTGCTTCCAAAAGATCTGTGAATACATAGTATAGCTCTTGGGGCGTGTTGCACTCCCGGAAGTAACCTTGTGCTATGCGATCGAGGAGCGGGTAGTATGCGGTGGAGTTCTCCTCGGCGGCGGTTTCTCTGCACCTGGTTAGCCTGTTGTCCAGAGACGAGAAGCCTGGACATACAAGAGCTCGACTAAAAATGGAGCAGAATTGAACGAGGCTCGAAGGGCAACGTTGATGCTCGGACCTGCGAGAACACCTATGAATCTACTGGCACCGAGCAACAGCAACGCCTTCGCGCAGAGCGACAGTTGAAGCGCCCCCATAGCACAACCCTTGGGCTGGAGCTCCACCAGACGTCAGAGAAATCTCAGGACTATCCTCAGAGGGTTCCGCGTTGTGAACGTGGGCAATGACAGCTCTGATATTACAGAAGTTGCAACGTATAGCATTCCGTTCGGAACGACGTCTGGGGCCTGATATAGGTGTCGCCACAACACGAAGTAACCGCTGCTTGGGCTACACCTGCAGCGTATGGAGCTAGGCCAAGATGCAATCGGATGTGTATCTAATAAAACATTCGATAGTTATACAAGAGTCTCGTTTGATGAATGGGGTGTGGTTTGCCAGTTTGCTGAGGAGCTTGGCAACGAGCTCTCCCCCGCACCGCCACAATGTGGCACTTCCGAAACGCCGAACTAACATAGTATATGGATATATTGATCTACATGAAGAAACACCAGACTGTAACGCTATGAAAGAGATGATTTACCAACCCGAGACTCCCAAGAAACCGTATCTTTAGTTTTTACTCCGACCTGGATAACTTCTTTACGCTGTTTTCTTTTTGCCTATGCTTGTGTCTATGTTTCCAATGACCCAAACGGCCACAAAGACGCTGAACATGCCCAAAGTAATGACAAGCGGCTTGCGGAGACCCGCTGTCCAAGGGTAGTCATAAGTGACAATCAGGTCGCGGTCTCTGAATTCATCAACAACATTGATCGCAGTGAGGCTCAATGCTGTTCGTCCGAGGGTGTCCATAAAGGTCTTGTGTAGGCTCGTGGTGCTGTCGATAAGGGGCACAGACGTAGCATATCTAACGTTGGTGGCACCTTCAGGAAGGATGACACGAAGGTTGACGCGAGCGTATTCAATACCTTCAGGCTGGCGAGGACCTTCCAGGAACGGGACTTTGAGGATATAAGACTCGCCAGTCGCTAGCTTACGCAGATAGCTGGACAAGTCGGCGTTCCATCCAACCCGGAAGCTGTACTTCCAGCCTCCAAAGACTGGGTAGCGAGGCCTCACCTCCAGGACGGTTTCTCTCCTTCCGGGACGGAACCGGGAAGTCGAAACGTTGCCGATGTCATCCGTGAAATAGGGGTCAACGGCTCCAGGATGGAGAGGAAGGCTGAGAGCCTTGAGAGCCGAGGTGGCTGGGTTCATGTATGAGCTCTTCTGCCACTCAACGCGCGAGAACTGGTTCTTCAGGTGAGCGCCTCGATTCTCCAACCAGTAGCGCTCCTCAGTCGCCAAGTTGCCGCCCCAGTGGGAGACCTCAATATCGCGCTCCAGGAGTGATACATGTGCCACAGGCTTCGTGAATTCATATCGGACGCTGACCAATTGCTCCGCGCCCGCCGGAACGGATGCGTAGGGGCCATAGGTAAAAGTGGTTCCTTGTTTCTGGGGATCCGCGTGCTTCTCGGAGTTCAATTCCGCAGGAAGCTTTGTATAGTCCGGTACGTCGGTATTCGGAAACTTTATCTTGGTCTTCTGGTTCTCGGTGACATAGGCGGAGGGTGCATACGCGCTGAAGGTGTATTGTAGATATTGCTTGTCGTTCTGACCGATATGGGCGGGGACCGGTGTGACGGCAGAGAGGATGGAGTACGTAATGCTCAGGGTTTGCTGTTGCTTGGGCTCCAGCGGAACCGGAAGGTGGATTAGGTAGAACTCCGTGGGGCTTGGGGGGAACCTGTTAGCTATGCCGGAGTAGTATACGAGCTGGTATAGTACCTTTCAGTGTCGAAACCAACCACCTCGACCTTGAATGCTCCTTTAGCGACATCTTTCTTGTCCCTAACCTCCAAACCTCCAACTCTTGATATTAACCGGGATTCAAAAGGGAGGTAGTATTCCGATTGGGGTTTTGAGTCGATATTCTCTATAATGACATTGATTGTTTCTCGGGGATAGAATTTGTCCAAGTTCGTCGTCCGGACTAGATTGGTGTTCTTGAACACTTGTGGTGGTTTGAAGGTCCCAGACAACACTTGCTTCGACACGAGCGGTTGGGACAAGTTCAATTCGGCAGCGACGAAGCTTGAGAGCGCTGCCAGACAGCTTGCCAGCAATGAAAACGACCTCATCTCGGGCATTGACCCGAAGACCCAAGCATAAATGAGGTGTTGGTGTCAACCGAAGGAGAAGGTAGTTGTCGTTCCTGGCGCTCTTGTGTCGTGTTCACTTCGTCCCGGATTCTGCCGATGCGGGCCGCCTTCCTCCCGCCTACCGCCAAGCCTTGAGCTTGAGCAACCGCATCCTTCTAGTTCACATGTCGTTTTCGACAAATCCACAACAATGACGCTTATAGGAAGAGCCGTTGGGAGGCCATTTCTACGGAATAGGGGCTGGTCACGGACGATCACCTCTGGAAGACGTCTGCTCTCGAACAATTCCTTTTTCCAGGTCTCCGATGAGGTGCGGGAAGCTCTGAATTCGAAGAAACCAGTCGTAGCTCTTGAGACTACGATATATACTCATGGTACTGAGAAACGCGCATTTTAGGATGTTTGTGCAGCTCCTAATGACCTTTCAGGCTTCCCATACCCGGACAATGTAGCCCTAGCATCCCTCCTCGAGAGTGTAGTCCGCGTGAACGGCGGCGTTCCAGCCACCATCGGCATCATTGACGGCGTAGCGCGTGTGGGACTGAGTCCTGAAGAGTTGATCAGGTTGGCCTCGTCAGCAGGGAAGGAAAACACATTAAAGCTCTCCAGAAGAGACCTGAGCTATGTCTGCGGTCTGCGATTGGCAGGTAAGAAGTTCAATGGCGGCACGACCATTGCTGGAACTATGCTGTTGGCCCACCTCGCTGGTATCAAAGTGTTTGGTACTGGTGGGCTTGGTGGAGTTCATCGCGGCGCCGAGTCTAGCATGGATATCTCCGCTGACCTCACCGAGCTTGGACGCACTCCTGTGACGGTCATCAGTAGTGGGTGTAAGAGTTTCCTGGATATCCCTCGGACATTGGAGTACTTGGAAACAGAGGGAGTGGGAGTTGCCACCTTTGCAGATGGGCGCAAAGGCAATGTCGACTTTCCTGCCTTCTTCTCAAGAGATAGTGGTGTTAAGAGTCCGACCACTATTCAGGATGAAATTGAGGCTGCTGCGATTATACGTATGTTGTGCTTTTGAACTTCTACCGCATTTCAGCACTGATCTTGTGCAGATGCCCAGCATGCTCTGCAGATTCAGTCAGGTTTGCTATTTGCGAACCCGGTCCCTGAAGAAGCTGCCATTCCCAAGGAGACCATGGACAGTATCATAGAAGAAGCCATTCGACAAGCCGACGCATCAGGTGCCTCAGGCAAAGATAACACGCCATTCATCTTGACCAAAATAAAGGAACTGAGCAAAGGCGCAAGCATACCCGCCAACCGGGCTTTGATTGAGTCGAACGTCCGGAGAGCTACGATTGTAGCAAGAGAATTGGCCGTTCTAGAAGCCAAACAGGAAGAAGCCCAAGGGTGAGCCAGCATCCTTGACGCATAGTTGTAGGTGTAGGCTGGCGCTGATTTTATGTCTATGTAGACATGGCTCCTCCTATTTCACGCCTGTCCAGTCAAGTCTTGCTTCGACACATGAAGCTCCAATGAGCAAAGTCCAGTCTACATCTCCGGAACCTCAAAGTGCGGGCAGCAGAACGTCAGTAGACGGTTCTAAAGTCGACATAGTTGTCGCGGGTGCTCTGGCACTAGACATATCCTGTGACTTTGCGCCACTGTCAACATCTCCCAATCGAATAGACCCTGAGCAGCACACTTCGAACCCAGCAGTGATTACTCAAACCCTCGGCGGCGTTGCCCACAACATCGCCAAAGCAGTCCATTTCCTAGATTCCTCTGTCCGGCTGTGCAGCACGATTGGCGACGATCTCAGCGGCCGCGCCGCTTTACAGCAACTAGAAGCTTCAGGCATGCTCACGGACGGCATACGCACGCTCCCTAGCCCTCACAAGACAGCACAATACGTTGCCGTCAACAACGCCAACAAGGACCTCACCCTCGCCATGGCAGACATGAGTATCCTCGAAACCAGCACCCCATCCAGCATCCACGACACCTGGCTCACCTCTCCCTCCCTAACCTCCAACCCCCCGAAATGCCTCATCGCCGACGCAAACTGGACACCCGAGAGCTTGCACGCCTGGCTCACGCACGGCAAACACATCAACGCCCTCACCATCTTCGAGCCCGTCTCCACCGCCAAATCCACCCGCCTCCTCACCGCCATCGCCGCCTCCTCCAAACACAACAACGACCATGCCGCCGCCGTCTTCCCAAACCACATCGTCGACCTCGCAACGCCAAACGCGCACGAACTCGCCGCCCTCCACTCCCACGCCCACCAACTCGACCTCTTCAGCACAAAGCACTGGTTCCGCGTCCTCGACGCCCTAGGCATCCCATCTTCGGGCCTCCGAGTCCCACTCGCGTACACCACAACCCCGGACCTCGTGGACGCCGGCCTCCCCCAACAAGCCATCAAACTCCTCCCCTTCATCCCCACGCTCGTCACAAAATTAGGTCCCAAAGGCGTCCTCCTAACCAGACTCTTGCCCCTGGACGATCCCGCCCTGAGCGACCCCGAGGAAGCGAAATTCATCCTCGCGCGGAACGCGAATGGCGATGTGGACGTCGGCGTGGGCGGACTGTATGTCCGGCTCTTCGAGCCCGAGCGCGTATTCGCGCCCGAGGAGGTGGTAAGTGTAAATGGGGTTGGGGATACGTTTTTGGGGGCGCTGGCGGTGGGGTTGGTCCGGGGAGGGAGGGTGCAGGATGGGATTGGGTTGGCGCAGAGGGCGGCGGGGTTGACGCTGGGGAGTAGGGAGAGTGTTAGTGAGGGGTTGAGGGAGTTGAGGGGGTGGGTGGAGGGAGGGAGGTGATGAACGTGTGATTCAAGAGTCAGGAGGGAGATTTGAATGGATCTGATAGTGATATCATGAATCCTTGTACAATACTAAGAGAAGTAATTGGTATACAACAATGCAAGGACACCCTCGCATGCAAGTACGAACTCGACCAGAGCCAAACTCCTGCAGACGACACTCCCGACCCCTTTCCTATCCCAACAACATACATACTATGTACATGACGACCGGTCCTCCCTGATATATACAAACCCCCTTCACTCCCTCTCAACACTAGAGCTTCCCCTTCGGCCCTCCATCCCTCAAACCACCTTTATACTCCCCACCCCTAATCCTCACGGCAAAAGACACCACAACCGCCACCAACAACCCCACGCACAGCGCCGTCGGGCCCCACCGATCATGATACGTCACCGCCCTCCTCTTCCTAATCATCCGGACTCGCCACAGGAACAGACCCGCCGAGTAGAACAGGGAGAGACATGCGATGACGGTGAAGCACCAGGCGGCCGCGAGCGCGATGCGGTCGCCAAAGTTGAGCAGGGTCGCCGCGATGGAGCCCAGGAGGATGGAGAATTCGAGCCAGGAGAGGAAGGTGCGTTCGGTGGCGAGTTGGACTTTGGGTTCGACGCGCACGGGGACGTGGATGCCTTGGGAAGACGTGAGTTGTTGTGTCCATTTGCCGAATATGAGCGGAAGAAAGAAATGCGCAGATAATGGAATGTTAGATGGAAGAGAGCACTTACGTTTCCCCGGCGGCGCTTTGAACCGCTTCACCTCGCCGGGTTGCTTCCAACTCGGCACACCGAGCGTAAACCCACCCTCTCCAACAGAAGTTGGTCTCGGTCTGGGAACCAACATCCACAGCCCCTTAATCACGGCATCCCCCAGCCCGTTGATCTGGTGCCTCAACCACGCCTGCCGATAATGCCAACCGCCAACCCTCCTCGCCTCCTCCAAGTCCTCATCATCCTCGCTGTCAGAATCATAAATCGGGTAATCGTCCGGATGCAGAGGCTGCGCCGCAATCCTCTCCTCGACGTCCAGCGCATTCGGGCCCTCGCCGTTCCCGTTGATGGCCCCGTAGTCCTGCCTCCGCGCCATGTCGTGTTGTTCCATGACGTCTCTGGCTTCGCGGAGCCGTCTGATCCTGTCATCGTCTTCCTGCCCCTCTACGCGCGGCAAGCCCATGACAGCATCCTCGTCCTCACTCTCGTCGTCCATGTTGCCGCTCGTGCTGATGTCGTTGCTCGCGCCGGGCCTTTCGATGCCGAATCTGTGGCTGACGGGTTTACGGATGTCGACGTCCATCTGTGGCATCCAGTAGGGGAGTAGGTGTATGCGTTTGGGATTCAAGGTCGCAGTGCCGTGGATATATTTCGAAAACTTGGGGACCGCTTCGACGAGGTGCGAGGCTGTGAGTTCGCGAATCCACTCTGGAGGTTCCTGGCCCGCTTGGGTCTGCAGTTTCACTTCCAAGACCGCGTAGGGGAAACGCTCGACGTCTTCGGGCGGGAGTTGTGAGAAAGGCCAGTCTACTCCAATGTCCATGCGGCGCCAGTTGTTGCCCGCGCGTTGGCGACCATCAAGGTTGTCCTCACGGACCATGGTGAGTTCGGTGTCGAGCGATATACGCACGCGGGCGTCTCCTGGAAGCTGGAACGCCGTGCGGTGGTAGAAGGATCGTGTTACAGGAACCAGTTTGCGGGTTAGGACGCGATACTGGATCTCCCTTGCAAGTTGTTCGTCGGAAGCAATGTCTTTCTCAGGTCTCTTATTATCCTTCCGCTCCTTTTCGAAGATCTTTTCGGGTGTGAGTTCTCCCCTCAAGTACGCATTTACGTTCTTCTCCTTCAGCTTGAAGCGTGCTTTGACGGATTCCTCGCCTGTCCAGTCTTCGCGATGCGTCTTCCGCTCTACGAAGATGGTTTCACTCGACATGCCACCGTACCAGCGCAGTCGGATAGCCTCAGCACCTTCCGTCTTCTTCAATCGGCCTTCGTATAGTTCCCATGTGTCTGTGTTGTCAAAGTATATGGAGGTAATGGCAGAATCGTCCACGTGGAACTCCTTGTTGGGATTGAACACCAACACCGGCAAGTGCTTCAGGATGATGAGCTTGAGCTCTGTGATGTTGTCCGGGTGTACCCAGTACTTGGTTGTCTGGCGGACGAAGTTCTGCTGCTTCCCTCCTGCGGCCGAATCGCCCTTGACGGGGTTTCCGCGCGTTCGCACCGTGTCGTACAGCTTCGACAGCTTCACGATGAAGGCGTCGTAGTTGTCCTTGTAGAAGGGCTTCTGGCGCAATCGAGTTGCGAAGACGGGCTTCAAGACCCAGCGTGTAATTTTCTAGGGCAGTGTCAGCGTAGGTTCAAGCGAAGAACAAGTCTATTACATACGTCATGCTTCTTGATAATCTTCTGAAACCCCGTGTAATTGAGCTGCGCAAACTTGGCCAGGTCGTGCACATCAGCAATGATGTCGCTCAGGTCCTCCTCCAGCAGCTCAAAATCCTCCTCGACGGAGCTATCCAGCTCCGCTCTACCCGCATTCTGTTCCGCTCGCGACACCACCTCATTGACCTCCTTCTCCGACGCTGCGATGCGCCGCACAATCTCCTCGCTCTTCACCGTCGTAAAGCTGTAGACCTTATCGAGCTCCCGCTCGAGCTGTTCGACGAATTCCTGCTCTGCCTTCTCGTCCCAGATATGGTGTTGTCGTAGCGCATGCTTCAGACCGTCATAGTCGATGTAATAAAACATCCAGTCCTTAACGAGCGAGGACTTGAGCTGTTGTCCGAACCTGCATTTCCAAGCTGGTCAGCAACAAGTGACATCATTGGAAGGGCGCTCGTATTTAACTGGAGCCCAGGGTCCAACGCAACTCACCTCATGGCGACTCGATGGGCCAATTGGAGCCTCCGGACAGTTAAACAAAGAATGGAAGGGTAGGTGAAGGGGGTACGAGCAGTGATAGATTAATCAGAGTGCGGAGGGACTCTTGTGTTTTCGTAGGCCCCAGCGGGAGCTGGACGCCAAGGCTGCGTTTCTGAACGCCCCCCCCGGTCATGATCTGGCTCGCCGCGGTTCGTGAGCCAACGAGAGGGTGCGACCAGCCCACGTGTGGTTTCCGAGTTGTGAGCTGCTCTCTTGCAGAGGTCCAAATTCCACAGTAGGTTTTCTTCGTGACTTTAATAAAATAAAGAATCACCGTCAGTAGTCGAAGCACCATGGCGATTAACATCCGCACAACTACTCCTATATTGACCAACGCGACGGCGCAAGAAAAAAGAATGTGAGAAAGGGTTTTGGAACCATAGGAGAGCCAGGAAAGCACACCATCACCAGCAGATATTCACGCGTTGTATCGGTGATTTCGGTTGCAAAGAATGGTGCAATATCATTTGGTCCTCCATAGGTAGGTGGACTCACTGTCACATGCGAGAGGTTTACTCCATCGCGAAACCAAAGGAACGCCAGTGTTCAGAGAGTTTCTCTAACCCCAGACCCAAATCCAATGACCATCAAACCGTAGAATATCCTCCATGAACGCCGCGAACTCCAGTTCCGTGCCTTTTTCTGAGCTTGCTGGGTATCGCCAAGGAACGTATGAAGAGGGAAAGAGTCGTAGCGTCGTGTAGGGTGCATTACCGTCGCAAGAGGTGGCGTAGGCTGATCGCTTTTGAGGTAGCCGGTTGCATCCCAGGTAGGCAGAAGTCGGGCGGACCACTTGGGGTTCATCCGCGTGGACCAGAAAGACGTCAGGCAGATCGCGGCTGGGAGTGATGCTCGAGCGGAAACGTTGTCGAAGGAGTCACATGTTGCGAGTTCTCCGGAGAATTGTTCTGCGAGCCTTCGGGCGTAGCGGTTGCCGATTTCGAGACGATATACAACTCAGGGTAGCTGTCGAAGAGCAGACGCTTCCAGTATGGGCCTGAGGGCAGTCCGACGTTTGCAACCGACCAGTCGGGAATGATCTTGTCCTTATGTTTTTCCACATCGTCGGGCGATAAGAGATCCTCCATGCGGATATCCAGGCGACTGTTGCCTCGCGGGATCTTCTTCTTGGTCACGCGAATGAATGGGAGGTTCGGATCTAGGAGGCCGCCCTTTGTTAGCGTAGGCCACTTGAAAGAGAGAGCGACAGAAGGCATTGCGTGTTTGACGGCGACTTACCCGAGTCTAGGGATTTGCACAGATCATGTTGGGTCGAGACTTCCAGGGCCTTGCCGCCTGAGCGGTATCGATAGACGAGTATGTTAGACTTGTCGTCCTCGTCGAGACCGAAAAGCGAGCTGGCCTTTGACGAACTCGTCGAGTGACTTTTCCACGTCATGGCGGTGGCAGCCTGCGATGACTCCAACTTGGTAACGTGGACCGAGGGTGAGGCTGAAACGGGGTTGACGTAGGCTTCTGGGTGCGTGTAGCAAAGGAGCGGTGGTTGCGGAGTTAGGGTAGGTCGTCGGTGCGCGTTTGCAGTTGGCAAAAGCGTTCGTTGCCTTTGTATAGGAGGCGGTAGAAGAGGCAAACGAATGTCTCTGTCTGGTGATTCACAGTAGGGAAGGAGGTGGGGGTGAGCCAACCTGATTGCGAAGGTGTGAAAGAGGGTTCACAGGCGCTGCGCCGCATATGAATCAGGAAAGAGTGACGGGCGGAGAGAGTGGCTAGATTTTTCTTGGCTTGCGTCGAGACCCACCGATTGGATGCGGGGAAGTGGCGGTGCTCTAACACGCTCTGATTGGATTACGATACAAAAGTTGCTTACATAATCGATCAAAGTGAACGTCAACGGAAGACAACAAAGAGGAGAACATTTTTATGAGACGACAACCCCCTTCTGATGGCGGTGCGCATCGTCCTGCTACTGGAAATCCTGTTATGGCAGCTATACAAGTAGGGAAGCGGGTGACACCATGGCACACACGGTGGATTATGACCTGAGGCAAGCTTGGTCAGGGTCCGGATGACGCCTCCACGTGATAAAGGCTGATGGTCTATCAACCATGGTCCCAAGGCTGCGTCGGAATTGTCCTGCTCTTCACAGTACACGGTATTCCAGCTCTTACCAGCTCTAGATACTATGAAATTCTACGCTAGTGATGCTGTTAATGACGATGCAGGACATTTGCGGTCCGCGGCTGACCTCATCACCCAATTTATTCTATCCGCGCCGTCGGAAGCAACCATGGCCGGAACATGTACGACGGTAACGCAAAATATGTATGCGACTCGCGGGCATGCAAACGACGGAAATGGCCGTGAGGCGAAGCGGCGTGCCTGGCAGCCTTCTCTGCGCAGCTGTTGTTGGAAGGGGCCCAGTCATGAAGCCGCGGTCCAATCACTTGCGCTTGACTCGGTTTGAGTGCCAATCATCAGCCACTCCCGCCTGGCGCATGGCTAGGGCTTCACGGTTCCACACCCGCCTGCACTCCCTCTCCTTTCCCACACCCCCCCAAGTGCGCCTGCGCGAGGCTCTGCCATGTTTACGTCTGTTGACCCCCTTATTAAAACTCCCCGAAGCACCTTCATCCTAGCGTCGGAGTACAAACCCACTGTTTTGTTCCACACCTTGCTCAGGGTGTCGTTTGCTGCGAATCGGACCTACCCGCACCTTCCCGCGCCTTCCCGCACCTTCACTATACAAGTCGACCAACCAATCCACACGTCCTCTCCAACATGCTTCGTCCTCCCAACATAGATCCCCCTCAGCGGCCACTGAGCATCATGACGACGGCCACGTCGGCCTCGGGCCAGGACAAAACTGGAGCGACGTGGGCGACTGCTGTGACAGACGAGAACGCTTGGGAAGACCTCATACTCACACTGGGTACGTCCACGCTTCTCATTCGACGCCTGTTCCAGCTATAGCTTGTCCGAGTGCCTGGGAACGGGTCTTGATTTCGCTGGTGTTTATCAGCCTCGCGAAACTTCCTCAAGCACCGAGAGGCTCAGTCCAGTCAGCCATATCTGCCTGATGGACGAGACTGCGCGTCCCTGCTGCCGTTGGCCAGGCAGACGCCGGGGCTTGATCAAACTACACATCCACTCCGTCCCCGTCCCTCATCAACAGACACAACTTGACATGGCCTACCTGTGCTAAGCTCAGGGAACATCCACTGACCAGTGTACTGAACAGATGGCGGCGGCATACGAGGCTACGCAAGCCTACTCATCCTCAAACGTCTCGTGCATGAAATCGTCAAATGTGAACGGCGGCTGCAAGAAACAGAGGGCCCGATAAAGGACAGTCCACGGCAATCCTTCAACGAGGATGAACTACTCCTCTGCCATTACTTCGACTATATGTACGGCACCAGCACAGGTGGCCTCATATCAGTCATGCTGGGTCGGCTACGGATGACGGTGCCTCAATGCTTGGAGATATATCGACAGGTGGGAAACGACTTGTTTGGGCATCGGAGAAACGTGCTCCCCTTGGCGACCAAGTACCGGCACAAGCCTCTGGAGAAGGCCGTCCAAAGGATAGTGAAAGAGTACTGCAAACATCACGAGAATTGTGACGGGCTAGACTGGCACCCTTGGAACGTGGATGAGAAGGATGCGCCGACTTCGTCTTCTGCAAGCACGACAGGGGAGACATATCGCATCTGCCAATCGTAAGTAACTTGCTCATTCTGTACAACTTCTTTTCCTGCTGCTTCTCTATCCATGTCCTATTCGAGTCAATGAGTTTGGTTCTGGGGTGGTTTGGGGTGCCAACATTCCAACAACACCATCTGAATCTAGTCCAAAAGGATAGGACGGCAGGCTTTCCGCGCAGATCTTACTCAGATCTTGTGCTATTTGGTAACTTCGCTGACAAACCTAGGATCTGCCTCACAGCAACTCGGTCCGGCCAACTTGATGAAGCCTACCTCCTGCGAACGTACGATCACCGCTATGACCCCGAGATTTGCCCTATTTGGTTGACTCCATATAATGAAGGTGCCGACAAGCTGAAGATTTGGCAAGTCACCAGAGCCACTTCCGCGGCGCCCTTCTTTTTCAAAATGCTCGAAGCTGATTTCGGCCCACAACGCGGCAAGGTTGGCTTCAAGGATGGGGGTATTAGGGAGAACAATCCCTCCTACGCTGCCTATAGTGAGCATGCGTCCCTCAGGGGCGATGATCATGAACCTGCTCTCCTGCTTTCCGTCGGTACGGGACGCCCTGATACGTCCCACGATGGCTTCGCCGCCGCATGGCCTGGTCCCTTTGGCAAGGTGCCACTAGTGAAGCAGTGGTCGGAGAAGATTGCCGTGTTCAAAAATCTGCTCATCAAGTATACAGAAGGAGAAGACCGACACAAGATGATGAGGACCATCGCCAAGGGCGAGCACAGGTGGTACAAGCGCCTCAACGTCAACAAAGGCCTCGAGAACATGAAGATGGATCATTGGGAAAGCGGCCACTGGACCGACCCAAGTACCGGCATCAAGAAGGTGGTACCGGGTGGCAAGTCGCTGACTCGCATGGAAGAGGCGACACACGCCTACCTAGACCGGAATGAGGCGGATAAGACGCTGCTTGAATACCAGCCTCCCAAAGTGGTCCTGCAGCAAGTTGCCGAGCGATTGGTGCGACATAGGAGAGCGAGGGAAGCGACCAAGCATCAGGACCTGAAGAGGTGGGAAACACACATGGGACAGTATCTGACGGGCACCCGGGTTGATCACGAGGATGGCGCGGTGAAAAAATAGAAGACAGGATCCGACGACTCCCGGCCGATCTGGTGCTCGGAGGCGAGAGTACTCTTGAGATATGCCTTTTTCGTGGCTATTGATGCATACCACCAACTTCTGTACTGCCAAAGCGGAGATCCCGCCGCGGCGCAGCGCATCGAAATGGTGATGCATAGAGCATACAGTTCCGCATTATAGAGCCTGCAGTTTTGCTCTTCAATTCGGCGCATTCGAGAGCATCTCCGGTTCATGGTTGGGCATTTGAAGCTTCGCATTCCGATAGCAGAAACTCCACTCTTGCTTCGGAGCTCGTTTGGACTGGCGTTTGGGTTGTTTACATGGGATTTGATGGTATGTAACGCTCGTGCATGGAATGGCGCTGGGTTTCTGCTTCCCGACATTGTCTAATGGTTACGGGTATGATTACCTAAGTGTGGAGATTGGGTTCCTTTCTGGGATTTGTTCACACAGACCTTTTTCTTCTGTGTGATATCGCTTTATACCATTTCTGGGCTTTGAGTTCGGAAGGAACGGGGAATTCTGCATACACGTTTAACTGCATCGAACACATCACGGTGTCGACGGTGAGAAAATTTCTTCCCTAACCTTCAAGCATGAATGAGGGTCATTTCGGTGTCTTTCGAAGATTTCAATCATGCTCCGAAGAGGGACGGGAAGCACGTGGAGGAAAAGTTGTGATTGGTGGGGAGGGAGAGGGGTGAAAATGGGGTTCATACTCAAGTACTGGCATTTTCCAAGAACTGCGGAGGTTGCAAGGTGGAAGCGACCATTCACGCTGTCTTCCAAGTGTCTAGCTATCCGAGAGACCGCACTAAGCGTAGCAGCTGGACTCCAGTCCCGCACAAATAAAACAAGTCACAAGAACTTGAGCCCAACCTGGCCTTAATTTGCCAACTCATAGTAGTCCTTTCAATGCAACTTCCAACCTACACACAGTCAGCTTCCCCCATCCACAGACGCAATCTCACTAATCGACTTACTGAATTTCGTCCTCTCGGCATTCACCTTCGTAACCAACACTTCATCCCCGACGCTAATCCTCGCGTCCTCTTCCTTCCCACCGCCCCAAAACCCATACCTCCCAAATGCAGGACTCCACTTCATGCCCTCATCCACCCGTCTCGTCGCCTGCAATAACTTTAAGACTTCGCCCTCTTTCCCTTGCGCTTTCTTGCCGGTGGCGTAGTCCACGTTGATGGATCTGCAGCGGACGCAGTTGTGCTCTAGGCGGAGGTGTATGGGCTGGGAGGGCGGAGTGGAGTGACGGATGAGAAGACGCGACCAAAAGTCCTCTTCCCAGGGAGAAGCCGCTCCGGAGATGACGATGTTGGGTCGGAATTTCGTAATATCCATCTGTTTCCTGTCCTTGCCTTTCTCCTTTCCCCTCTCTTCTCCCGCGTCGGTGTCACTTCCGTCCTCATCATTCAACAACGCCGACACAGCATCCAACGACGTAGCAGAAACGAGGAGATACGGCGCACAATCCGCAAACGTAATCTTCTCCCCGCTCCCCTTCAGCTCCTCGAACAACACATCCCTCCTATTCTCCCCCAGGTACGCCAGCACGACGTCGAAGCCGAAGCATGTGGTGAACCACGCCGAGTACGTCTCCGGCATGAGGTATGCGGTCGTGGCGCTGTGGTGCATTTCTATGTCTAGGGTTTCGAGGGATGTGACGCGGGGTTCGAGGGGGATGGTTAGGGGGAGGACGGTGGGGCCGGAAGGGGAGATGAAGGTTATGGTTAGGGTGCCGGGGGTGGTTGGGGTGGGAGCGGTGAGGGAGGTCAGGAATTGGGTCATGATGTAGTGGTTGCAGACGGCGAGGTTTTGGAGGCCTGTCGGGGTGCGTTTGAGGAGCATGAAGGTACCTGGGGGTATATGTTAGGGTGATGCCTTTAGAGGCGAAAGAGGGAGATTTGGGCGAGAAGGGAGGCGGAAGAGAAGAAGGAAGAGGGGAGAGGGACGGAACGAAGGGTGAGGTAGATGTGATAACATCTGAAAGGCTATCGTATTCTGGAAGACGGGGAGAAAAGGAAATGCAATAGGCAGACGAAAAACGAAAAAAAGAAGTTACAATCATGTAGGGAAAAAAATGGGGAGCGTTACGATCATATTTCAACCCATACTTCGTCGCAACGGCGGAGGACACCCGGGACCCTCGCAGAGACTTGATGGGGTAGATGTATATCTATGTTTTGGTCAGTCACATTCCCCCTTACTACCCCATTCAAATCCGTCCACCTCCAAATCGAGACAGAGATCCACACACACCTCAGAAACCTTCAACGGCTCACTGTTCCACACCGCCAACGGCCTCCTCTTCAACCACCACGCGACTCCCAAATGCAGCACGACCAACACCCCGAATGTGAGATAGAGGTGCTGAGTAATCCAGTCAATGGCGTTCTCCAGCAGTATTTCTATCGTTTCTTTCTCCGCCATATTCAAGGGAGAATAAATGAATCAACGAAAGGAAGGCGTCTCTGAAAGAAAGTGTCTGAAATAAGCGATAAAAAGAACCTTTGCAAAGAGATCAATATGTACATACGCCCTACTGTCAAACTCGCTGGTTTCCGTTGCGACCGACCTACTAAATATGGCAATGATTAAGCTTTTTTGGTGGCGGGGTCCGAAAAGTGGATGCGGGAGCGGCACGTGGGAAACGTGGAGAATGAGGTGTCGTGATGTCCAATAATAGTGGGGGGTGATTGGAGTGAAGCGAGCCAATAGGTAGGTTTGGGGTTGGGTGGCGATAATTCTGTGTGTGGATATTGGGTGCGGTCTGGTCCATATGTCTATGGTAGCTTCGTTCATGGCGCTGGAAATGGTACTATTACTTAGATCTCCAAGATTTTCCTGAGAGCGAAGGGAGAGATATTTGCTGGTAATCTGACTTTGTATACGTTCTTCGAATGAGGAACACCTTGGGTGACATCAAGAACGACAAGCTCTGGTGTTGGAATGTCCACATTTTCATCCCTGTGAAGTCCTGAAATGCAGTCACATCCAAGTATGGGATTTTGAAGGTAAGAATTAGCAAAAGGTACTGGGGGTGGGTATTAAGACCATGGATAAGACGTATGTTTGAGGAGCATGATGTCTTCGACCGGACTGCGGGACTGCTATATTTGCCCTCATAACATCCTCTCATCAGCCTCTGAAGGCATACTGTGTACGATCCAGTACTGTCGATTGATTATTAGTCAGGCCACTCATCCTGGAACTGCTGATGGCAAACTTGCCAGCTGACCCGGTTCCTGACCGCAGGCACTGCCGTCTGGTGATTGAGGCGACTGAATGCAAGGCCATCTTATTGAGGATATCGGACCTTCCTCTACACCCCTACAGTAATAGTCGGGACTCTCCCTATCTCGACGGCTATCCATAGCGGATGAATCAGAGCCAGTCGTGAATGGGGGAAGTGAGAGCCCTGGAGTGTGCCTGGTGGCCCCCACCACCTGGGCAGAGAGCGGGGCGGTGGCTGTGCTGTGGCTTGGCAAATGTGACGTCTGCTTGTTAGCCGCGGGCCTCCCGAGAGCTTCGGGTGAGCAATACCTGGCAGAGGCGGGCCTCGGGAAGACATTGTGTCTCTCACATGCGCAACCGACATTCACACATCCACTTTTGCTATACCGGTTTCCCTTCCCTATCCCTCACGACTCGTGGAAATCCCGCTTCTGGGCGTCTAGTTACTCGCTAGTACATACATCTCACGGCTCCGCGCTTCTGACATTACGCCCACTTCGCAACAGAGAGTCATGGCTCACAACGGAGTCCGGCGGAAGGATACTACCAAAGGACCGCCTCTGCGTATCCTATCACTGGGTACGAGGCCATACCCTTCTCGTGAATGAACTGGGACTGATGTGCGGCTGCAGATGGCGGAGGCGTTCGAGGATACTCCATGCTTATCATTCTGCAAGAGCTCATGCACAGGACGTTTGTGGAAATCGAGGGCAGGGCGCCGAAGCGACACGAAATCCCGAAACCATGCGACCACTTCGACCTGATTGCGGGAACGGGGACGGGCGGCTTGATTGCGATTATGCTGGGGAGGCTACGGTTGGACATCGATACGTGCAAGGACGTTTACGTGCGCATGACGAAGAGGGTGTTTGAGACGGATAAGACTTTTGCCGGCATACCGTATCGGTCAACACTCTTCAAGGCGTCGAAGCTGGAAGAGGCCATCATGGAGTGCGTTCGGGAGCACACAGTCTACGATGATGAAGGGCGGGACGTCGAAGGCGATACTTTCTCGAGGACAGACCTCCGTACGCCTATGACACCAGGAAGCGCAGTGCCAACCATGTCGCGGAGCCCTAGCACGGCGAGTCGGTACAGCCAGATTGGCGCTACTCCTCTTAGCCTGCGCGTTGCCGCGCTTAAGTATGGTAACCCTCATGCGAAGCTCTACGATCATAGGGAGAACCGCACAAAAACGTAGGTCTAGCCAACCTTGTTATGAACCTCATCTAACCGTCCACAGCGCTGTCACTGCAGTGTATAAAGGGAGCACGAAGACAGGTACGGGTCAAATCCTCCTTCGGTCCTACGACTCGCGAAAAGAAACCGCTGTTGAGCCTGATGCGACAATATGGCAAGCCGGTCGAGCGACATGTGCAACTGCTTTAGCATTCAAACCTATCCAGATTGGCCAGTCTGTTTTCCTCGATGAAGGCGTCGGCAAGTACAACCCTGCACCACAAATCCTTGATGAAGCCGTCTGCAATGAATGGCCAGGACGTGAGGTGGGCGTGTTCATTAGCATCGGCACCGGTAAACGGCCAGAAGGCACAAATCAGCAGCAGCATCTCTGGTGGGAAGGCTTTGTTTCCAGTGGTATGGGTGATTTTGCGGAAGCCAGGCGGAAGCTCATCAATAAGATCGAAGACTGCGAGAGGATCCACTTGTCCATGAAGGAGCACCTTGCGAAGCGCCAAGTTAATCCAGAGAACTATTACCGCCTCAACGTCAACGTTGGTGTCGGCGAGTTCGGCATGAATGAGTGGAATCGACTTTCCGACATCAGCACGAATACCCGCATTTACCTGGCCGAGGCTGAAGTTCAGAGCAAGAACGTCGATGCCGCCTCTAAACTTGCACGGATCTACCGTGCCAAAATGAGGTGGGAGCGTCTAGAGAAGCTCCGAGATTCCGGCGCCATCACATATCAGAACCCGTGGGAACGACCTCTTCCACAGGCGCCAGACGCTCATCCTATGGCCGTCGAACTACCAGCCGAAGATGTCGACCCCAACCTTCAAGCTCAGTACCAGCATCATCCAGCAATGCTCACTCCGAGAACATACCCTCCACCTCCGCCAGCCGCTGAAACCGAGAAATTCACCGTCATTTCCTCAGACGAATACCCTCAACCCTCCTCCAGCCTTGAACCCCGCCACTCGGGAGAACTGGTCTCGAACCGCCGATCCCAAGAAATATTTAGCACCTCCCACGGAGGTGCAAGCCCACTCCACAACTCGCCTAGACTCAGCGTGACGAATGTCGATGGACAGCCGCCTCTACCCCCACGCCAGACTCCGCCCCCACTTCCTCCGAAGACACCCCTTCAGAGCGAGAGGCCATCGTCGACAGTGTTTGTAACTCCACCCATCATTCCGCCGGCCGGCTCAACGCTACAGCGACCACCGCAGGGCGTGCAGTTGCCGTATCCGGTCGAGGATGGACCGCCGCCTGTGGTTAATAAGGCGAGGAAGCCAGAGTTTACGCGGTAGTATGTATGCTATATGTCGGATTCTTCGTGTTTCTTCATGAGTGTGTCACATTCATTCTGATGTCACGTGTATACGAGGTTACGACTTTTATCTGCTTATGCCCGGTTGGGTATCTTTTTGGTTGATTGTGAGCGTTGAGAGCTTGGTTTTCTGCATACGGCGTGGAGAAGTGTGGGCAGTGTGTGAGTTGTGGCTTTGAATAGATACCCATTGATGTTCGATAAAGCGGTTTTGCAGGCTTGGATAGGATAATTCGGACGACGGAGACTTATGAATTGAAGATCGTGTCCGTTTGATGAAGCAAGTATAGTGATGGTGGTGATCAGCTGGAGATGACGGGAGTTGTTCGAAAAAGAAAAGTTCACCATCGATGTTCTCCCAAGTCTGTTTCAAAGATACCGATGATGTACACCTGCTTCGAAGTGCAAACACCGGGGCCCATGTGGTCCATAAAACCTTGTACACCTTACGTATGTCACTCTCAAAATGTAATGGAGTCGAAAGTCACGAGCACAGACTAGCCGACTTTGGATATAAAAAAGCACAAGTTTCTAGGAGAATGATTCACTCACTCACCACTCCTTTCCTTTCTAGCTCAAAACTAATCAAAGGGTTCTTATGTGGGCTCTCTGTCTTTTCCTGAAGATATTCCTGCATGATTTATAATGTTGCTGTGTTCTCGGGACGAGGGCGTGCGTTGTTTATAGGTCCTGCGTTTAGAAGATGTAGTAATGATGATTATAGGGAGGGCGGTAAGGCAGGCGCAGGAATGCCGTCCAGGTAGTAATAATGGGAATGACGATGATAATAACCATCAGACTCATGTCCGGCGTGGCTTCGAAAAGTCCCGAATCCAACACATGTTCCTCAACATATTCCTTTCTAGACCCGGACATACGCAGTCACTTCCCGAGGCTCGATCGATCACACGGACAAGAGCACAGACCAGTCACATGTGTATATATATAAGTACCGAGTGGAGCTCCGGAAGTGTTCTTTTACTTGATTCAGTTTTCCCTTCTGCTTTCCCAATTTAGAACAAGGGAGTCCAATGTGGCTGCGTTTGTTTGCTTGAAAAATAACAATCTCGTCGTAGGGACTACATGTTGTTTTGCGTCTTCACGGAGAACGTTACATGACCTGCGTGCTGGCGTACGAGTTAGGAAGGGCGTGCGGTGAATTGAAGTGATGTTGGTGATGACGATGGTGATACCGGTGATGATAGCCCCTAGACTCATCACTCAACCAAAGCCGTATTTTAAGTTGGAAACAGTGCACCCACTGCCGTACAGTCAGGTAGCAAACATCATCGATTGAAATCTCACAAAGTTGTCATTTTTTCCGGCCTGGAGGCCCGGTATATAGATCGGCTACGTCTTCTCGCAAGTCTTGACTCACAATCCTTTCGCTTTGCTCTTCCGCAAAAACGTCCATCAATGATCGTTATGGTTGCTTTGGCTTTCGCTTCAGAATTAAATTGGATGATGTCTTATGTTTCCGAAATTCCTCGGTGCTTTTGGGTCATGTAGGAAGCTTCCGAGGCTGTCTCTAGGCGACATACATGCTTGTGTGATGAAATTCCTGAGAAGGCGATCCTAAGCACGGGTCATGAGTGCATTCATATAAATGCATGCTATAAGTCTCCAGCATCCTGCTTTCCTCTTTCCACCAGCCTGATTGCTTTTCACTAAAACCGATGCTTCAAAAAGTTATGTTCCGTCCCCCTTTCTCGAAAAGAAAACACCGTCCTGTCTACCGCATGGGTTTTGAGAATCTCTTGTCGACTGGAACTTGAAATGGAAATAGGAGGAGGGTAAGACCGAGCTGACAAATTAAAGGCTAATTAAGAAGCTTTATACAAGGTTTTCTGAAAAGACTACTAGGCAGTCTCTTATTTACTAATCAAAAGGCTTACCTGCTCTACACATTCTTGTTTAGAGGACTCTAGAATAGCGAATAGATAGCAGACAAACTATTAAGCAATTATAGTTATCTTATATTATATGGGGACTAGGAACAAACTTGGTATCAATGAGATATCCGCATTTCTTACACTATAGAGCTATTCGAGCATTTTACCGCTCGAAAACAGGGTAGGAGAGGTCTAACGCTCAACTGAACTCAAAGAGATCAGCCAAAGCAGTCTAGGTCGATGTCCCGTACATCGTACGCAAATTCCCTCTCTTTCCGAGACGATGTAAAAGCAAGAAAAATCCACGTGATCCACTCAATCAGAATCGTCTTGAACCAGCCATTCCGCTTAACAGTTTCAAAACCAAAATTTGCCATCTTGACGGCAGCGTTGATCCTCGGTCTGCGTAGCTTATCGTAAAGCTGAAATGACTCTTCCACAGACTTTCCGTTACAGTGTTCCAGAACGCGCGACAGAAGCATAACGTCTTCGAGTGCCAAGCCGACGCTTTCGCCTTGTGGAGGCATCTATTATGAATCGTCAGTGCTATGATATCCAGACTCCGGAAATTGTAAGAAGTTGCTTACAGCGTGCGCAGCATCTCCGAGGAGCAACATGCGGCCTGAGGTCCAGGGCCCATTGTCAGAGATTTTGAAGACGGGATAGAGAACTAAGGAATCAGTGCGGCTCAGTAGCTTCTCTAGGAACGGCAGCGTGGGCCCGCGGAACCGCCTTAGAAGATCCTGCTTCATTGCTTCTTGGTCTTGACCTTTTATGGCCCATCCTTCTCTGCTTCCGACATCTTCCGTACCCATGACTGCAGAAATGTATAAGCGTGTCTTCGCCGCATTTGTGTATGATAGGAGCAAAGAACCAAAGCCGCCAGTGTATAAGGAAGTGGATTCAATGGGTATGATTTCTCGAAGATCACCAGCATCCAGCAAATCATAGGCGCAGGCTACGCCCGTATACTCGGGCATCCGAGAAGGGTCGATGAACTTGGTCCGAATCGCAGAATGTATGCCGTCACAACCGAGCAAAATATCTCCTTTGACAGTTGTTCCATCTTCAAACACGGCTGAGATCGATTCGTTCGCTTCAATGACAGACTGTACCTTCATGCCGTATTGAACGTCCACCCCAGCCTCTTTCAGCGTCTGCAGCATGGATTGAAGAAGGTCGTCGCGCATGACTCTGAGCGCATGGTGTTTGAACTTCTCGATGTTGTCGAAGTTGATCTTTCCCAGTGGTTGGCCTGTCCGCAGGGACAGGATGTCGATATATTTGACTTCGCAGCCTTTCGGCTTGAGCCGTGGGAGGACCCCGAGATGCTCCAGGTACCGCATGGCGTTTGGTGTGAGGTTGATGGCGCCACCAATAGTTGCAGGCTCCGATCTGATCTCAAAGATGGAGCAAGTCATGCGGTTGCGCTGCGTGAGGGCAAGAGCGGCTGCGGCCCCAGCAATGCCGCCGCCGATGATGAGTGCATGCTGCGTAGGCATCTTCGCAGTATGACTGCGAAGGAGCGAAGTCCGTCAGATTCAAGATCTTTGGACCGCAAATGTCGAAATATGCTGTTAGATAATCCGTACTTCGGAGGCGGAATAGTTTGCAATTCGTGCAGAGCAAGCCGGTCGAGCCTAGAAAGACTTGCGATAAAAACAGAAGAAAGCGCTTGCTTCAAGCGTCATTTCAAAAGCGTCGCATTGTTCTATACATTAAAGTCTAGAAATCAGCGTATTTCGCATATAGTGTTGTCGGCAACACAAGCTGAATGCGAAATACGACGTTGTGGCTGGCCGCGTGGCTGCAGCCTCATCAGCAGTTCTTCAGCTGCGAGTAGGGGAGAGTGTGAAGCTTTAACGAAACGAAAGGATTAATTCGATGGAGAAGTATCGATGCGTGATGGATGACAAGGATGCTGACGAAGGGATAGATGCACGTGGGTACAGCTCGTCCAGGCACCTACCTACAGTAGAAAAGTTGGCTCCCCCAAGCTTAGCATAGGAAGGACTTGGCATGGCCTGAGTAGACAACTATAGCTAGCTAGCTAGCTAAATTTCTCTGTAGCTAGGCTTGTACGAACTATAACAGGACTCTCCCTATGAAAACCCTTCTCAAACCCTTTATCCCTTTCCCTACGCGTAAGTCTTCAAAGTCGGCTCAGAGATTACACATGGTAGACCGATGTAGCCGGCCCTTATTTAAAGATTACCAGCTGCCTCCTGTTGTGCTTGTGCGAATCTGCATTTGCATCATTACGTGCTTTTTCGAAACGGTAAAAGAAAAACTAGGAGAACCACTACAGCATTCTGGAAATCATTATCATCAACACCTCCTGTTCCCATGTACGCTAACTCCTCAAAAAACGAGAGACAAACGCCTATGTCGAACCCCTACTCACCTTATAGGAACGCTTGAACATGCACTCTGAGAACCAAGTTATCTTAAACCTGCGCTGTAGATTCTATTCTCTAATTTCGAAGCACTGTGCGCATCGAAACCTATTGACGGCGTTTAAGAATCGTTGAGCTTTTATTCCCCGAAACGTTTACTATATTGAACCAAGACATCGTGCATAAGACCCAAGTGCGAAATATATAAACCTAGCACACTACTACCTAAACTCCTTCAAGTAAAACCCCTCGCATGAATTCTTAAAATCCTCGGACTCCCGTACTATGCGGTAGTGTTTGTCCCTGTAAGGAGTGACTGAAAATCTCAAAAACAGCATGAACCGTGATATGTTCGCCAACGGTGAGTCTAATCACGGCACGTTACACGCCTTACCCCCTCCCTATCCTCACAAACCTTGGGAAAAGGGTATAGGTGCCATTATATGTGGAATATAGAGGATCATCCTATAGCTTGTCAATAATAATGAACGTTACTAATAACTGCTTCTCTGCATCCCCATGAGGTGGGAGATCACATATAATCTCCTGTTTTCTTTCAACCTGGGCGTCTGCCCACAGACATAGCCTTCAAATCCGTACTATAGCACGTTCTGTTTCATTCCAAAGGCGTTACCTGCTAGGTTATAGAGTGCTTGCGTTGGGCAGTTAGGGATCTTTGCAGGCGGAGACATCGCACTAGAAGTATATAAATCACACACACTACTGCTCAACTTGTTCTCTACCCGGAAAAGTTCCTAGATTCCTAAAAACCTGGACGATTCCTTTATGGAAGAACTGTCGGCAGGGGGCTTTCTGTGCATCAAAAGAATACTGTTCGCGATAATATGTTGGCTAGTTCAGCAAATTTGAAAGGCGACATGTTGGCGGCCTGCGAGTCTTTGTTTTGAAACATACTAACGAGCAAGTTTGTATCTCAAGTACCACCAGCCCCTCATATAAAGGTTCATGCTGAGGGGGATAAGAAACATTGCTGTTAGTTGCTTCGTATTCTCCGTGAAATGGTATCACCATGTCGGATAGCGTTCAGGTTAGCATACAACGAGCAGTCAAAGATGTGTGTCGCAGTTTTAAAAGTACTAATGATATTTCTATTGGAAACTTTTCTTCAAAATATGCGGCTTCCGCTTCTCGAGGTCCAGAATCGCTTGTCCAAATAAGCCGTTTGCCCAAGAGAACCTATCAGTATGTCAGCATGCTGTTTCAACCGCCCACTTACGAAGCCCGTCAAGCAAGCAATCTTGACAGATAACGCAAAAGGGACACGACTCACCACTGCCTACTCCACTGACTCTCGCTATGACTGCTCACACTCTCATGCATCAACCCCAACCCATCCGTACTCCCTACCAACTGCCTCAACGTCTCCGTAATCTCCTCGTCATCATCGCTCGTCAAAATCCGCATGATACTCGCCATCGGCCAAGCACGTCCCGGCAGCGTATGCGGCGAACCAACGCCAGTAATCACAGGGCCCCAGGAAAAGTACGGGTTATCCTTCGACAAGATCTTCCTGCGCGTGTTCTGGTAGACGGGATCATCGGAGTCCAGGTAGCCTATAAAAGGCGCGGAGAGAAGCGAAGGGATGTTTGGGTCGTCCATGATGTTCGCGGAACCGTAGCCGTCGATCTCGTAGGCGAAGATGGTGCCGTAGGTGCGGTCTGCGACGCGGGCGTGGCGATGGATTGCGGTTCGGATTCCCGTGGACAGGGTGCGCATCCAGTTGGTGAGGTTAGCGTTGTCGGGGCCCTCGATGCGAGACATGATCTTTGCCGTCGTGTTGAGAGCGTGGCTGAACATCATGTTTGATGGGATGAGAAACTGGTATGTACAGGCATCGTCGCTAGGCCTGTGGAACGAACGGATCAGGCCAATGTTTCTGTGCGGGCTGCCGTTACAATCGTTGATTGGTGTTCCGCCGTAGGGAGCGCAGTAGGTATACGGTGTATGCTGCCATTCGCCTGCTTCGTTGTAGCTGTCTATCATCATGCTCTCTGCGGTTTCAAGCACTTTCTTGACCGCCTCTTTCCACTTCCACTTTGAGAAGAACTCATAGTCCCCAGTAGCAGTGACATAATCGTCGCTGAGCTGCAGGAAAGAAGCGACGGAATCAAGTTCCCACTGGCATGAAAACACCTTCATGAAATCGAACGAGGGACTGATACGATCCGAATTCTCGGAGCTCTTACGCGTGATATTGCTCTCCACGGGTGCCTGAAAGGCGTTACAAAACGGCGCTTCCAGGATATATCTTGCTTGCAGGTTGATGGCGCCTCGGAATACAGAGGCCAGCGATGAGAAGTCCGTGCTGGGTTTCAAGATGGAGGTGTACGCCTGGAGCTGGTTCGCGGAATCTCGCAACCACATTGCTTCGATGTCGCCAGTGATGATGAAGCTGAGTTCTTCCTTCTCTTCCGCATCTCGTTTCGTCACCCCTTCCCCTCCTTCTGCTCCTTCAACCTCCTCTGGTAAACTGGGTGGAGCAGCATATCCTCTCCATGCAATCGTAGTATCCAGAGTGCTTGGCCATGTATTTTCGAAAAGTCGATATAAATCCGGATCCGTAATCACGTCTTTCAATCTTTTCAAGGTGTCCTCCAGCTCCGGGGAGTGGAATGTCCTGCAATCCGGTACTGGTCTGGCATAGGAAAGGTTGTAACGGCCCGAGGATAGAGGCTCATGCCGCTTATTTGCATAGTTCTGATACAAGGGGCATTGAGCAGAGACGAGGAGGGAGAGAGATGCCCATGCCAAGAACTGATTCACCCTTTGAAGTCCCATGCTGACTGATGAATACTGTCGCCGCGGCCCCTGAACCGTCTGCCAATCAGCGTCGCAGGCTATTTTCCGACTCGAAGAAGGCCCGGAGCACCATAGCCTGTGCCGAAGAAGAGAAGAGCAGAGAGGACAACCGCCGCACAAGAGTATGAATGCCGTAACGGCTCGTGGTCTGTTACCAACAATTGCCCAGGTGGTCTGGAGTTCGAGAGGACACGAAGGGGTTAGCTTATTAGCCAAGCATTTGAGCCAAACGAGGCATTCCTGCATCAAGCGAAGGACTATGGCTATTGGAGGAGACGCACGTGGATGTTGTCAGCAACGTTGGAAGCTGGCCCAGGCGGACAGACTTGTTGGTATATGAATGAATCGAGCAGCTACTGCTAATACGAGATAGTATAGCATCTAGAGGTGCGTGACAAAGCGACCTCGTTTGAGTATATTAAGTGCCAAGAACATTTGCAATTCTACCAGGTGAATCACCCTTTCACAATGGCCCTGACTCGCTTCCTCTCTTCAGCATCCATCACCCACTCGATCCCCGAGCCCGAGTTTTGTTCGTTGAGGACTTCTTCCCACTCATCGTCCTCCATGTTCAAAATCAACGTCATCTGCGTGCATTTCGTGAATGGCTCACGGAGACTGTACTTGCCTCCTGCGACTGCAGCATTGATAATCCCGGCGACATCGCGTTCGAGTCGGACAGCGCCTAGTTCGTTGACCCTGCCATAGTAACTCTTGATGCGTTTTTCGAGTGCGTTGGCAAGATAGCTCATCGCAACACTGAGAAGTCGGTCGGAGTTCGCGGGTGTTAGGATTCGCTTGATCGGTCGTATAAGAGCACCCCAACTACGATCAAATCGTGCCTTGACCAGGTCTGTATAGTCGCCATCAATCTCCTCTTCATCGTCTCCCCCATCCTCGGGTGCATAATCGATGTCACGGAAAGCATCCGCAAGAATAGGTCGAACGCGCGGTTTCAAGACGGTGAGAAAGGTGACTTGGATGCTGTCGTTCAGAAGTTCGGCTGTCTTCGAGGTGAATGAATGCTCCATAGATTTGAGAGTGTTCTCGACGAATACTGAGTCGTGTCCAAAAGGAAAGAGGTCCTTGAGGGATGACGCAGGTGCATCAGGTCCAGGTTCGGTTCGATTGTGCAGATGGGTCTCTACTATGCGTTTCATATAGTCGTTCGCGACGTCAAGGTTGTTGATCAGCAATAGAAATGCAATGACCTTGTCTTCAGGGGGCAATCCGCCTTGTATAACTGGTTTTGGATAACTCTCGTCCCTCATTTTTCTCTGGATCATGCCGATGAAGTCTGCCCCTAGAACACGCGAGACGTTCGGGACAACGCTTGCTACGACGGCTCGTTGGGAAGTGGCTAAGGAGCGCTGTATGACCTGATTGACAATGTACATGACATCATCCACAGCGGAAGTTATAAAGGGAGGGTTTGCGCCCAGAGGTTTATTCGGGTTGAGGTTGAGGTCGGATGGCGACTCGTCCAGTTGAAAGGCCTTCTCTACAGATCGCCGGAAGAGAAAGGTTGTCATGTTATTAAACGGTTCTATGAGGTGTGTGGCCACTTTGTTGATCAGATTACTCGTAGCGAGAAATGGAGGCAAAGTTAAGCCATGATCAATCCCTGGGGGGTCTGGCGACTCTCTGGGCTGCGTTGATAAGTATCATTCATTAGAATAAGGCGCAAAGATTACGTACTGCACATTTCGAGGAGATAAACCGCGCATACAAAGCCCAGCGACCCAGCATGACAGCGCTTTCTCCAAGTATGCTGTCCACTTCTTTCATGTTCACCCCCTCGTCTTCGCTGGACCGCGCTGCAGCGTTAGCTGGCGAGCCCGAGCGTGGAATTCCGGTAGCTGGCTTCTGCGAGGGCAAATAGCTTTGCACAAGGAAGGAAAACGCGTAAGATTTGATATCTGTCAGCTTCCGATCGATCGCACGTTCATCCCGCCAGGTGTCCAGGATGATTCCGCCCTGGACATCCGCCTCGATCTGGAGACGCTCAATTACTTTTGCCATCATTCCCGGACCATAATGTCGTTCCACAAGTGGCTCGTGGCCGTCAACAATCTGGGCGATGTGCTCAAAAAGTTTTGTAAGAGTGCTGGCATAGAAGTACCCCTCTTTCCTCTGCGCAGCGGGTGCTGAATTGAAGTTTGTCCTCGCTCTTGATGCTACTCCCTGGCACACGTAGCGTCCATATGCATCGAGGCCTACGTCCGTTCTCCCAATCAAGGGGAACAGCTTGAAGAATCTCGTTACTCGGGAACCATCCCCCTCTCGTGTTGCTTTCTCGAATTCTCGAAGGAACAAGCCACATAGTGATTCCGCAGCAGCATCTAGAGTGACCCGTGGGGGGTCGGGCACCTCTGCAGTGGGCACAATCTCCTCTGCAAAGCTTCCGTTGACGACGTCGTCGGGAATCTTCGAAGCTCGATGCAAATATCCTGCAGCCGTCTCCCAATCCTGCGGCGCCCCCATTGACCCATGAACACCCAGCACGCATGCCTTCAGCTCCGCAACCTGTTCAACCACCTCAAGCGTTGCCTTGACATTGGACTGTTCGTGGTCGAGGCGTTTCACGGCGGTGGAGATGCGGGAGGCGGTCGAGGCGGCATCGGCAAGCATGCCATTGCTGATTGCACGCGTATTGACGGCCTGTGTACCAAGATGCGCTCGCAACAGGTCCAGGCGGCCGAGTTCACGGGAAAGGTCCTTTTGCGATGCAATGAGATCGTTGAGGCGTTGGGTCACCGTGGCCTCCCGAAGCTGTAAATGCGCCAGAGCAGCGTGTATCTCAGCAACCGAGGTGGCGGCGTAGACGTCTGCCGGACGAGGCAATTGGGCGGTCTCCATGCCGTTACGCAGCGCATGGAGTGGGTAGCAGGGCGGGCGAGCAGGAGTCCCGAATTGAATGGGGAGGTGATCGTCTTCTCGAATTCAGGGTCTCTGTGCCCTCGCGGAGATCATCGTTGCTTGGCTGACGCGACGGGCGCCAACCTTCTCAGACAACGAATACATAGAAGTTGGCATCGGGCAGTCCATCCACCGCGAATCATAACCTTTCGCATTATTCTATTGTTAAAGCATTCGGCGAGCGTGTTTCACTTTTCTTTCCGTCTCTTCTCATCTTTGGTGTTCTTTGCCCCGCCAACGAATCATCAAGCACTCAAGCCCAGCCTCCCCAGCCATCCACGTATTTACCTCCCTGAGACCCAGTTACGGAGTACAATCACCTCCGCAGACCTCGAGGTCTCTCCTCTTATTCAACAGCTTGACCACCAGACTTGCACCCATCTATACGACTCCTCATCCGCTCTAGCAAGTTCCCACAAGGCACCCTACGTCGCCTATCGTCGCTGGTCCCGTAAAACACATTTCCTATCTCGGCCCGCCTACGCATTCCACAGCCACCACCCGCTCCACAACTTCTGAAACGCACGATCCGGCTCCGTCAATGTTTGCTCCACTCCTCACACTGGTCTAGAATTGCCACTCACTCCAGGGTCTTTCCACCGTGGCCTCGACTTGCCCCCAGAAGGGTGGCACCTCTCAACAGTTGGCCTCCCTCCCTACCACTACCTCAACACCACCGCTCTTCTACCATGGATCCCGCGGGCCATGTCCTCCTCGCCGCACACGAACTCCTTGCTCGCTCCGGGGGCATAGGAGGCGACACTTCGAAAAGGCCGCCAATATATAAAGTCGTTGGAATTGTTCTCGCCATTTCGTCGGGCGTCTTCATTGGAATATCATTCGTCATAAAGAAAGTTGGACTGTTGAAGGCCAATGTCAAATATAACGAGGAAGCCGGTGAAGGCTATGGCTACCTGAAAAACGCCTGGTGGTGGTTGGGCATGACGCTCATGATCATCGGAGAGATATGCAATTTCGTGGCCTACGCATTCGTCGATGCCATCTTGGTAACGCCAATGGGAGCCTTGAGCGTTGTTATAACGGCCATTCTGTCAGCCATCTTCTTGAAAGAGCGACTGAGCTTCGTGGGGAAGGTTGGCTGCTTCAACTGCATCATCGGATCAGTTGTTATCGTCATCAACGCCCCAGAACAGTCAGCCGTTGCGAATATTCAAGACATGAAGAAACTGGTCATTTCTCCTGGATTCCTCAGCTATGCTGGAATCATCATCGTCGGCTGCACAATTGTTGCGCTGTGGCTGGGACCCAAGTATGGAAAGAGGACGATGATGGTTTATATCAGCATCTGCAGTCTGATTGGGGGACTGAGCGTTGTTGCGACCCAGGGTCTTGGAGCTGCCATCGTGGCACAAATCGCAGGACAGTCGCAGTTTAAAGAGTGGTTTCTATATGTGCTCCTCGTATTCGTCATTGCGACTCTACTGACGGAGATCGTATACCTGAATGTGAGCACTTATCCTCTCTTCTGTTTGAGATAAACACTGACATTCCTTAGAAAGCACTCAATCTCTTCAACGCTGCACTGGTAACGCCGACGTACTACGTCTTCTTCACTTCCTCTACCATTGTCACATCCGCAATTCTCTTCCGAGGATTCAAGGGAACCCCATCGACCATCTCCACTGTGATTATGGGCTTCCTGCAGATCTGTGCTGGAGTCGTCCTTTTGCAGCTATCGAAGTCGGCGAAAGATGTTCCCGATGCCGCAGTGTTCAAGGGCGATCTCGATCAAGTGCGCACCGTTGCCGAGCAGGAAGAACCCGAGTACGAGCCAAGGGCTGATACTATCCGCGGAAGCGCTGCTATTCTGCGCTCGCTTTCCAGGTCAAGGACTGAGAAGCAGATTGCCGAGGCCAAGAGACTACAGGAAGAGGTAATGGCGCCCATTGGCGAGAATGAGCATGTCGAGTTTGATGGATTGCGAAGACGGAGAACAGTGTTGGACCCCGATCATCCTGGACGCACCGGAACAGTCGTGCGTCACAAAACTGTACACCCTCCATTGGGCATGTCACATTTCCCCTCACTCGACGATGAGGACGATGACGACTACCATCCTGGTTTCTTCCAAAGGCTACGCTCACGTGGGAAATCGACAAGCACTGCTCTCCCACCAACAGCAGACATAACGAGTCCGTCTCGTTCCACCACAAACGACTCCGCAGACTGCGGCGGGGAGAAGCCAGGCTACAGCCAGGCCATGCAAGCAGATACCTCCTACAGACCCCACGAGGCACACGTACAGTTTGCGCCCGACACTGAACACAACAGCCGTCAAGCATCGCGCGACTCGCTCCATCCCCCGCGCCCACTTCCACATGCCGCTGGCCGGCAATTCTCCTTCCAAAACGTCTTCTTCCGGCATCGTTCCGACTCCTCAGGCCACGGCTCCGAGCATCGTCGTCCCACGAGCAGAGGCAGCAGGAAAAGTAGCTACAACACGGGCCGCGGCACCGAGGAGGAGCGTCTGGGTCTTGTCAAGGGAGACTCGCAGGTCCTACTTCCCATACCCAGCCGTGATAGCAGAGAAGAGAGTCCGCCAAGGTACACGGCGTCGCCTGAGCGAATGCTTGCAGGTACTGAGGGTTCTGGCGCTGGAGGGGTAAGGAGAGTGGACTCGGATACGAGTGTGAGGGATTTCGAGAAGGAAGAGAAGAAAAAGAGGGAGGTTAGTGAGGGGTCGGATCGATTCTTGTAGTGTGGAAGGGTGATTACGGATTTGCATTTGGCCGAGCAATTGTATAATACCCTGTGATTTTCGCGCCCAGCCTTTGGGAATTTGTTTGCTCCTGGTTTGGCGTTGCATTTGCATTGAGGAGGTGGGTCAGCATGGTCGGCGCAACGCTTCGCATTGTGGTTGGTGCGATATACCACTGCTTTGATATTTCTAGGAAGGAGAGATGGGATGATATATATTATCGAGTTGTCAAAGGGGAGATCATCATGACTTAATGAGGAGGACGGATACACGCATGGAATGAGAATGTAACGTACATAGCTATTGGCACCATTGCACATCGAAACGTACCGCAGTGGACATTATTATGACCATAGAGAGATATAACCGAGAACATAAGGGATTGCATGCGCAACATCTCCACGACTATTTGACATTTTGAGCAAATCCTTACGGGACCTCTATGAATGTCACGTGCCACGTCTTCTCATGTGTATAATCTCCCTTCCTCGATAGATTTTTCTTGACACTGATCCTACGCGCCGTTGCTGGAGGCACTAAAATGGCGGACGAATGGGCGATGTTCTCTTGCTCCTTTTCTGTTTCAAAAACCGCAGGAGGTCCGCGGTATGTTGGCGTGAGCTGGACTTTCAAACGTGAGCAGGGAGTTCATGCGTTATCGCTGTCGAAAGTAGATAATGATGATGGAGACGATGACGGGCACCTTTTTGAGAAAGTCGATGCTGTTCATGCCATTGGGATCGATGTTATTACTGGAAACCGCATCGCACACTAGCGCGCGAAGGCGCGTATATGAAGCCTCCTCTTCTCCCTTCTTACGTCTCTACACTTGATACATTCTGATGACGGACCCGAAAACTTCTTGTGCAACTTCCATGGAGTCGTTTTGCTGTCTTTTCAAAAACCCGTGGAACAGCGGATAATGTGTTTCTGTGCAGAGGGCCCTGGGCACTGCTGTTAGATAGTATAATGCTTCAAAGCGAACATGGTGTATACGCTCGCCAGAGATGACATCCAGCACATGAGCACCAACGAATTAGACCTCTCGGAACCTTTACGTATTTCTCTTCGTAGATGTGATTCACGTGATTCTCTTTTTGTATATAAACCCCTCTCCTCTATTGTTGTCTCTCCACACTAGATTCATACGCAAACGGCTAGGGGTGACTGAAATTTAGGATAACGCCAACGCATGCTGTCCTGTTGCTTGCCTTGATTAAAAGCCGCCGAGATGTCCTAGGTTTGGGGCGAAGGGCTGGATGATTTGAAATTTGAAGCAAGGCATGTTGATGACCGGAAAAGAAATGTGAATATCGGTTCAGTCGCGAGCATTTCCAAATGTTGTCAGCGCAAGGCCATGGATGCTTTCAAAGTCACGGACAGTTCGTGGAGTGGAGGGAGAAGTGAGGACTGGGAGTGGGTTGGTAAGTGTGCTTATGACACTTCCTAGCCAATCTTCCGTGGGAAGAAGAGGTAGATGGTGGTGATGAAAAGCACGACGGATCACTCCCTCAGAAATGTCGGTCTTCATCAACGTGATCACCCTACGATATCCGCTATTCATCTTTCTACACTTTGCTCCTTTTGCTGTTATTTTGCTTGGATACGCCCAAGGGAACAGTCAATGTGATTGGGCTTTCTTGTTTTTCAAAAAAGAAACATTGGTTTAACACATGTCATTCCTGTGTGAAGGTGTGCTTTGAGCGTCCTAGCCGACCTGGAAGCATTTAAGCACTATGAGTGTTTGGATGTTAATGGTGATGATGGATACTACGGTATGGGCACTTTTCTGCGCTTGTCTTCAGCACGTGAAAATATCTCGTGTGTCTTTTCTGTAACTACAGCTAATCTTTTATTTACTAACGTATTCCACCACCGAGTGTCGCACACCACCGAGTGTCGCAGAATCTCTTGGCATAACCAACTCATTATATAGAATACCATATTATTCGCTATTAAAGAGAGAACCTTGGTATACTGTACTTCCATCTAACTTAGAAGACACCTCTGTATCCTTCTTGCATGTTCGTGCGTTGTGCCCAGTCCTGCCGCAGTTCCCACAGCGCCGTACACCTAGCTGCGACGTCTGGTGACTATCCTCAACCTGAGCCTTCTTGGATTGCTGAGGCACTAAAGAGGCCTCAGCAGCTGCCTGTGCTGCCCCCTCGCCGTACTCTACTGTACCGCCGTGCTGGATTC